ATCTATTCTGTTCTGCACTATATATATACTGGTTTGAACTGGTAGTACTACATACACAGACATATTAATCAATAGTTAATAATGATTCATTATACACAGAATATTGCCTTGGGCTATGAACATGTTTTACCATGATGATGAACATAGTGTCAAGTTGCTTCATGTTGCTGTAACTTCAGGGAACAAGAGGGATATGATTCAAAAGTCAAATTTCTTTGGTCAGCCAAAAACGATTCAGTACATTTCCCCCTTTCTGTCAACTCTCTTAAATTTCAGTTTTGTGTTGAAACAAAAACATGGACAGTAGGATGGAATTTTGTTTATCAAATGTGTTTTCTGACCAGCACCATCACTGCAACTCTACCTCGCTGTATATGAAATCAAGATTACATGGTTAATTGTTATTATTTTTAGACAAAGACTAACATTATGTTATAAAATCCTCTGGGGTGGTAGGGTAGCCTAGTGGTTAAAGCATTCGCTTGTCACACCAAAGACTCGGGTTCAATTCCACACATGGGTACAATGTGTGAAGCCCATTTCTGGTGTCCCCTGCCGTGATATTGCTAGAATATTGCTAAAAACGGCGTAAAACTAAACTCACTCACTCACTAGCTTCCATAGTTAAAATGTTAGCCAGTTATCTCGTGATTGAATTGTACACTTATGTATGCTGTCCCTGTATGATGTGCTAATTGTTTCAACACCAGTTTCTGTCTCATGCCCTAATGTCTATAAAGTAAAGGTATGTGCCGCTGCTTGATAGCAATGATGTGGAGAACCGAACCGAATCCGATCCGCAGATTCATCATTATTCTTTCTCTATAAGTATTAAGTTATGAAACACATAGCTGTTTTGTTGGTCCTTTCTCATCATTCCCACTGGTTAATGTGGAATAGGCAGTAGTTATATCACTGATTGTTTAATCCAAGTTTCTCTGTGTTGTTATTGTGTACAGTATGATATCTTTAATTGATATTAGAGAACATGTTTGACTATTATGACTGACATTTCACTGTATGTCAGGGCCTGTGTAGGTGCCAGTATGGTGTGTATTTAACAGATATACTTAAGTGGAATAAGTGTTCATTGGGTAATTATGCTATGTATAGGCCAGTATTTAGGTCAGCTTTGGAGAATGTAACATTCCATGTGTGGCACTGGAGTCATCAAGGGATGATAGTTCCCAAGCTTTAATCAAGACTTGTGGTACCTGAGGACTGTGGTCTATCATTGTGATAGTTCCCAAGCTTTAACCAAGACTTGTGGTACCTGAGGATTGTGTTCTATCATTGTGATAGTTCCCAAGCTTTAACCAAGACTTGTGGTACCTGAGGACTGTGGTCTAACATTGTGATAGTTCCCAAGCTTTAACCAAGACTTGTGGTACCTGAGGACTGTGGTCTATCATTGTGATAGTTCCCAAGCTTTAACCAAGACTTGTGGTACCTGAGGATTGTGGTCTATCATTGTGATAGTTCCCAAGCTTTAACCAATACTTGTGGTACCAGGACTGTGGTCTATCATTGTGATAGTTCCCAAGCTTTAACCAAGACTTGTGGTACCTGAGGACTGTGGTCTATCATTGTGATAGTTCCAAAGCTTTAATCAAGACTTGTGGTACCAGGATTGTGGGCTTTAACCAATACTTGTGGTACCAGGATTGTGTTCTATCATTGTGATAGTTCCCAAGCTTTAATCAAGACTTGTGGTACCAGGACTGTGTTCTATCCAAGACTTGTGGTACCTGAGGACTGTGGTCTATCATTGTGATAGTTCCCAAGCTTTAATCAAGACTTGTGGTACCAGGACTGTGGTCTATCATTGTGATAGTTCCCAAGCTTTAACCAAGACTTGTGGTACCTAGGATTGTGGTTCTATCATTGTGATAGTTATCAAGCTTTAGTTCCCAAGCTTTAACCAAGACTTGTGGTACCAGGATTGTGGTCTATCATTGTGATAGTTAGACTGTGGTCTATCATTGTGATAGTTCCCAAGCTTTAACCAAGACTTGTGGTACCAGGATTGTGGTCTATCATTGTGATAGTTCCCAAGCTTTAACCAAGACTTGTGGTACCAGGATTGTGGTCTATCATTGTGATAGTTCCCAAGCTTTAACCAAGACTTGTGGTACGCTGTGGTCTATCATTGTGATAGTTCCCAAGGACTTGTGGTCTATCATTGTGATAGTTCCCAAGCTTTAACCAAGACTTGTGGTACCTGAGGATTGTGGTCTATCATTGTGATAGTTCCCAAGCTTTAATCAAGACTTGTGGTACCACAACTGTTGTCTATCATTGTGATAGTTCCCAAGCTTTAACCAAGACTTGTGGTACCACGACTGTGGTCTATCATTGTGATAGTTCCCAAGCTTTAACCAAGACTTGTGGTACCACGACTGTGGTCTATCATTGTGATAGTTCCCAAGCTTTAACCAAGACTTGTGGTACCACGGATTGTGGTCTATCATTGTGATAGTTCCCAAGCTTTAATCAAGACTTGTGGTACCAGGATTGTGGTCTATCATTGTGATAGTTCCCAAGCTTTAACCAAGACTTGTGGTACCACAACTGTTGTCAATCATTGTGATAGTTCCCAAGCTTTAACCAAGACTTGTGGTACCACGACTGTGGTCTATCATTGTGATAGTTCCCAAGCTTTAATCAAGACTTGTGGTACCACGACTGTGGTCTATCATTGTGATAGTTCCCAAGCTTTAATCAAGACTTGTGGTACCAGGATTGTGGTTTATCATTGTGATAGTTCCCAAGCTTTAACCAAGACTTGTGGTACCACAACTGTTGTCAATCATTGTGATAGTTCCCAAGCTTTAACCAAGACTTGTGGTACCACGACTGTGGTCTATCATTGTGATAGTTCCCAAGCTTTAACCAAGACTTGTGGTACCACGACTGTGGTCTATCATTGTGATAGTTCCCAAGCTTTAATCAAGACTTGTGGTACCACGACTGTGGTCTATCATTGTGATAGTTCCCAAGCTTTAATCAAGACTTGTGGTACCAGGATTGTGGTTTATCATTGTGATAGTTCCCAAGCTTTAACCAAGACTTGTGGTACCACAACTGTTGTCAATCATTGTGATAGTTCCCAAGCTTTAACCAAGACTTGTGGTACCACGACTGTGGTCTATCATTGTGATAGTTCCCAAGCTTTAACCAAGACTTGTGGTACCAGGATTGTGGTCAATTATTGAGATCAGCAGACCCTTGGACCCCAGAAAGGGATTCTCACATCCTCGCTCATAAGTACATGGAAGGAAACTGTTTTGACAGTTATTTATTACAAACATTTAAATGAGTATGGCTGTTGGTCCTTGGTATGTTGATCTTTTCTGCACATATTGGAGTGCCTTATTGATGCACATCACCTGTCAAAACTACCCCATCTGTCGCCTTAATTAGCCACCATGTAGTGTGTAAATAATGCCTCATAAAACACTGCCTGTCATAACAGTAAATGCATTTGAAAGGGCAAATAATCATGTTTACTTATGTTGTTAAGTCTCTAAACGTGAACTAGGGCAAGCGCATTATACTCAAGTGCACACTTGACAGTTGTATCCCTTCCCTGGAGAAATTCATAAGTATTTTGGCTTTGTTGGTTAAGGAATAATTATTTGTAATTCACAATTATTCATTCTATTATGAAAATCAGAAGAAAATCTGTTAAACTGAACCAAAATACCAGGAGTAAAGTTGGCCCAGTCCTTAGAAATGTTTTTTAAGTCTTTGAACCAAAATATTAGTTTTGAACTAATTGCTAATATGATTCCCAACCACAAGTGATAAAGAACCTGCTTGAATGTAATGCAGGAAGCTATGGTATGTGAGTGTTCATTGTCATCAGTGGGGATGTCTTCAGCTGTAATTAATGGCATAAGATGGTTATAACTGTACCAGGGTAGTTGTATGGCATGGTATATGAAATATGTCACATTTTTCTTCTGTCTTGTGCTGATACATTAAGATAATGTTGGATCAGTCTCCCTTCGTCTGCTGAATTAATGCTAATGTGACCTAAAATCTATACATCTTTAACATGGGAGAACCCCTGTAGTCATCATTACACTGGGCTTAGTATATTGGGCACAAACAATCATTTAAACAATAGGATTTTATCCCTGCACATAAGAGGAATTCATTTCATCATATGCTGGTCTGCTTTAACTTGAAACAGAGCCGATATAGGATACAGAAGTGTGGAGTCTGCAAAATCATTTTGTCAATATAATACATAACTGCAGACATCAATATGTTAAATTGCCATAGAGACTGTCCCCAATTGTTGTGTGTAATGTTTATCTGACTGTCAATATTGCCTGCCCTGGTTGTGTACTGCAGGGGCGTGCCAGCTGACACCAGTGTTGACAATAGACACAACTACTAGACTGTTCTACAACATCAACTCTAGATACAACAAAGTATCTGCCTGAAGCCAGGTGGACTTTCAGCTGATGACAGAATAAAGTCACATGGCTATACATTAGGAAATATGACTTTGCTTTTATGGTGTAATGGCATGCATATGTATGACATTATTATTGATTCTGAAACTGTTTCTGAAACATTCGGTATAATGGGAATCCTATTTTATACGTCACCTCGCCCCTAATTTGTTCAGAAATAATGAAATTTTGACACAGGTTTAAGACACAAAACCAGCTGTATACAGGAATGCTGCAAGGCCAGATGTCCAATCACCTATGATTACCATATAGAGAAACATCACAATCATTAACCTGGACCCAGATTTCAGTCAGTACATTCATTGCCTGTATAAAATATCAATTGCTTGCTGCAGACCCATCTCTTCACTGACATCTTCTATGTCCTTTTCATGGATAATGTTTGGCACCTTGTTCACAATATAATAGTAATTAGTTCACAGATTGATGAATGATGTGTCCTTATACATCTTATCTAATAAATTAATAGTCTAATAAGATTATATACCAGTACATGCATGATGCTTGTTTCAGATCCGCATCAAGGTGATCGAGGCCCGTCAGCTACAAGGTGCCAACATTCAACCTGTCTCACGTGTCACAACCTTCAACCAGACCAAACAGACACGTGTCAAGAAGTCAACCAACAGTCCTTTTTGGAATGAGTCGTTCTTTTTCAACTTCCATGCATCTCCGGCAGAGTTATTTGATGAGCTCATAGAATTTCAGGTGAGGAAAATTCTCTGACCTGTTTGAGGTTACAAAAGTTATTTCAACTGACTTTCCTATTTGTATGATATATATATATATATGTAGGTTGACCACACTTTGACTGGTCTGGGTTTGTTGCAGGTATTCAACTCCAGAAAACTACGGTCAGATGCTCTCATCGGATCTTTTAAGGTTTGTACTCTTCTTGATACACAGATGTTATGATCTATGTGGTGATGTTCTAACATCCTCTGCTGGAACAACTTCCACCACTGAAACGGTTGTAGAAAGGGATGACTATAATGGATTGAGTGACTTAGGTGGAACATTGCTCTTAGTATCAACAAATGTTTTAATCCGACCGCGGCATTAAACAAAATTCACTGACTTACTGCTGCCAAAGGTCAGCAAACACATATGATCGCTAGTATCGAGCCTGGTCGTCAACACCAGTATGCTGTGTAAGTAACAGTGGCACAAGTGGAGCTACAGCAGGACAATATCAGAAAGGTCAAAAAGGTCTCTTCATATGAGCTTGTTCCTGAAGCATTTTCTAATGTTTGGACATGAAATCATTAACACTTCCTGTGCTTTTGTAGACTTCGTGAGAGTGGGTTTGTTTCTTATTCAGTCTTTTTACCTATAACTTTTATTAATTTCTAAACATGTCCAGTGTCATGTTTGGGTTTTTCAAAATTGATATCATTTTCTGACTGCATTTGTTCAACATGTCAGAAATTCCAGTGAAATAATGAAATTGATTTAAATTGATTTGAGAATCTTCACAAGAATGTTGCTAAAACTTCCTTAATAAGTCAGTCATGCTTACTATGTTCACATTAGTTAATGCATCAAGCGACATTAACGCAACTATTTTCCTTTAAATGGCCGAACTTTCATGTAGTGGTCTAACAACAATTTCCCCAGATTTGGCATTTCCTAAGTTTTAGATGGAGATAGCGGTACTGTAGAAGCATGAACATAAATAATGAAGGGTATCAGAAGAAAATGTAGTTTTATTCTGAGGCAACATGGCAGGCCTGTATCTAGTCAGTAGCATTCTGGGAAATAAGGTGCTGTACCTTCACGCAGGCCTACAGGTGAGCCCCATGCTGCTGAAGGTGCGTGTCTATAATAGTGTTGCATGTAGAGGTGTGTATGTACGTGCCCCAATTGTTGGTTACAGTGTGATATCGGCCTGGTGTATGACGCCCCACAACATGCCTTCATCAACAAGTGGCTCCTGCTCAGTGACCCGGAGGACTCCATGGCGGGGGCCAAGGGCTATCTCAAGATTTGTGCTGTGGTACTTGGGCCTGGGGATGAGGCACCGGTAAGGGCATGCAGAGTCTGCAAAAGGGAGTCTGCTTTACTGTTTTGTATCCAGTCCAATGCAGCTATGTTGAAAATCAGATTTGACAGTTGTTTCTCCATTTATGCATGTTTGAATAGCCAGTTTTATACATTGCTGTTAGTAGTTTGTTGAAAGAAAAAATGCATTTTTTGCTTTAAAAATAAAGAATTGCTTCCTTCCATACATCCGTGACAAGAAGGAGCATCATCTGACCAAGCACATGGTACACCTAGAGATCTGTGCATCATGTTCATTTATGTATTTATGAGGAATACTGTATTGAGTCTCCTTAAACTGAAGTTGTACCAAAACATTGCCCTGTGTGACGTGTCATAGTATATGCTTTGTTTAGAGTATGAAATCAACGTCAGCAGACGAAGATGAGGACATTGAAAGGTGGGTATTTCTTGTTCTGGATCACATCCAATCCCAGCCCCCATAAATGTACTTGACCTCCCTGGTCACCACAGGGATGTGTATATGCTTCCACATCAACCCAGACTTTGAAATAAACTACTGTTCAAAACTGAGGAACATTGTAAGCATTGACATGTTTTACAGATTATTAAATCACATTGCCCTGAATTTGTCTTGCATGGTTTGACATCTTAACATCAGATATTTACATGTTATTAAAAAGCTCGAATATTAGTAATCACAGATATCTCAAATTGGAACTCTGAAACATAGCCAGTAACCCAAGAATCATTAAGAATGTTTGAGGAATTATGCAAACTCAAAATGTTGAGGTGAATGTCCTGTCTTTCAGGCTTGTGATCATGTTTGCAGTATCAGTAATGAAAAACCTATTATGTCACACATATTTCAAGCTCAGCTGTGATACATGCATCACTGGATTAATCATACATTTGTTAATCAAATGACAAATGGTCTTTGTCACCAATGCAAATTAAATTAAATCAAATTATGTGTAAAAACAAATGCAGCACTTAGAAAAAAACCTCTACTTGTTTGAAACATTAACAAAGAAGAATTTAGATTAAATATTCTTTGTCCTTTTTGAGAGATCCATTTGTATATTTGGTGAATACAACTGCTCACTTATTTAAGAATATTTTTAGAATTCCTGTTCATGTACTACACTTTCATCATTTCTAACAATTTATACTTAAAAGTAGCTCTAAAATAAATATTTCATGGGTATACTTTCATTTCTGGATAACAAAACAAATATTAAATGTTTTGTATTCTCATCCGGTGAGCTGAGTTTTAAGGGACAAGTTTTAGGCATTTGCAGAGTTATGCCCCTTTCTATGGGCATGTGTTTTCATCTTTGTCATCATTTGGTGTCGTAGCTGAAAACTGATGTTCTTTTTATTTCCAGAAAGGCTATTTTATATTGATAACAAAAAACCCCATTAAACATCCAATCCCGGCCTCATGTATCTGTGTGTCATTCAGGTATTTGATAGCATTTTGTGAGATCCTAGTTTCCATTAAGTACTTTTGTTTTTGTAGAGTGAATATTAGCAAAGTTTACTGTATTAAAAGGATGTGTAGTGTTCTTCACATATAAGTTACAAGAACATATGTAAAGTACTTGAATAATGTTTTCAAAGATGTGTGGAGTTAGTGTCTAATATTTCTCTGCAGTAATCTGCTGCGTCCAGCTGGGGTACAGCTGCGACCTGCAACCTTCCTGCTCCGACTGTACCGTGCTGAGGACATACCCAGAAGTAAGCTACTGATCTGTATATGACCATTATATAGGATATGACTGCTGATCCAACTAATAATTGTGAACATTTCAGTAATGACATACTGACAACATGATCAGTAGTTGTAAATCTGTGCTAAAAATTACTAAGTCAGCTTCATACCAATATACATAAATGTTGTGTATTTGCATATACAAAATTGCCCAGTGTGTGGCCCTGTGTGATGTGGCAGACAGTGGCCCTGTGTGATGTGGAAGACAGTGGCCGTGTGTGATGTGGAAGACAGTGGCCCTGTGTGATGTGGAAGACAGTGGCCTGTGTGTGATGTGGAAGACAGTGGCCGTGTGTGATGTGGAAGACAGTGGCCCTGTGTGATGTGGAAGACAGTGGCCTGTGTGTGATGTGGAAGACAGTGGCCCTGTGTGATGTGGAAGACAGTGGCCCTGTGTGATGTGGAAGACAGTGGCCCTGTGTGTGATGTGGAAGACAGTGGCCGTGTGTGATGTGGAAGACAGTGGCCCTGTGTGATGTGGAAGACAGTGGCCCTGTGTGTGATGTGGAAGACAGTGGCCCTGTGTGTGATGTGGAAGACAGTGGCCTGTGTGTGATGTGGAAGACAGTGGCCCTGTGTGATGTGGAAGACAGTGGCCCTGTGTGATGTGGAAGACAGTGGCCCTGTGTGTGATGTGGAAGACAGTGGCCTGTGTGTGATGTGGAAGACAGTGGCCGTGTGTGATGTGGAAGACAGTGGCCCTGTGTGATGTGGAAGACAGTGGCCCTGTGTGATGTGGAAGACAGTGGCCCTGTGGTGATGTGGAAGACAGTGGCCCTGTGTGATGATGGAAGACAGTGTGAAGACAGTGGCCTGTGTGTGATGTGGAAGACAGTGGCCTGTGTGTGATGTGGAAGACAGTGGCCTGTGTGTGATGTGGAAGACAGTGGCCTGTGTGTGATGTGGAAGACAGTGGCCCGTGTGTGTGTGATGTGGAAGACAGTGGCCTGTGTGTGATGTGGAAGACAGTGGGCCTGTGTGTGATGTGGAAGACAGTGGCCTGTGTGTGATGTGGAAGACAGTGGCCTGTGTGTGATGTGGAAGACAGTGGCCTGTGTGTGATGTGGAAGACAGTGGCCTGTGTGTGATGTGGAAGATGTGGAAGTGGCCTGTGTGTGATGTGGAAGACAGTGGCCGTGTGTGATGTGGAAGACAGTGGCCTGTGTGTGGAAGACAGTGTGTGATGTGGAAGACAGTGGCCTGTGTGTGATGTGGAAGACAGTGGCCTGTGTGTGATGTGGATGTGGAAGACTGTGTGTGTGATGTGGAAGACAGTGGCCTGTGTGTGATGTGGAAGACAGTGGCCTGTGTGTGATGTGGAAGACAGTGGCCTGTGTGTGATGTGGAAGACAGTGGCCCTGTGTGATGTGGATGACAGTGGCCTGTGTTTGATGTACTAGACGGTGTCCCTGTGTGATACTATCAATTGTATGTGTGTTCCTTACAGTGGACTCGGCCTTCATGGAGGGAGTGAAGAAAGTGTTCAACATCGGCGAAGAACAGAAGGAGCTGGTAGACCCCTACTTTGTCTTCTCTTTTGCAGGAAAAGAGGTCAGTGAGTTTTTGTATTGTACTTGGACAGTATTAACTGGCGTTATTACCCCAAAAGGGTTATTATTTTGTAGTTTGTTCAACTGATCCCATTTTTGATAATTTCAAATGAAAACCATATCTAGTAGTTCCAGTGTTGATTGTGGTATCAGAGTTGCTATCAGATCATGAGCAAGTGTGTTGTGTTTGTAGGTGAAGTCAAAGATCATGTACTGCTGTGATCATCCTGAGTGGAACCAGGAGCTTCGGTTAGGACTGCAGGTATGGCACTTTTCACAAGTTGACCTTATGCAGGTTACAAGTCAGAATCTGTTGGTGACCAGTCAGACATTGGGGAGACCAGGACAGAACATGTAGATCTCCAGGCAATCTATGCATATTCCTCTGGAATATCTCTGACCCCAGTCAGACATTTTTTAGTCCAGGACAAAGTACCTAGGTCACCAGTTAAAGAGTCTGTAAAGTCCAGGCCAGAATACCTAGGTCCCCATGCAGACACAGGGGAGTCCAGGCCAGAATATCTAGGTCCCCATGCAGACACAGGGGAGTCCAGGCCAGAATACCTAGGTCCCCATGCAGACACAGTGGAGTCCAGGCCAGAATATCTAGGTCCCCATGCAGACACAGGGGAGTCCAGGCCAGAATATCTAGGTCCCCATGCAGACACAGGGGAGTCCAGGCCAGAATACCTAGGTCCCCATGCAGACACAGGGGAGTCCAGGCCAGAATATCTAGGTCCCCATGCAGACACAGGGGAGTCCAGGCCAGAATATCTAGGTCCCCATGCAGACACAGGGGAGTCCAGGCCAGAATACCTAGGTCCCCATGCAGACACTGTCAAAGCCAGACGGGATTGGATCCTATGTGGACACGGTGGAGAGTTCTGGCCATAAGAGCTCAGTCTCTAAGCTGAAATCATACACTCATACACAGTGCTGGAATTGTGTTTCTGGCGAGACAACCAACTACCCCTGTTAACTGGTTTTGCGTTCTGGACCGAGAGAAGAAGTTACCCCTGCAGCCATGATGATCATAGAACTTTTCATTTACAGTCTGAGACAGTGTGTTGCAATAGCCTGTTGTCTGTTTCAGTTTCCATCCATGTGTGAGAGAATAAAATTCATGATTCGAGACTGGTAAGTTTCCATTGACATCTGCAAGTGTTGGGTCAGGTCATACAGATAGTGTTATGTGAGAAATTACACAGTCGTGAGAAATGATATTCATGTTTTCATTCATCTCTACATCCAAAGTGTTGACCAGCTAGCACATGTCAAGGATATTGATATATTGTAACTCTCATACTGAAGTGTTTTACGCTGTTATGTACAAGTATTACTTGAGTAATTAAGACTGGTTTCACTCTGAATGTTTGATGTTTGATCTCATCCTTGCAACAGAGTTGTTTGTACACAAGGTACAGCAAGGAACTCAGATGCCCCACTATTCTAATTAGTTTTCCTGTATCTCAGGTTTTTGATCTGTGATGCCTATTGTCTTTCTGTTCCTGTCTTTGCTGTTTCGGCTTTTCTTTTTCTTTATGGGAGGTGGGGGATGAATCTATTACGTGTTTCAAGGTATTCATTTAGACTCTGAAGTAAGGTAGCTGCTGCTTACTATCATTAAGATTGATTTTGTTAAGCATAAAGTTACTTGTCTAGGTAGAGAGGGAAACTGCAACATTTTTTCCACAATGGGTTTATTCTCATCATGAGGTGATTATAGCCAAGCCAAGCCAAGCCAAGCCAAGCCAAGCCAAGCCAGTAGACATATTTTCATATATGTGTATGACAACTTTGATTAAATACAAGAAATAGTTCTCTGTAAACTACAAATTATGCATTGTTAATGTTTCTTGTGACTACAGGGACCGTGTCAACGATGATGATACCATTTGTTCCTGCATTCTCAACACCACTTCTGTTTCTGCTCCTGGGGAGCTGGGTTGGTTTTGTTTGTACTCCCGATCTCCCTCCTGCACACAACAGCCCACCACTCACCTGTGCTCCATGATGACAACTGGGTGTGCAAGTAGTGCTGTGATGCTGTACAGGGATGTGGTGATGTTGTGTGTAGGACCGGGAGTGAGTGTATCCCTTTAGCTCCCCCATGTATCAGCAAACCCTCCTGTTAGGATAGCTTCATGTGTTTAACATTACAAGCATGTTGTCAGACCTGTGATAGCACAATGGCACAGGGCAGAGCTTCATGGTGGTTGTGTAGGAAACATGCTATATCCCTGCTTGATCAGTGTTAGCTGGGACTGTAATACCTCCTAACCTGGGGTCAAGAATATTGCATTGGGCTTCATCTGTGCTTCTAACAACCTTCATCCTTCATGTAACTTTCTCCTGTCCATCAGTTCTTCAAGGTGTATGTCTCATCTTCATGTGGCATTGTCCAACAGAATGTTTGTCTTTGACTCACAGGAACAACTGCTTATGGTGGCTGTTCTGTCATGCTACAAGCAGTAACATGACTGTTGAACAGATCAAGTGATAGGGGGCTCTATCAGAGTAGCTGTCATTACCTGTTGAACTTGGGAACTAACATGCACCATGTGTATTTGACAGTGTTTGTCTGAATCACTGTGCAGCCATGTTGCTGGCATGTCTGTTGTTTGTGTTGTGTGTCGTTGCTCTATATGGTACGTATTGTCTGTAAGCATGTGGTGTAACAGTTAACATAATTGTGGTCGACAACCAGGAAACACCATAAGTAATTTTGTCTTGAGATGGGTCTTTGTATATAATTAAAGCGATTCTTTCAAAATTTCTTACCATTACCACATAACCTCATGCTGTAGAAATACAATGAGAAATGCTCTGGTTTGCTGAAATATTGTTAATATGTGAAAAGGATGTTTATTTGAAATCACAAAGATCATAGAGTTATCTGTGCGAGTGTTATTGTAATTGTACAAATCTTATTCTAGAGGTTTCAAGCAATGAACACAGGGTGAGCAAGGCATTATGTTGGCATAAACAAGTGACACTTGACCACATCGTAGTTGTCACAGAACCAATAGGACCACTTGACTGAGAACATGGTAGTGTAATGGGACCAATAGGACCACTTGACTGAGAACATGGTAGTGTAATGGGACCAATAGGACCACTTGGCTGAGAACATGGTAGTGTAATGGGACCAATAGGACCACTTGGCTGAGAACATGGTAGTGTAATGGGACCAATAGGACCACTTGGCTGAGAACATGGTAGTGTAATGGGACCAATAGGACCACTTGGCTGAGAACATGGTAGTGTAATGGGACCAATAGGACCACTTGACTGAGAACATGGTAGTGTAATGGGACCAATAGGACCACTTGACTGAGAACATGGTAGTGTAATGGGACCAATAGGACCACTTGGCTGAGAACATGGTAGTGTAATGGGACCAATAGGACCACTTGGCTGAGAACATGGTAGTGTAATGGGACCAATAGGACCACTTGGCTGAGAACATGGTAGTGTAATGGGACCAATAGGACCACTTGGCTGAGAACATGGTAGTGTAATGGGACCAATAGGACCACTCGACTGAGAACATGGTAGTGTAATGGGACCAATAGGACCACTTGGCTGAGAACATGGTAGTGTAATGGGACCAATAGGACCACTTGGCTGAGAACATGGTAGTGTAATGGGACCAATAGGACCACTTGACTGAGAACATGGTAGTGTAATGGGACCAATAGGACCACTTGGCTGAGAACATGGTAGTGTAATGGGACCAATAGGACCACTTGGCTGAGAACATGGTAGTGTAATGGGACCAATAGGACCACTTGGCTGAGAACATGGTAGTGTAATGGGACCAATAGGACCACTTGGCTGAGAACATGGTAGTGTAATGGGACCAATAGGACCACTTGGCTGAGAACATGGTAGTGTAATGGGACCAATAGGACCACTTGGCTGAGAACATGGTAGTGTAATGGGACCAATAGGACCACTTGGCTGAGAACATGGTAGTGTAATGGGACCAATAGGACCACTTGGCTGAGAACATGGTAGTGTAATGGGACCAATAGGACCACTTGGCTGAGAACATGGTAGTGTAAAGGGACCAATAGGACCACTTGGCTGAGAACATGGTAGTGTAATGGGACCAATAGGACCACTTGACTGAGAACATGGTAGTGTCCATAAAGATCCTCGACTGACCCTGTAAACATACATGGGATTGATAGTCTCTTGGTGCCAACATGCTAGTGTATAAGGGACTGATAGAGATGCTTGACTGACAGCCTGTTTGTTTACAGTGGACCAACAGAGCTCTTTGAAAGTGTAATATGGTATAACTAGATTAGATGTGATGTGTATACATTGTTCATACTGCAGGGATCGACTGAATGAAGATGACAACGTTGGAACATTCTGTTTACCAGTATCAGTTATATCATCACAAGGAGACACTGGTGAATACCTTCCTCCCAGACTATCTCCCCCATGTCCATCACACTGGCTCACTCCCACACTGGGTAAACCCAGCAGTAATCAACTGATATATGGTCATTTTAAGCTCACACATTTCCTGACTGAAATGATTGATGAAGGGAATGGTGCATCTATTGTATGTGTTGTATATCATTTTAGACACTTGAAGTAAAATTATATGAAAAAGTTTTTAAAAATTGTATCGTTGACCACCTGTCACCCTTGACGTTTTGGCTGAAGTGAGGTGTGGTAGCCAGTACTGATCTCCACACACACTGGTGTACGTGACTTAGACTAGGCTGTGTGCAGTGCAAGGACATGGGGGGGAGAGTACCTATCTCAGTGTTAGGTGCATAGCAACTCCAGCTGACGTTCAAGCCACTCCCATCAGATTCACATTCAGGCCGTTCCCATCAGCACCACATTCAGGCCACTCCCATCAGCATCACATTCAGGCCACTCCCATCAGCACCACATTCAGGCCACTCCCATCAGATTCACATTCAGGCCGTTCCCATCAGATTCACATTCAGGCCACTCTCATCAGCACCACATTCAGGCCACTCCCATCAGATTCACATTCAGGCCACTCCCATCAGCATCACATTCAGGCCACTCCCATCAGATTCACATTCAGGCCACTCCCATCAGATTCACATTCAGGCCACTCCCATCAGATTCACATTCAGGCCACTCTCATCAGCACCACATTCAGGCCACTCCCATCAGATTCACATTCAGGCCGTTCCCATCAGATTCACATTTCACATTCAGGCCACTCCCATCAGATTCACACCACATTCAGGCCGCTCCCATCCCATCAGATTCACATTCAGGCCGTTCCCATCAGCACCACATTCAGGCCACTCCCATCAGATTCACATTCAGGCCACTCCCATCAGATTCACATTCAGGCCGTTCCCATCAGATTCACATTCAGGCCACTCACTCATCAGCACCACATTCAGGCCGGCTCCCATCAGATTCACATTCAGGCCACTCCATCCACATTCAGGCCACTCCCATCAGATTCACATTCAGGCCACTCTCATCAGCACCACATTCAGGGCCTCCCATCAGCACCACATTCAGGCCACTCCCATCAGATTCAGGCCACTCCCATCAGCATTCACATTCAGGCCACTCCCATCAGATTCACATTCAGGCCACTCCCATCAGCACCACATTTCAGATTCACATTCAGGCCACTCTCATCAGCACCACATTCAGGCCACTCCCATCAGATTCACATTCAGGCATCACTCCACATCAGGCCATTCACATTCAGGGCACATTCAGGCTCCCTCAGATTCACATCAGCCATCATCAGCACCACATTCAGGCCACTCCCCATCAGATTCACATTCAGGCCACTCCCATCAGATTCACATTCAGGCCACTCTCATCAGCACCACATTCAGGCCACTCCCATCAGATTCACATTCAGGCCACTCCCATCAGATTCACATTCAGGCCACTCTCATCAGCACCACATTCAGGCCACTCTCATCAGCACCACATTCAGGCCACTCCCATCACATTCACATTCAGGGCCACTCTCATCAGCACCACATTCAGGCCACTCCCATCAGATTCACATTCAGGCCACTCCCATCACCACATTCACACTCCCATCAGATTCACATTCAGGCCGTTCCCATCAGATTCACATTCAGGCCACTCTCATCAGCACCACATTCAGGCCACTCCCATCAGATTCACATTCAGGCCACTCCCATCAGCACCACATTCAGGCCACTCCCATCAGATTCACATTCAGGCCACTCTCATCAGCACCACATTCAGGCCACTCTCATCAGCACCACATTCAGGCCACTCCCATCAGATTCACATTCAGGCCACTCTCATCAGCACCACATTCAGGCCGCTCCCATCAGATTCACATTCAGGCCACTCTCATCAGCACCACATTCAGGCCACTCCCATCAGATTCACATTCAGGCCACTCCCATCAGCACCACATTCAGGCCACTCCCATCAGATTCACATTCAGGCCGTTCCCATCAGATTCACATTCAGGCCACTCCCATCAGATTCACATTCAGCTACTTCCCATCAGCTCTCATCAGATTCACATTCAGGCGGCTCTCTCATCAGATTCACATTCAGGCCACTCCCATCAGATTCACATTCAGGCCACTCCCATCAGCACCACATTCAGGCCACTCTCATCAGCACCACATTCAGGCCACTCTCATCAGCACCACATCCCATCAGATTCACATTCAGGCCACTCCCATCAGATTCACATTCAGGCCACTCTCATCAGCACCACATTCAGGCCACTCCCATCAGATTCACATTCAGGCCACTCCCATCAGATTCACATTCAGGCCACTCCCATCAGATTCACATTCAGGCCACTCCCATCAGCACCACATTCAGGCCACTCCCATCAGATTCACATTCAGGCCACTCCCATCAGCACCACATTCAGGCCACTCCCATCAGCACCACATTCAGGCCACTCCCATCAGCACCACATTCAGGCCACTCCCATCAGCACCACATTCAGGCCACTCCCATCAGTTCCCATACCACATTCAGGCCACTCCCATCAGCACCACATTCAGGCCATCCCATCAGCACCACATTCAGGCCGCTCCCATCAGCACCACATTCAGGCCACTCCCATCAGCACCACATTCAGGCCGCTCCCATCAGCACCACATTCAGGCCACTCCCATCAGCACCACATTCAGGCCACTCCCATCAGCACCACATTCAGGCCACTCCCATCAGCACCACATTCAGGACGTTCCCATCAGCACCACATTCAGGCCGCTCCCATCAGCACCACATTCAGGCCACTCCCATCAGCACCACATTCAGGCCACTCCCATCAGCACCACATTCAGGCCACTCTCATCAGAACTACAGACAGGCCACACACATCAGAACTACACACAGGCCACTCCCAGACAGGCCGCTCCCATCAGAACTACAGACAGGCCACACACATCAGAACTACAGACAGGCGGCTCCCATCAGAACTACAGACAGGCCACACACATCAGAACTACACACAGGCCACTCCCATCAGAACTACAGACCGGCCGCTCCCATCAGAACTACAGACAGGCCACTCCCATCAGAACTACAGACAGGCCACTCCCATCAGAACTACAGACAGGCCACTCCCATCAGAACTACAGTCAGCCACACACATCAGAACTACAGACAGGCCACTCCCATCAGAACTACAGTCAGCCACACACATCAGAACTACAGACAGGCCACTCCCATCAGAACTACAGACAGGCCACTCCCATCAGAACTACAGACAGGCCACTCCCATCAGAACTACAGTCAGCCACTCCCATCAGAACTACAGTCAGCCACACACATCAGAACTACAGACAGGCCACTCTCATCAGAACTACAGACAGGCCACTCTCATCAGAACTACAGACAGGCCACTCCCATCAGAACTACAGTCAGCCACACACATCAGAACTACAGACAGGCCACTCTCATCAGAACTACACACAGGCCGCTCCCATCAGAACTACAGACAGGCCACTCCCATCAGAACTACAGACAGGCCACTCCCATCAGAACTACAGACAGGCCACTCCCATCAGAACTACAGACAGGCCACTCCCATCAGAACTACAGACAGGCCACTCCCATCAGAACTACAGACAGGCCGCTCCCATCAGAACTACAGACAGGCATCCCATCAGAACTACAGACAGGCCACTCCCATCAGAACTACAGAACTACAGACAGGCAGGCCTCCCATCAGAACTACAGACAGACCACTCCCATCAGAACTACAGACAGGCCGCTCCCCATCAGAACTACAGACAGGACAGAACTACAGACAGGCCACTCCCATCAGAACTACAGACAGGCCACACACATCAGAACTACAGACAGGCCACTCCCATCAGAACTACAGACAGGCCACACACATCAGAACTACAGACAGGCCACTCCCATCAGAACTACAGACAGGCCACATCCACATCAGAACTACAGACAGGCCACTCCCATCAGAACTACAGACAGGCCACTCCCATCAGAACTACAGACAGGCCACTCCCATCAGAACTACAGTCAGCCACACACATCAGAACTACAGACAGGCCACTCCCATCAGAACTACAGTCAGCCACACACATCAGAACTACAGACAGGCCACACCCATCAGAACTACAGACAGGCCACTCCCATCAGAACTACACACAGGCCACTCCCATCAGAACTACAGTCAGCCACACACATCAGAACTACAGTCAGCCACACACATCAGAACTACAGACAGGCCACTCTCATCAGAACTACAGACAGGCCGCTCCCATCAGAACTACAGACAGGCTACTCCCATCAGAACTACAGACAGGCCACTCCCATCAGAACTACAGACAGGCCACTCCCATCAGAACTACAGACAGGCCGCTCCCATCAGAACTACACACAGGCCACACTCCCAGTACATGTCCACATACTGAATTTCCACCACTTACACTCAACACTATACAATGGATGACAGCTGGAGTTGCTCTGTTAAGAGATCTGTTGTAGAATATGAATTTGTTAATTCTTAACCATTACATACCAGGTAAACAACTCATTTACATGCTAGAGTTAATCATTCTTAATCTCCTTCTTACTTAATGAGACACGCTAAGAGTCCAATCTTTCTAGAAGAAACTTCTGTCATAACCTACTGTCCTGTTTACGTGGGCAGCTGCTGTGTTGATGTGTGTCTAATCGGTGACTCTGTTTATCTTTGTGCAGACAAGGACGAGGGTAAACTGGTTTCCGTTGTTTCTTTCCATGTTCCTATCCTCATTTCCTGACTTTGTTTCATCTGGGCAGCATTATGTTATCATTTTTCTTTTGTCATGCCATATGCCATTTGTCTGATGTAATTCAATTATTATGTCAGAAAGAATGCTTTGGCAGATTTGATTATAGTTATCACAATCTTTTCATTTGAAACAGTTTGATATTGAGTTTTTCGTTTGGTTGGGTTACAGTTGCTCCATTTATCATGGTATGATGTACAACAAGTGCTTATGAAAGCCTGAAATTAAAGTCCTGTTTATCCTGTGTTGTAGACATCAGTGTTGTGTGTTATATTTAAATATATGCTGAGTGGTTACATGGGGCAGGACTTCCATTTGACTCCTCATCTGCTTTGTGGTCTGTACTAGCCATTAACTATCCTGCATGCCTCTAACCCAATATCATATCTAATTCCTGTACACCTAATCCTGCCCAGGTAGTGATGGGCATAGCTTGTTCGTGAGAGAGTGCAGGGATGATTGCGCCCAGGTAGTGACGGGCATAGCTTGTTCGTGAGAGAGTACAATGATGATTGTGCCCAGGTAGTGATGGGCATAGCTTGTTCACGTGAGAGAGTACAATGATGATTGTGCCCAGGTAGTGATGGGCATACCTTGTTCGTGAGAGAGTGCAGGGATGATTGCGCCCAGGTAGTGATGGGCATAGCTTGTTCATAAGAGAGTACAATGATGATTGCGCCCAGGTAGTGACGGGCATAGCTTGTTCGTGAGAGAGTACAATGATGATTGTGCCCAGGTAGTGATGGGCATAGCTTGTTCGTGAGAGAGTACAATGATGATTGTGCCCAGGTAGTGATGGGCATAGCTTGTTCTTGAGAGAGTACAATGATGATTGTGCCCAGGTAGTGATGGGCATAGCTTGTTCGTGAGAGAGTGCAGGGATGATTGAGCCCAGGTAGTGATGGGCATAGCTTGTTCATAAGAGAGTACAATGATGATTGCGCCCAGGTAGTGACGGGCATAGCTTGTTCGTGAGAGAGTACAATGATGATTGCTCCCAGGTAGTGATGGGCATAGCTTGTTCGTGAGAGAGTGCAGGGATGATTGTGCCCAGGTAGTGATAGGCATAGCTTGTTCGTGAGAGAGTGGAGGGATGATTGTGCCCAGGTAGTGATAGGCATAGCTTGTTCGTGAGAGAGTGCAGGGATGATTGTGCCCAGGTAGTGATGGGCATAGCTTGTTCGTGAGAGAGAACAATGATGATTGTGCCCAGGTAGTGATGGGCATAGCTTGTTCGTGAGAGAGTGCAGGGATGATTGAGCCCAGGTAGTGACGGGCATAGCTTGTTCGTGAGAGAGTGCAGGGATGATTGCGCCCAGGTAGTGATGGGCATAGCTTGTTCGTGAGAGAGCGGAAGGGATGATTGTGCCCAGGTAGTGATGGGCATAGCTTGTTCATGAGAGAGTGGAGGGATGATTGTGCCCAGGTAGTGATGGGCATAGCTTGTTCGTGAGAGAGTACAATGATGATTGTGCCCAGGTAGTGATGGGGATAGCTTGTTCGTGAGAGAGTGCAGGGATGATTGTGCCCAGGTAGTGATGGGCATAGCTTGTTCGTGAGAGAGTGCAGGGATGATTGCGCCCAGATACTGGTGGGCATAGCTTGTTCGTGAGAGAGGGCTGGGATGATTGTGCCCAGGTAGTGATGGTCATAGCTTGTTCGTGAGAGTTTCCAGGGATGATTGTGGTGACTTTCCTTGACTCATGCTGTCTGCAAAGTGGTTATGACAAGACCTTTACCTTCATTAATGTGGAAGATCATTTCTTAAACAATGTATCAGTGACCTCTCTTCAGTAAAAGCTGCTAATTTGTAATACATACCTGTAAACTGAAAACGCTCAATGAATTGTTATCTCAAAGCAGGAGTTTTGTTATACAATTTGATTGTAAATGTCAAGATAATGACTTAAGTCCTTTTGTTACTTACCCTTTTCAATAAATGCTGTGGTGTACCAACCGAGTATGTTTGGTGGTTGTGAATGCATGTAACTTGTTTGTGTAGGTTTCCTGCCCACATTCGGACCATGCTACATCAACTTCTATGGGTCAACAAGGGAGTACTCTGATCTGCCAGACGAGTATGAGGACCTGAATCTGGGCAAGGTAGGTATCATGCACACCACTGACTTGTCCTCTGGGTATCATGCACACCACTGACTTGTCCTCTGGGTATCATGCACACCACTGACTTGTCCTCTGGGTATCATGCACACCACTGACTTGTCCTCTGGGTATCATGCACACCACTGACTTGTCCTCTGGGTATCATGCACACCACTGACTTGTCCTCTGGGTATCATGCACACCACTGACTTGTCCTCCATGCACACCACTGACTTGTCCTCTGGGTATCATGCACACACTGACTTGTCCTCTGGGTAGCATGCACATCACTGACTTGTCCTCTGGGTAGCATGCACACTGACTTGTCCTCTGGGTCATGCGCACCACTGACTTGTCCTCTGGGTAGCATACACACCACTGACTTGTCCTCTGGGTAGCATACACACCACTGACTTGTCCTCTGGGTAGCATGCACACCACTGACTTGTCCTCTGGGTTGTCCATGCACACCACTGACTTGTCCTCTGGGTATCATGCACACACCACTGACTTGTCCTCTGGGTAGCATACACACCACTGACTTGTCCTCTGTGTATCATACACACCACTGACTTGTCCTCTGGGTAGCATGCACCACTGACTTGTCCTCTGGGTAGCATGCACACCACTGACTTGTCCTCTGGGTATCATGCACACCACTGACTTGTCCTCTGGGTATCATGCACACCACTGACTTGTCCTCTGGGTAGCATGCACACCACTGACTTGTCCTCTGGGTAGCATGCACACCACTGACTTGTCCTCTGGGTAGCATGCACACCACTGACTTGTCCTCTGGGTATCATGCACACCACTGACTTGTCCTCTGGGTAGCATCACACAACTGACTTGTCCTCTGGGTATCATGCACACCACTGACTTGTCCTCTGGGTAGCATGCACACCACTGACTTGTCCTCTGGGTAGCATACACACCACTGACTTGTCCTCTGTGTAGCATACACACCACTGACTTGTCCTCTGTGTATCATACACACCACTGACTTGTCCTCTGGGTAGCATGCACACCACTGACTTGTCCTCTGGGTAGCATGCACACCACTGACTTGTCCTCTGGGTAGCATGCACACCACTGACTTGTCCTCTGGGTATCATGCACACCACTGACTTGTCCTCTGGGTAGCATGCACACCACTGACTTGTCCTCTGGGTAGCATACACACCACTCACTTGTCCTCTGGGTATCATGCACACCACTGACTTGTCCTCTGGGTAGCATGCACACAACTGACTTGTCCTCTGGGTATCATGCACACCACTGACTTGTCCTCTGGGTATCATACACACCACTGACTTGTCTTCTGGGTAGCATACACACCACTGACTTGTCCTCTGTGTAGCATACACACCACTGACTTGTCCTCTGGGTATCATACACACCACTGACTTGTCCTCTGGGTAGCATACACACAACTGACTTGTCCTCTGGGTATCATACACACCACTGACTTGTCCTCTGGGTATCATGCACACCACTGACTTGTCCTCTGGGTATCATGCACACCACTGACTTGTCCTCTCGGTAGCATGCACATCACTGACTTGTCCTCTGGGCTTGTGATCGGTACATTTTACAAGGCGGAGCTCAAAATGATAAAGAAACAATGGGTAATAAAGAAATTATTACACTCACAGATGTGTCAGTGATTTTATTAAACTTGTGCAAGAATTCATGTATTTACGTTACTCTCACTGGGGAAATACAAGAATTCTGACAGTTGTTTCAGGAAATCAGTATGTACTGCTGTTCAGCACCTGTGCAACTTTCTAAATAACAATTCCTGAATTGCAGGGTGAGGGTGTGGCATACCGAGGACGAGCCCTGGTGGAGCTGGTAACACAGCTTGGAGAGCTGCCAGAACAATCTATAGCTGACATTAACAGTGATGACATACTCCGAGTGCAGGTAAACCATCTGTATTGTCATGTATAACAGTCTAGTGTCAGGGTAGACCTCACATCAACAGTCTAGTATCAGGGTAGACCTCACATCAACAGTCTAGTAACAGGGTAGACCTCACATCAACAGTATAGTATCAGGGTAGACCTCACATCAACAGTATAGTATCAAGGTAGACCACTCATCAACAGTGTAGTATCAGGGTAGACCTCACATCAACAGTCTAGTATCAGGGTAGACCTCACATCAACAGTCTAGTATCAGGGTAGACCTCACATCAACAGTCTAGTATCAGGGTAGACCTCACATCAACAGTGTAGTATCAGGGTAGACCTCACATCAAAAGTGCAGTATCAGGGTAGACCTCACATCAACAGTGTAGTATCAGGGTAGACCTCACATCAACAGTCTAGTATCAGGGTAGACCTCACATCAACAGTCTAGTATCAGGGTAGACCTCACATCAACAGTCTAGTATCAAGGTAGACCTCACATCAACAGTCTAGTATCAGGGTAGACCTCACACATCAACAGTCTAGTATCAGGGTAGACCTCACATCAACAGTGTAGTATCAGGGGTAGACCTCATCAACAGTGTAGTATAAGTCTAGTATCAGGGTAGACCTCATCAACAGTCTAGTATCAGTGTAGACCTCACATCAACAGTCTAGTATCAGGGTAGACCTCTCACATCAACAGTCTAGTATCAGGGTAGACCTCACATCAACAGTCTAGTATCAGGGTAGACCTCACATCAACAGTCTAGTATCAGGGTAGACCTCACATCAACAGTCTAGTATCAGGGTAGACCTCACATCAACAGTCTAGTATCAGGGTAGACCTCACATCAACAGTCTAGTATCAGGGTAGATCACATCAACAGTCTAGTATCAGGGGTAGACCTCACATCAACAGTCTAGTATCAGGGTAGACCTCACATCAACAGTCTAGTATCAGGGTAGACCTCACATCAACAGTCAGACCTCTCACAGTCTAGTATCAGGGTAGACCTACATCAACAGTCTAGTATCAGGGTAGACCTCACATCAACAGTCTAGTATCAGGGTAGACCTCACATCAACAGTCTAGTATCAGGGTAGACCTCACATCAACAGTCTAGTATCAGGGTAGACCTCACATCAACAGTCTAGTATCAGGGTAGACCTCACATCAACAGTCTAGTATCAGGGTAGACCTCACATCAACAGTCTAGTATCAGGGTAGACCTCATCATCAACAGTCTAGTATCAGGGGTAGACCTCACATCAACAGTCTAGTATCAGGGTAGACCTCCACATCAACAGTATCAGGGTAGACCTCACATCAACAGTCTAGTATCAGGGTAGACCTCACATCAACAGTCTAGTATCAGGGTAGACCTCACATCAACAGTGTAGTATCAGGGTAGACCTCACATCAACAGTCTAGTATCAGGGTAGACCTCACATCAACAGTCTAGTATCAGGGTAGACCTCACATCAGTCTATCATCAGGGTAGACCTCACATCAACAGTCTAGTATCAGGGTAGACCTCACATCAACAGTCTAGTATCAGGGTAGACCCTCACATCAACAGTCTAGTATCAGGGTAGACCTCCTACATCAACAGTCTAGTATCAAGGTAGACCCCACATCAACAGTCTAGTATCAGGGTAGACCTCACATCAACAGTCAAGGTAGTATCAGGGTAGACCCACATCAACAGTAGTATAGTATCAACAAGGTAGACCCACATCAACAGTCTAGTATCAGGGTAGACCTCACATCAACAGTCTAGTATCAGGGTAGACCTCACATCAACAGTGTAGTATCAGGGTAGACCTCACATCAACAGTGTAGTATCAAGGTAGACCTCACATCAACAGTGTAGTATCAGGGTAGACCTCACATCAACAGTGTAGTATCAGGGTAGACCTCACATCAACAGTGTAGTATCAGGGTAGACCACTCATCAACAGTGTAGTATCAAGGTAGACCCCACATCAACAGTGTAGTATCAGGGTAGACCTCACATCAACAGTGTAGTATCAAGGTAGACCTCACATCAACAGTCTAGTATCAGGGTAGACCCCACATCAACAGTGTAGTATCAGGGTAGACCTCACATCAACAGTGTAGTATCAAGGTAGACCTCACATCAACAGTGTATCCATGACATATCCCAGTGCGGACCACATTTAATGTGTATCCATGTAGCAGGTGTTGATTGACTCCATGCTCATGCACCAGTCCATCCTTACTCTTATACAGAAGTTCATGCGGCGCCGGAAATATCGTCTACATGCATCCTTCCTGAATGCCACCATGATCAGTGAGATTGATGCACCAGTTGAGTTTGAAGTCAGCATTGGTGAGTTGTTGCAGGAATTATTGTCAATCTGTCCGAAGGAAATCATATCAGAGAAGTAATTTTCCCTTCAGTTCCCTGTCTGCCTGACTGGTTAGAATTCTTCTGTTTCTATAGTAATTTCCAGTTTGTAGTGAATCATTTTGAGGATAACTGACAAGGTTTAAGAAATAACGGTTTTAGGGAAAGATAAACAGTGTCCAGGTTATTATTCTGTTTAACCCACAATTGTCCATGCAACAAGTTTTGCTCGGGTTATTAGAGTCCTTCCGTCTGTCATTTCCTTAGCAGACCTCCAAAACTGTACAATAATTCTTTACCAAAGTAGGTACTTAGATTTGTAAGTAGTGAACTGTGCCTTTTGACAGAATGGGATTTTTAAGAACATATTTTTCAAGTTTCCATTGCAACAGTTTGACTGAGGCTGGGTATTTTTCGCTTTTACTAAATTAGATATTTTTGTTTCTTTTTAGTTAATATGGTATACAAAAGATGTCCAGCAAACATTTGCATTAAAATTTATATGTAAATGGTGATCACCCACCATGCCAGATTATATGCTGTTTGATACATAAATACAATACTTGGCATAGTTTGGCAATTTTGATTGAAGAAATTGATCGTATGTGTCTCCAACTGCCGTCATACGCACTTCAAGCAATGTTGTCACCCATACTGATGTACCATTCCTTGTAGTGGTTGTGTACAGACCGCCAACAATTGAATAGTGTGAAAAGTGGAAATAAGCAGTAGTAGTATGATGGTGGTTCTGCATCACTTCCTCCTAGGGGGTTATTATTTATCCCCCGCCGCGCGTTTAGCACGCGGGGATATAGTATAAGGCTCCGTCCGTCAGTACGTACGTATGAATTGGAATATCTTAAGAACCGTTCGCTAGATTCTTTTCATATTTGGTACCTAGGTTCATCACAGTATAAGAAAGGTCCAAGTCAGGTTTAGTGACCTTTACCTTCATTTCAAGGTCACAAGGGGACTTTCACGTTTTACCTGCATGTTAAGCTATCTCAAGAACCGTTGACTGGATTTTCTTCGTATTCAATACAAAGCTTTATCTAGGGAAGGCGCAGGGCCCAGTCGATTTTGGTGACCTTCAGATAATTTTCAAGGTCACAGAGACACTTTGAAGATTTCAGCATGTTAACCTGCATGTTAAGCTATCTCAAGATTCGTTCACTGGATTGTCTTCATATTTGAAACCACACTTTATCTAGGGAAGGTGCAGGTCCCAGTCAATTTTGGTGACCTTCACTTAATTTTCAAGGTCACAGAGACACTTTGAAGATTTCAGCATGTTAACCTGAATTGTCAGCAAGATATTTCAAAAACGGTGCACTGGATTTTCTTCAGACTTTCAAGACTTCCCTTAAATGTTTTTCAATAAGCAATTTCTTTAGTATTATTTTTGCATATTTCATACACTATGACATTCATGTCAAGGTCAAAGTCAGTCTTGAAAATATGTGTCTGTTTTGAACAACTAAAGAGCCAGATATCAAGAGAGGTTGGTCATGATTTTGTTGACATTTAACTTAAACTTTCATTACTTTATAAGTTTAATTTGATAATTTGCGGTGGGGGATTATGTCACCTTAGTGACAATGCTTGTTTCTATGTAATGTTGCTCCCAGCATCCAGTAACAATAATGATCCCCGAGCGGAGACATTGTTCGATGTCCCGACTAGCTGTCAAGCCTATGCCCGTTAAATTCGCATACAGACTGACAGCAAGCCAGATGGCTGCCCCAGCTTGGCAACAGAGCTCCAACCAAGAGCACGGTTGCTAAGCCAAACAAGATGGCCGCCTGAGCTTATATGGTGTTCCGGCGTGGCTAAGCCAAACAAGATGGCGACCGAGCTTGGCAACAGTGTGCCGACGTTGCTTAGCTCTTTCGTCGTCGCGATTAACTCGTTGTCATCGTAAATATCCAACACGTTAATGTGTTGTTTTAAAGGAGCTGTAACTACGGATACGGTATATTGAGGGATAATTGAAACTCCCATGCTACTAAAGCATACAGATGATATGTCGACGACGACGACGGCGTGAATCGATAGGGATAATAAAAGGGTATGAATATTATCGGGAAAAGCGGGAACGTCATTTTCGTCGACTAATTCTTTATACGCGATTAATTTTCCGTCGTAAATAGGTTCGGTTTTATTATAAGCTACGTAGGACGTAAAGGTTCGGTTTTATTATACGCCACGTAGGATGTAAATCGTTTGCCGGTGGAATCTTCGCGTAGTTTAATACGCACGATTGGATTTGAAGTCGTACATGGGGAAATTCAGCCGAAGACAAAGCTATATGTCGTTGAATAATATTACATATGTTACTAGAAGAAGACACTAACGTGTATTTGGGAATACGCTTGGGTAATTTATCGGGCACGATAATTAAACATTTTTTTATGGCATCGTTAACGGCAGAGTGAAATGCTTCTAAAAATTCGAGTAACTGAAATAAAATCGACTTCGACTCATTGGGCGGTAAAACAGGTTTGCCCTCCGCATCGAGCATATGTTGTAACCAATTATTGATGTAACCGATCGTCCGTAATCGGTTTTTCTTTTCATTTACGAATTTGCACGTATATGTTACGATCTGATCGTTTTTTAAATTGATATTGAGGATACTGTTGCTGAAGCTGCGCTACAGCCGTGTCCGTGTTCAGATCGATAAATCCCCATTGTTTTTCGTCGTGGAAACTTCTTCGGATTTCTGGTTTAAGAAATAAATATTACAGTATTTAATGCTCGGCTTAGAGGTTAATGGTCGAAATCGCATCCATTCGAATTTAAACACGCTATTCAGACTTATAAAAAGAAGTAGTGTGAACTATGTTTGCGATATATGCGGAAAAGGTGGGCCTTAGTATTGTCAGTCCAGCGCTCTACCATCACACTGCCGGGACCGGCTGTCGGGCCTAGGCTGGACAGCTAGTCGGGACATCGAATGATGTCTCCGCTTGGGGATAATTATTGTTACTGGACGCTGGGAGCAACATTACATAGAAAATAACCCCCTAGGAGGAAGTGATGCAGAACCACCATCATGCTATTACTTAAGCATAAAGTTTAAATCTGGAGTTTACATGTAATGATGCATTTGCGTTATTCCAGCAATTAGAGCAAGTTTTTATTTGCGTGTTTTGTCTTCAATACCAAATATATATATAAACATGCTTAGCATAGAATTATACCATGACTTTAACATAAGAGGAATGTAAAGTTCCACCTCTCCTTTGAAGTTTGTTTTCTTATTCTTATGAAAAATAAATGTTATTCAAAGTGTATTTAAATCTTCATGTTCCTTCTGATATGCAGGAAATTATGGTAACAAACTAGATGAGAATGTGGCTCCTTGTGCATCCACCACTCAGCCCACCAACGCCGTGTTTGATGGCTGCTACTACTACTTCCTGCCGTGGGGGAACACCAAGCCATGTGTGGTGGTGGACAGCCACTGGGAGGACATCAGCTTCAGGCTGGAGGCACTCAACTGTCTCCTCCGAATCATCACCGATCTGGTCAGTCCATGTGTAGTTAATGGGTATCTAGCAAGGGTTCATCATCAGCAGTGGCCATTGGTATTAGCTCTGACATAATGGAAAACCTTCTGGATCAGTTCTCACTTTTGGACTTTTATTTAGGCTCAAAGTAGAGTGTTTCTTAATGCCTGTCATGATCAAATATGTACAGATTTTCCTACCATATGTTAAAGATGCACTGTTTTCAGGAAGCCAACATTGAACGAGTTCGAATAGGCATCAAAGCAAAGTTGCCAACACCTGAATTAGCCCAGCTCCTCATATCACTGCTGGACCAGCTCACGCAAGACTGTAGGTGAGTGTGTGTGTATTATATGATCACACAGTCCCAAAGTCAGTCCTATATATGGAGTAGACAGGGTCATATGTGAACAGGCTAGAGACATGATTTCATACTGGAGTAGATAGATCATCTATGAGGAGTAGATGGGTCATGTACGGGGAGTAGATGGGTCATGTACGGGGAGTAGATGGGTCATGTACGGGGAGTAGATGGGTCATGTACGGGGAGTAGATGGGTCATGTACGGGGAGCGGATGGGTCATGTACGGGGAGCGGATGGGTCATGTACGGGGAGTAGATGGGTCATGTACCGGGAGTAGATGGGTCATGTACGGGGAGTAGATGGGTCATGTACGGGGAGCGGATGGGTCATGTACGGGGAATAGATAGATCATCTATGAGGAGTAGATGGGTCTTGTACAAGGAGTAGATGGGTCATGTACGGGGAGTGGATGGGTCATGTACGGGAGTGGATGGGTCTTGTACAAGGAGTAGATGGGTCATGTACGGGGAGTGGATGGGTCATGTACGGTGAGTAGATGGGTCATGTACGGGGAGTGGATGGGTCATGTACGGGGAGCGGATGGGTCATGTACGGGGAGTGGATGGGTCATGTACGGTGAGTAGATAGATCATCTATGAGGAGTTGATGGGTCTTGTACAAGGAGTAGATGGGTCATGTACGGGGAGAGGATGGGTCATGTACGGGGAGTAGATAGATCATCTATGAGGAGTAGATGGGTCTTGTACAAGGAGTAGATGGGTCATGTACGGGGAATGGATGGGTCATGTACGGGGAGTAGATGGGTCATGTACGGGGAGTAGATAGATCATCTATGAGGAGTTGATGGGTCTAGTACAAGGAGTAGATGGGTCATGTACGGGGAGTGGATGGGTCATGTACGGTGAGTAGATAGATCATCTATGAGGAGTTGATGGGTCTTGTACAAGGAGTAGATGGGTCATGTACGGGGAGTGGATGGGTCATGTACGGGGAGTAGATAGATCATCTATGAGGAGTTGATGGGTCTTGTACAAGGAGTAGATGGGTCATGTACGGGGAGTGGATGGGTCATGTCTGAGGGGAGTAGATAGATCATCTATGAGGAGTTGATGGGTCTTGTACAAGGAGTAGATGGGTCATGTACGGGGAGTGGATGGGTCATGTACAGCGAGTAGATAGATCATCTATGAGGAGTAGATGGGTCTTGTACAAGGAGTAGATGGGTCATGTACGGTGAGTAGATGGGTCATGTACGGGGAGTGGATGGGTCATGTACGGGGAGTAGATAGATCATCTATGAGGAGTTGATGGGTCTTGTACAAGGAGTAGATGGGTCATGTACGGGGAGTAGATAGATCATCTATGAGGAGTTGATGGGTCATGTATGCGGGGAGTAGATAGATCATCTATGAGGGAGTAGATGGGTGCATGTCATCTATGGGAGTGGATGGGTCATATGCGAAGTGGATGTGTCATGTACAGGGAGTGGATGGGTCTTGTACAAGGAGTAGATGGGTCATGCATGGGAGTGGATGGGTCATGTACGGTGAGTAGATGGGTCATATGCCGGAGTGGATGGGTCATGTCTGGGGGGAATGGATGGGTCATGTAGGGGGAGTGGATGGGTCATGTAGATGATAGATCATCATGAGGAGTTGATGGGTCTTGAGTAGATAGAGAGGATGGGTCATCTATGATAGATCATCTATTGATGGGTCTTGTACAAGGAGTAGATGGGTCATATGCGGGAGTGGATGGGTCATGTAGATCATCTATGAGGAGTTGATGGGTCTTGTAAGGATAGATCATCTATGAGGAGTTGATGGGGTCTTAGATATCTATGAGAAGTACAAGGAGTAGATGGGTCATGTACGGGAGTGGATGGGTCATGTCTTGAGGGGAGTAGATAGATCATCTATGAGGAGTTGATGGGTCTTGTACAAGGAGTAGATGGGTCATGTAATGGGAGTGGATGGGTCATGCAGGGGAGTAGATAGATCATCTATGAGGAGTTGATGGGTCTTGTACAAGGAGTAGATGGGTCATGTACGGGGAGTGGATGGGTCATGTACAGCGAGTAGATAGATCATCTATGAGGAGTAGATGGGTCTTGTACAAGGAGTAGATGGGTCATGTACGGTGAGTAGATGGGTCATGTACGGGGAGTGGATGGGTCATGTACGGGGAGTAGATAGATCATCTATGAGGAGTTGATGGGTCTTGTACAAGGAGTAGATGGGTCATGTACGGGGAGTAGATAGATCATCTATGAGGAGTTGATGGGTCTTGTACAAGGAGTAGATGGGTCATGTACGGGGAGTGGATGGGTCATGTCTGCAGGGGAGTGGATGGGTCATGTCTGGGGGAGTAGATGGCTCATGCAGAGAGGAGTGGATGGGTCATGTACGGGGAGTGGATGGGTCATGTACAGGGAGTAGATGGGTCTTGTTCGGGGAGTAGATGGGTCATGTATAGGGAGTAGATATGTCTTGTATGGGGAATAGATGGGTCATGTACAGGGAGTAGATGGGTCATATACAGGGAGTAGATGGCTCATGTACGGGGAGTAGATGGGTCTTGTTCGGGGAGTAGATGGGTCATGTATGGGGAGTAGATGGGTCATGTACGGGGAGTAGATGGGTCTTGTATGGGGAGTAGATGGGTCATGTACAGGGAGTAGATGGGTCATGTACAGGGAGTAGATGGGTCATGTACGGGGAGTAGATGGGTCATGTACGGGGAGTAGATGGGTCATGTATGGGGAGTAGATGGGTCTTGGAGTAGATGGGTCATGCAGGGGAGTAGATGGGTCTTGTGCGGGGAGTAGATGGGTCATGCGGGGGAGTAGATGGGTCATGTCTGAGGGGAGTAGATGGGTCTTATGCAGCAGGGGAGTAGATGGGTCATGTACGGGGAGTAGATGGGTCATGTACAGGGAGTAGATGGGTCATGTACAGGGAGTAGATGGGTCATGTATCGGGGAGTAGATGGGTCATGTACGGGGAGTAGATGGGTCTTGTTGGGGAGTAGATGGGTCTTGTATGGGGAGTAGATGGGTCATGTATGGGGAGTAGATGGGTCATGTATGGGGAGTAGATGGGTCATGTACAGGGAGTAGATTGGTCATGTACAGGGAGTAGATGGGTCATGTACAGGGAGTAGATGGGTCATGTACAGGGAGTAGATGGGTCATGTACGGGGAGAAAATATATTGAAGCCATGATTCCATCTTGTGATGTGTCACAGCTTTGTGTGTAGAAGATGACCATGTTGTTTTTTGTCTGCCATCACAGGAAGCCACTTCCAGAGTCAGTGTCAGGCCAGCATATAGCAACTGAGCTGGACAGACTGCTCAGTGCATACCGCCAGAATGAACTGCTTCACATCATAGATGTTGCCACAAAGCTCAGGGAGAATGCAACTGATGTAAATGAAGCACTCTCTGAGATAGAAGGATATCTGTCATTGCTGAAAAACTTGGCTACAGAGGTAAGAAAGCATTTTGTTGACTTCATTGAATTCTTCTTCATGTGATTTAGTTATGGACATTTCAATTGTGATGTCAGTGGAAAATCAAATTCCTCAAAAACAAAACAAAATTTAAATAGAAATATACATGGATATTGGTTTTTCAACATGGAAAACTCTGATGTTATATGCAATGATTTTACAGCCCCAAAACAGCATGCCGGATGTGGTGATCTGGATGATCAGTGGAGAGAAGAGACTGGCCTACTATCACATCCCAGCCAATGACCTGCTCTTTGCTGCAGATCCTTCATCTAGAGGACGATACTGTGGACGTCTACAGACCATTCAGTTGAAGGTTGGACAGTGCTGTAAATCTTGTAGCCTTAATACAATATTGCAGAGATCAACCACTGTTGCCATGCAACAAGCTTGGTTACTTGACACTCGCTAGTATTTGTAACAGGATAGTTTTGTAGGGATCACAAGTTGTTTGAGACTAATAAGAAAGACAATTTCTTGGCACTCACTAGTATTTGTAACAGGATAGTTTTGTAGAGATCACCAGTTGTTTAAGACTAATAAGAAAGACAATTTCTTGGCACTCACTAGTATTTGTAACAGGATAGTTTTGTAGAGATCACCAGTTGTTTGAGACTAATAAGAAAGACAATTTCTTGGCACTCACTAGTATTTGTAACAGGATAGTTTTGTAGAGATCACCATTTGTTTGAGACTAATAAGAAAGACAATTTCTTGGCACTCACTAGTATTTGTAACAGGATAGTTTTGTAGAGATCACCATTTGTTTGAGACTAATAAGAAAGACAATTTCTTGGCACTCACTAGTATTTGTAACAGGATAGTTTTGTAGAGATCACCATTTGTTTGAAACTAATAAGAAAGACAATTTCTTGGCACTCACTAGTATTTGTAACAGGATAGTTTTGTAGAGATCACCATTTGTTTGAGACTAATAAGAAAGACAATTTCTTGGCACTCACTAGTATTTGTAACAGGATAGTTTTGTAGAGATCACCATTTGTTTAAGACTAATAAGAAAGACAATTTCTTGGCACTCACTAGTATTTGTAACAGGATCGATAGTTTTGTAGATATCACCAGTTGTTTGAGACTAATAAGAGAGACTATTTCTTGGCACTTACTAGTATTTGTAACAGGATAGTTTTGTAGAGATCACCATTTGTTTGAGACTAATAAGAAAGACAATTCCTTGGCACTCACTAGTATTTGTAACAGGATAGTTTTGTAGAGATCACCAGTTGTTTGAGACTAATAAGAGAGACTATTTCTTGGCACTTACTAGTATTTGTAACAGGATAGTTTTGTAGAGATCACCATTTGTTTGAGACTAATAAGAAAGACAATTTCTTGGCACTCACTAGTATTTGTAACAGGATAGTTTTGTAGAGATCACCAGTTGTTTAAGACTAATAAGAGAGACTATTCAATGGCAATTTCTAGTATGTACAACAGAAGGAGAATGTTGCCGAGTATAGAGCTAAACCTTTCTGTAATGCAGTTCCCTGGCAGCAAGGCTGAGAAGGAGAAGAGGTTTGACGTGCCAGCTATGATACGTGTCAAGTTGTGGCTGGGTCTACAGAACCAAGAGGTGGAGTGGCACAAAATGCAGAAAGAAGGAGAGCTTGCCGTCTTTGCTGAGACAGTAAGTAGCTCTAGTAGCCCTAGTAGCACCAGTAGCCTTGGTTGCACCAGTAACACAACTTGCCAAGGTAGTGCCAGTAACACCAGCACCTTCCTTAACACCAGTAGCCCAGGTAGCACCAGTAACACCAGTAGCCAAGGTAGCACCAGTAACACCAGTAGCCCAGGTAGCACCAGTAACACCAGTAGGCCAGGTAGCACCAGTAGGCTAGGTAGCACCAGTAACACCAGTAGTCCAGGTAGCACCAATAACACCAGTAGTCCAGGTAGCACCAGTAACACCAGTAGGCCAGGTAGCACCAGTAACACCAGTAGCCCAGGTAGCACCAGTAACACCAGTAGTCCAGGTAGCACCATTAACACCAGTAGTCCAGGTAGCACCAGTAACACCAGTAGCCCAGGTAACACCAGTAGGCCAGGTAGCACCAGTAACGCCAGTAGGCCAGGTAGCACCAGTAGCCCAGGTAGCACCAGTAACACCAGTAGTCCAGGTAGCACCAGTAACACCAGTGGTCCAGGTAGCACCAGTAGTCCAGGTAACACCAGTAGCCCAGGTAGCACCAGTAACACCAGTAGTCCAGGTAGCACCAGTAGCCCAGGTAACACCAGTAACACCAGTAGCCCAGGTAGCACCAGTTATCCAGGTAGCACCAGTATCCTAGGTAACACCAGTAGTCCAGGTAGCACCAGTAACACCAGTAGTCCAGGTAACACCAGTAGCCCAGGTAGCACCAATCGTCCAGGTAGCACCAGTAACACCAGTAGTCCAGGTAACACCAGTAGCCCAGGTAGCACCAATCATCCAGGTAGCACCAGTAACACCAGTAGTCCACAGGTAACACCAGTAGTCCAGGTAGCACCAGTAGCCCAGGTAACACCAGTAGTCAAGGTAGCAGCAGTAGCCCAGGTAACACCAGTAGTCAAGGTAACACCAGTAGCCCAGGTAACACCAGTAGTCCAGGTAGCACCACCAGCCCAGGTAACACCAGTAGTCCAGGTAGCACCAGTAACACCAGTAGTCCAGGTAGCACCAGTAGCCCAGGTAGCACCAGTAGCCCAGGTAGCACCGGTAGCCCAGGTAGAAGCAGTAACACTAGTAGTCCACAGGTAACAACAGTAGCCCAGGTAGCACCAGTACCACCAGTAGTCCAGGTAACACCAGTAGCACCAGTAACACCAGTAGTCCAGGTAACACCAGTAGTCCAGGTAGCACCAGTAGCCCAGGTAGCACCAGTAGCCCAGGTAGAAGCAGTAACACCAGTAGTCCACAGGTAACAACAGTAGCCCAGGTAGCACCAGTAGCCCAGGTAACACCAGTAGCCCAGGTAGCACCAGTAGCCCAGGTAACACCAGTAGTCCAGGTAACACCAGTAGTCCAGGTAGCACCAGTAGTCCAGGTAGCACCAGTAGCACCAGTAGTCCAGGTAGCACCAGTAGCACCAGTAGCCCAGGTAGCACCAGTCGTCCAGGTAGAAGCAGTAACACCAGTAGTCCACAGGTAACAACAGTAGCCCAGGTAACACCAGTAGTCCAGGTAACACCAGTAGTCCAGGTAGCACCAGTAGCCCAGGTAGCACCAGTAGCCCAGGTAGCACCAGTCGTCCAGGTAGAAGCAGTAACACCAGTAGTCCACAGGTAACAACAGTAGCCCAGGTAGCACCAGTAGCCCAGGTAACACCAGTAACACCAGTAACACCAGTAGCCCAGGTAACACCAGTAGCACCAGTAACACCAGTAGTCCAGGTAGCACCAGTAACACCAGTAGCCCAGGTAGCACCAGTAACACCAGTAGCCCAGGTAACACCAGTAGCCCAGGTAGCACCAGTAACACCAGTAGCCCAGGTAACACCAGTAGCCCAGGTAGCACCAGTAACACCATAATCATCAGTAGCCAAAATCGCACCATTAGCACCAGTAACCAAGATAACATCAGTAGCACTCATAGCACATTTGTGTGAAGAATGACATCTTGAACACCTAGTTAATCTGTTCTTCTAGGCGTCTGACTTTGTGTGCTGGAGTGCCTGACTCTGAGGGTGTGGGTTCGAATCCCGGATGGGACTCAACCCAAGAAAAGTACTAGAATCTGTACTTTACTGAGAAAGTGTAATCCCAAATATAACATATGTTAATCTGTTCTTGATGAGTCAACCATTTAGTTTGATGTCATTTCCTGACAAGCGTGAAGGAAAGCTCCACTCAGGTGAGCTGCTTCTTCAGGACAATGAACCTGTTCTCAGTCACAAGCAGCTGAAGATCGTACTTTTGAAGTACCTCCTCTCTCTCTCTCTCTCTCTCTCTCTCTCTCTCTCTCTCTCTCTCTCTCTCACTCTCACTCTCTCTCTCTCTCTCTCTCTCTCTCTCTCTCTCTCTCTCTCTCTCTCTCTCACACTCTCACACTCTCACACACACCATGACCATCAATGACATTGGTGTTTTTTTGTTTTCAGTATCAGAATGAAGTAAGCATCTTGGGAACTTGGACCAACAAAGGCCCCACAATGACCCGCCCCAAGTGGTCCGACAGCCAAGGGAAGGTCAGTATTCTGCCCATATGATTGAATCAAGTATTGTTGTATCATCAAAAACAAGTGGCACAATCAGAATATATAAAAATATATTAAAGCAATTAAACTAACAATGGTGTATCAACTTGTCCTTCTCATGCATATTGTTCTGTATCAATAAATATTATACAGTTATTTACATGTGTGCAGATATCTCTACCACAAGATGGTTTTGATCCCCCACCAGGATGGCGATGGGATAGCGACTGGTATGTCAGCCCCGAACTCAGGTCAGTAAGATGCTTTTAAATCTTCTGTACTGCTTATTTGTGTCAATTCTGATTCAATGGGACTACATGTTATGGTTGATTCTGTGAAAGTAATCGAGGTATCATAAGGTATAAAGCTTCCACATACTCTGATTTGCTGGGTACCTGTGATTGAATATACCAGTTGGCTGATTTCATTGCAGTATGCTGTTTGACAAAGATGCTGGTCATCATCAGTTTCTGGAGGATATATATGAGTGCCAAGCCCGAAATCTCCCAGGTGGGCGCTGGGGTCCAGCATCCAGACCGTGGGCAGATGTGGTAGGTATTTTCTTGGAATACTGTTTTAGATAATGGGATGACAAGTATGGAATCACATCCTTGGGGAGGAGAGATAGTAGAAGCTGACATATTCTTGGACAGAAGAGATTAATTGCTTTGATTACAGAAGAGGCTAACAGTGTCCCAGGAACCATAGGACTGAGTCCTGATCCATGAAGCGTTTGTAGCGTTACGAGCAATGGACCACTAGACAGTGTTATTTAAACAAACCAGGCTAAGAATATTCCTAAGACGGTATGTTTGACAGTATTATTATTAGGAGACTACAAATTAACTGTGTCCCTGGAAGAGAAGAGCTTGGAATCCTTCTGGGGAAGAAGTGTTTATAACACTCTCAAAGGATGCCAAGGATTGCCTGTATAAGAACGACAGGCTGACTGCATCCCTGTATGGAGGGAATAGGCTGACTGTATCTTAGGTAGAGAGGGAGTAGGTTGACTGTATCCCAGATAGAGAGGGGGGTGGTTGACTGTGTCCTAGATAGGGAGGGGGGTTGGTTGACTATCCTAGATAGGGAGGGGGGGTTGGTTGACTGTATATCCCAGATAGGGAGGGGGTTGGTTGACTATCCTAGATAGATAGGGAGGGTTGGTTGACTGTATCCTAGATAGGGAGGGGGTTGGTTGACTATCCTAGATAGGGAGGGGGGTTGGTTGACTGTATCCTAGATAGGGAGGGGGGTTGGTTGACTATCCTAGATAGGGAGGGGGGTTGGTTGACTGTATCCAAGATAGGAGGGAATTGGATGATTGTTCCATGCATATGGAGCATTTGGCTTTCACTATATACACAATTGGAGTCAGCTCCTACTTAGTTGTTGCAGGGTTAAGAATGTTCACAGTTACAATGCTCTGGGGCCTAATGCTGCTACATTACAGCATTGAACTGATCACCTACTTATCAAATTCACTGTATCAGTTGTCCCAATGTATGAGATATGTCTACTGCAACAAAACTGGAGAAGTAATTCTTAAAAACTGGTCATGGTCATGTACTAGTACTTTTGAATTTGCCTAACTGATGCTGTTAGCTACGTATTTAATTTTACAGATGCCATTCCTAAATGTTCTTGTTCATGAAGTTGTTTTTTGTTTGTATTTTATGATATAATATGCTTTGCCCTTAGGACAAAGGGGGCGGTGGGGTAGCATAATGGTTATTGCGTTCATAAGCCAGGCCGAAGACTCAGGTTCGAATCCCCACATGGGTACAATGTGTGAAGCCCATTTCTGGTGTCCCCCGCCGTGATATTGCTGGAATATTGCTAAAAGCAGCGTAAAACTCACTCACTCACTTAGGAGAGAGATTTTCTGATGGTTTCAATGGTGTGTTAATAATGCTTCAGAAGAGAAGCCAGTTCTCACATATACTGTAAACGTACTTATTTTCGTGCGGTGCAATTTTCGCGGAATTGACAGTTTAGACTACATCGCGCGGTCAATTATTTGCGCAATTGCTGTCTCTTTGGCCGCCACTAATAGCAGTGAAAACAAACAGAGTGGCTTAACCTGTCAGGCAGCGTTTATTGCTTACTCACAGGAAATCCCTATCTGTGCGATATACTAGTACACAGTAATCCGTTTATTCCCGGAAGAGATGAAAAACACATCAGTCTTATGTTCCGAATTCTGACGATTTGATGAATTAACTTATACTGTATATGAAGCTCTTTGTGATTTCAAACAAGCCGGGTTGTTGTGAATGAGATGATTGAGTGTTAGTGACTATTCGCTTCATGATGTACTGGTGAATAAAATCTTAATGAATAAATAAAATACTGCTGTATTATTTCTTTCGAGGCGTTTCACGGTCATCTGTTTTGTATCAAACCATCTGTCATGTGACCAATTTCCATATGCCACAACACACATTGCTGTTTTCGCTAATTTGGCAATGGGATTTGGCTCATTATTTAATTATGTTTTGGGAAATCCATTACAGCGACAGTTAAGTATTATCAGTCGTCATTTTATGATTCCCGTTGATTTCTGTCTTCAAACGCGATGTGTTATGGTAACTACTCAGGGGCGTGGCTAGACTGAATGAATGACAGGTTTATTAAAAGCGGTGTATAAATTTTGGCTAAAATGTTTTGCTTGTGAAGCGCGAAAATAAAACCTGCGCGAAATATAATACATTTACAGTAAATGATTTAGAATCCACGATTTAAAAATCAACGAGTTTTGTGATTTTATTTCAACTAGACGTACTGCAATGAGGTAAATAACAGCTAGCTTGTTTTGTTTACTTTTAATATTGACTGCACTGTCCTTCTGTCATGTTTCTCGATGACACTGATGTATGTTGTCATCACTTGTTCAGACTACAGTCTTATTTTAGGTTCTAAGTCATCTAAATGTTGTGTTTCTTTGATCATAAATGTCTTCACATGAAACTGTGAAGTAGATTTCTGTCCTTGTTATATTTGAAGCATTGATGTAAGTATTCCACGAAATTTCTGTGTTCCTGTTGTCTTTAATCTGGACAACCAGGCTACAAATGTGCATCCAGATAGTAGCTCTCTTGCTACTTTGTGTTCATCTTCTGTAGGTGCGTAATATGACTGCATGTGTCTTGTCATCATTCAGCTGATTCTATGCTCCACAAATTACTGATCTAGACGTGACTGATTTGATATTTTGATTTATTATTCCACATTTTTCCTTTCTTCTAAACCATTTTGAATATGTTTGTTTTCTAGATCAGTGTACCAATTGGTATCTGATGTTACAAGTTCAGGGAATAATACACTGGAGAAAGTCTGCGGGCACTTTGTGTCCTAACATTGGTTATTTTCTAAAGCCATGATGGCAGATTTGGAACATTTTAGATTATGTCTAATGAATTCCTGTTGTAAATTATTTTTATACTACCATAAATTAAGAAAATGTTCAGTTCAGATTAGTTGGTCAGAGATTTCAAAATGAGACTAAACACCTCTGATTGAACAGCTGTTCTGACAGCTCTATCGCTCATGAAGGTGTTTTTGGTGAAAGACGTTTCTCACTTATTGTCAGTTTGTATTTGGCAATCATGTACATTTAGTCTTACAAAATCCAGAGTTGCCATAACTACAATATACAATGTGTGTGTGACTATACATTTTAACAGGGTAAACTAATCTTCAGTAACCCATGCTTGTCGTAAGAGGCGACTCACGGGATCGGGTGGTCAGACTCGCTGGCTTGGTTGACACATGTCATTGGTTCCCAATTGCACAGATCAATGCTCATGCTGTTGATCACTGGATTGTCTGGTCCAGACTCAATTATTTACAGACCGCCGCCATACAGCTGGAATATTGCTGAGTGCGGCGTAAACCTAAACTCACTCACTCACTGAATTTGCCTTAATGTTAATGGATGTCAGGATAGGCAGGATACACTCATGGTCTGTAGGATACACCCATGGTCTGTAGGATTCACCCATGGTCTGTAGGATACACCCATGGTCTGTAGGATGCACCCATGGTCTGTAGGATACACCCATGGTCTGTAGGATACACTCATGGTCTGTAGATATGCTCATGGTCTGTAGGATACACTCATGGTCTGTAGATACATCCATGGTCTGTAGATACGCTCATGGTCTGTAGGATACACTCATGGTCTGTAGGATACCCTCATGGTCTGTAGATACGCTCATGGTCTGTAGGATACACTCATGGTCTGTAGGAAGATACACTCATGGTCTGTAGGATACCCTCATGGTCTGTAGATACGCTCATGGTCTGTAGGATACACTCATGGTCTGTAGATACTCTCATGGTCTGTAGGAGGATACACTCATGGTCTGTAGGATACACTCATGGTCTGTGGGATACACTCATGGTCTGTAGGATACACTCATGGTCTGTAAATACGCTAATGGTCTGTAGATACGCTAATGGTCTGTAGGATACACTCATGGTCTGTAGATACACTCATGGTCTGTAGGATAAACTCATGGTCTGTAGATACACTCATGGTCTGTAGATACGCTCATGGTCTGTAGATACACTCATGGTCTGTAGGATAAACTCATGGTCTGTAGGATAAACTCATGGTCTGTAGGAGGATACACTCATGGTCTGTAGGATACACTCACGGTCTGTTAGATACACTCATTTCAATCATGGAAATATTGTTGTGCATTTTTTTACAAGTCTCAGAAATGTTTCAAAGTCTGACAATTTGTTCAACATTAATCTTTAATCTGAAGACCCACAAGTAAATATCGTATTTTGACAGAAGGACCTCTTTTCTAATACATGATGCCATTTTCAGAAAGGTGACCCGTGTCCGGCAAAAGAGGAGGTTCCTCTGCCTACAGGCTGGAAGTGGGACGATGACTGGCAGGTTGACCTCAACAGAGCTGTTGATGAAGAAGGTATGCATCCCCTGCTATGTTACAGGACTTCCGGGACTCTATACAATATGTCCTTAGAGAAACAAAGAACATCAGCTGTTATGTTACATTCACTACTGGGTATCTTTACTGATGTAGACATGAGATATATGGTGCCTGTATTTCAGCGTGGGAGTACTGTGTGGAGGCAACTATTGGTGGATATGGTCCTGTAGAGAAAACCTACCACTTGTGCCGGCGTAGACGCTGGGTCAGATCACGTACCATGGTCATGGATACGAAAAAGCAAGTTCAGAAGGTAAAGCAGTGCAAAAACTCAACAAACATCTTCTTAAGGCTGACTATTGTTTGTGCAACTGTCATGATAGGACCTAAAGCCTTGTATGTTCCATAGTAGCAGACATTCCTTGAACACTTTGGTATGTAGTCTGGAATTGGAAGGATTGTCACCTTACTTGAATTACCTAGAAATGATGTTTTCAAAACAATGTACAGTATACCCTGGTTATAATGCCACTGTTTGTCATGTTGGGGAAGTTTTCAGTATTTTGTTACAAGTATTGCTCTTGTCAATCATCTAGTACAAACAAGACAAATGTTGCTGTGTTGGGGAAGTTTTCATGGAAATAGGATAGTTGTTTATGGTCAAAAAAGGTATTTATTTGTGTAATGGAAGAAGAGCTAATAGTATTTTCTTATTAAAGATTATTGATGCTTCAGTTTATACAAGTAAAATGTTTAATGTATTCTGACTGAAAGTCGGGGCAGTGGGGTAGCCTAATGGTTAAAGCGTTGGCTCGTCACGCCGAAGACCCTGGTTTGAATCCCCACATGGGCACAATGTGTGAAGCCCAATTCTGGTGTCGCCCGCCGTGATGTTGCTGGAATATTGCTAAAAGCGGCGTAAAACCAAACTCAGTCAGTCAGTCAGTCAGTCTGACTGAAAGTCAAGTGAGCTTTATCATGGCCTAGTTTTCCTGTGTGGCAATGGCAGCTTGAGTATCTGGAAACATCTTCTTCGAAATCTCTAGACTATTGAAGCTGAAACTTACACAGGAATCTACACCAAAATTTTGCTCTATGCAATACACAAGAAATGTTATCAGTAAAGTTGTATCCTTCATTATTGACTCACCAACTTGTGGAATGCTGATGAAACAATTACGACTTAACTTGTTCTAGAGGTTCAAATCCATCTTCAGTGTTGTGTTTATCCTGACTCATGCTCCTTATTGCTCTTTTGCTTGTCTTCTTCTTCTTGCGAACATAGTGGAACACTTGTATCTCCTTAATTGAAGCTCCCTTCAATGTAAAATCACTAATTGGTACTCACCAAGAGTTGCCTCCCTTGCCCTTTGCGCGGGAACAGGTGTCGCCACCCTCTGGCCTCATGCTTCACTCTCTCCTTCTTCGCCCAGTGAGCAGGATGTGAGAGCGCCTGTGTCTCCTTACACACTATATCCTTTGGTTTTTCTTAGTTAGTTACCTCTTATAGGTTACTATAGAGGTATAGCTAGTATCCTTCATTAATTTGCATTGATAATTAATCGTATTTCTACTGTTTATTCACGGAGTTCGCGGATTGTTCAGCTAGTATTACGCTGATGAAAATCTGTACTATTTGTAGTTTACGTTTTTCTGTTGCTGACCCGCATGTATTATGCCCTAGTTGTGCTACGCCTTGTGCGTTTGATTCACGTTGCAGTTACTGCATTAATCTATCTAATTCTGCTTTTCATAAATATCTTTGCATCTTGAGACGTACCGCAGATAGGTCACGCAAACAAGGGTTAGACATGGCCGATACATCGGATTCCCCATCCAGTCAGCTGTTGTCGATCGACCCTCCCGCCTGGTGTTCCGCTAGAGACCCTTCGAAGAGGGGCGGGATGCAGTCCGCCACCTCTAAGAAGCGCCCTGCCTCCCCAGACGCCCCGGCCATCGCAGGCAAAGTCCAAGAGGGCCTCGACGCCTTCTCAACGCAGACTTCGACCCCAGGGCAGCGTCTACCTCCAAGGGAAAGTCCACGGTCGCCAAGAACTTTTCAGCCGAGATCGCTCCAGCCGCCGAACTGGGCCTCTACGATGATCAGCCGATCATCATCCCTGACGACGCCACAAGAAGCGGCCGGTGACAGCTACAGTGACATCAGCAGAGATCGCCATGCAGCCTGATGTCTCTACACTGATGTCAGACGACTCCCCTGAGGGCCCAGCCGCTATCATCGCAGAGAGGGCACCGACTACTTCGTCGCAGACCATCCCAGACGAGCTGTTGCGGCAGATCATGACCATGATGGAGGGCCACTACAGACGGGAGAAGCAGCCAGCCCAGGGCCTGAGCAACGCAGACGACACCCCAGAGGCACCCCCCGTCAGCGTAGCAGCCACGACGAAGCCGCCTTCGAGAAGGAAGTCACAGACCACCTCGATGAAGGACCCAGATGTACAGCCTTCGCGAAGGCGGGAGAGATCGTCACCTTCCTCGGCCTCATCCTCAGATGCGGACTCAGACCACCAGACCTCACGGAAGCCGTCACGGAGGTCAAGTCGCCGTTCCCCAGGTCCGGACGCAGAGGAAGCTTCACAAGGCCGTCACGAGGGACACCTGACCCCAGATCGTCATCGTCCAGAAGGACATCGAGGGACTACTCAAGAGCTTCGCTGGTTATCAACATTCTCCTCGCAGATCTCCGGAGAAGGTCATCCCATAGACGCAGATCACCTAGACGATCTCCACGCCGCGTTCACCACGCCGATCTCCGCGCACATCACCACGTCGATCACCTCGCAGGTCACCACACAAGTCTGCACACAAGTCTACAGTCAGGTCTCCCCAAGCATCACCCGACATAGAGATAGCAGCACACAGTTCACCATCAGAAGAGCATCAACCTCTCATCACCGATGCTGGAACAGAAGATGATGGAGGCATCATTTTCTCAGACGCTGAGATAAGATATTGGATGGTAAACAACCTAGATCTCTCTTCACCGTCCAAGAGTGGCAACTCAGCGCAGACATACCTGATGAAGGAAGACAATGCAGACGTCGTCACCCTACCTCCGATCGACCCGATTGCTGCGGTGCCACAGAATCTAGATACAGCCTTCCATAAAGCCACGAAAGTGCAGACACCACATCTGCCGAACTTTCACGCCAAGAAGTTCTCCACGCACAATATGGACCCCTTCCTCAAGGCACAAGACATCGATGACAACTACAAGCTGATCAGCGATGTTAAGAACAAGAACTACAAGATTGACGATCGCAAGCTGGTGCAGATAGAAACCATGACGAGACGATGTTTTTGGCCTAAATAGATCTAGAACGATCAATGAGACACTTATCACCAGATTTCTCAGAATACGACCTCTGAAGATGATAGGATGATCTACTCGGCCCTACTGATGCAAAAGAAGGACCAGCAGTTCCTAACAGATCATCTCACATCTGTCTCAGCAGCGTTGACCTTAGCTCGTCGTCAAGGCCTCCTCGCTTCCTGCAGCTGGGGTGAGAACTTTACAGCTCCACTCTATACAGCCCCGTGGTCTTCCCCATCCATCTTTGACGGAGGAATAGACAAAGTCTCCAAGGAAGTCACTAAGGACTCCAGAGAAGTCCTTATGATCAAGTCGATGGACACGCTAGCCAGCGTCATCAGGCAGACTTCACAAAGATACTCAGGGAGATCTAAGTTCTCTGGACTACAGAGAGCACGGGATAGGAAGATAGCCAGCGCCAGGGGAAAGATTCTTTTCTTCGCCCATATGGCAACTATAGAGGAGGGTCAGGAAGAGGCAGGACACCCAGAGGTTCCCGCGAACTATAAACGCTGAAAGACAGGTTCGGAACGACTGGAGTCTTCCACCCCCAGCCGTTCCAGTACAACCGTCACAAGTGGGTGGACGCTCCAACTACACTGGGAGAACTGGGGAATGTTACAAGACCCATATGTCTCCAACATTCTTCAACACGGATTTCAGATCCCACTACAGGCCACGCCTCCGCTGACAGTCAACCCTCACAAGTTCGACTTACAGGCACAACAACTACCAAAGTTAAGAGAGGCTGTTACATCACTCCTAACCAAGCAGGCCATAGAAGTACTAGATCAAGTAAACATCGAACCAGGCTTCTACTCCCCAGTTTTCCTAGTACCCAAGAAAAACTCCAAGGAGAAATACAGACTCATTTACAACATGAGCTTTTTCAACAGGAATTATCTACGCAAACCACCAAAGTTTCGCATGATACACCTACCTCAGTTACGGCAGTTGATTCGCCCCATGGATTACATGGCCAGTATAGATCTGCAAGACGCATATCTACACATCCCGATACATCCCGAATCCAGGAAATACCTACGATTTACACTAGACGGGCTACATTACCAATGGAAAGTACTCCCATTCGGAATATCATCAGCCCCCTGGCTATTCACGAGGATAACGAAACCTATTGTCACCTATCTACATCGCCTAGGGCTACGCGAGTGCTCTACCTCGACGACGGGATACAAGTAGATCAAGATCCACAGCGCCTCAAACTACAGTTAAACTACATCATAAAGCTACTAACACAGCTAGGATGGTTAGTAAACTTACTCAAGTCGGACCTAGTACCATCGCAAGATCTGCAGTTCCTAGGCATTCGATTTATCACTTAATCTCAACCGTATCGTCAGACCAGAAGACCGCTGGCTCAAGATCCAACAGACCATTCCGCCAGTTTCTACTCTCTCCGCTACCACTACGACAATGGCAGAGCTTGTTGGGTCTCCTCACATCAGCCCAAGACATGACAGTCAGAGGCAGATTACAGTTACGCCCATTACAGGTCTTCATCAATGCACATCTCGACGACCTACAACCATTCAGTCTACCAAACATCTCAGACCTCATCTACTATGGTGGACCAGGAGGTCGAATGTTCATGGAAGGTATTTGTTTAGCAGAGCAGGAATTCAAAACCCATCTATATGTAGACGCTGCCGCTCCAAGGTTGGGGAGCTCATCTCGCCAACCGACGGCATCAGGGTTATGGAATCAGCAAGAAAGCAAGCTCCATATAAACATGTTAGAGATGAAAGCTGTAATCAACGCCATACTTCATTGGAGCACCATTCTACAGAATGCGACCTAATGATTCATACCGACAACTCGACAGTGGCGCTTCTATGTGAACAAACAAGGCTCAACGAGATCACTGAACCTATTGACTTTAAGCTTTCAACTGTTCGATCTAATCCACGATCTAAACCTACATGTCAGAGCATGTCACATTCCCCGAGCCAAGAATGTACTAGCAGACGACTCTCTCGCCACATCAACCGCCACCGACAGAATGGATGCTCAATACAGAAATATTTGCACAGATAATCAAGCAAATAGGAGCCGCTAGTAGATCTATTCGCCACACGCTTCAACAATCAGCTACCGACATTCGTGTCACCAGTCCCAGACCCACAAGCATGGGCAACGGACGCTTCTAAGCATATCCTGGAAGGCCTCAATGCGCACGCCGCTTCGCCGCCAGCAATAATACCTCAAGTGTTACAGAAAATCAGACAAACACAGAGCCTCCAACTCACTTTGTCGCTACTCTACTGGCCAGCCAGAACGTGGTTTCCCATTCTAATTCAAGAAATCGGTCAACCAACACTAGAGCTACCCAAAGCCAAATCTATTAATACATCCACACACCAAACAGGTGCACGGAAGCCCAGAAGTATTCCAACTTCAATGTATGGACTGTATTAAAATGTGTTTAAACAAGAGAGGATATTCTACCAGGGCGGCAAAAGCGTCACGCTTTGCCTTACGCAATTCTACACCTAACTTGTACGACGACAAGTGGCACAGTTTCGAAAATTACGCAGCAAATAAGGGATTTACAGCGAGAGATGCTACTCATCCACAAGTGGCAGATTATTTGTGTTACTTACGGCAAAACAAACATTTAAAAGGCTCGACATTGTCAACATATCTTGCCGCCGCTTTTAGTTCTGTGATTACTATGAGAACGGGTGTCAAATTGACTAAGACTCCAGAGTTACTGGCCTTACTACGTGCTTTCCGATTGGAGGACCAAAAGCGGAAGTTCCACTTCCAGCTTGGGATCTGAATATAGTGCTACAACACCTCACAAGTGAGGCTTATGAACCGTTGGAATCGACAACCTTTGAATTTCTCTCACAGAAAACGCTTTTCCTGTTATCTCTAGCCACAGCAGCCAGGATGTCAGAAATTCACGCGACTAGATTATGAGAGAGGATACGTTTGATGACAATCAAAACACAGCACACCTGGGACTAAGATGGGATTTCATCGCCAAAAATCAACTACCAGGTCAACCAGACAGGTTATTCCATATCCCTGCACTATCCTCGATTCTCGATCTCAAGATACACTGGACTTATCTCTATGCCCAGTCAGAGCTCTCAAAATCTATTTACGACGCTCCAAAACAAGGCTAAGATTTCTCAAACGATTATTCATCCCCTTGTCGGCAACAACTCAGACAGAAGTCTCTCGCACTCACCATATCTATATGGATAAGAACTGTCATACTTCTCACCTACAAGGCAGCAGGACTGGACCCTCCAACAGCATCAAATCCCCATGAGATCAGGGCATTGGCTTCCACTCTCAGCCTCTACACGGTAACTGTTCATTGAATACAATTATGGAAGGATGCTTTTGGAAATCTAACATGGTGTTTGCTAATCACTATCTGAGAGATATCACCACCGAGGACGCCTCAGGTATTCACCATTTCGGTCCCTTGGTCCTCGCAGACAGCAGTTGACAGTCCCTCAGAACGCTAACACATAGTCTTACGAGATTAATATGCATAATTGATACATGCATTATCTAGCTTATAACTCTCACGGAGTTCTAGCACTATGTATATACTTAGCTTAGGTCTACTCACCCTTAAGCTTTTACTGATGATTATGTTCAGTTGTATAGCTTCTCTATCAGAGTCGCTTTGATATTGTTATTTGATAATATCACAGTATATTATTATTGTAAATACCCCAGTATGGCAATATATAACCTATGGCTTATAATAGAGGAAATATCCTAAGTCTATGCCTTTATGAAGTTCCCGTAAGGGGTTATTACAGTTATATCTATATAAATCACTAATTCTATAAATCCAAAGTATTCTGTTTTTCCCACCTCCGTTTCCGTAGGATTCTACAAGCAAAAGAGCATGAGTCAGGATAAGGAAAAATATGTAATTTTTAGAGTAAAATTGATATTTTATACTTATCCTGACTCATGAGGTAAGCCCTCCCATCCTCCCCACATAACACTTTGGATTTCCCTGTAAATTCAAGTGTTGGGCTCGCAAAATCAGGAGAGAGTGAAGCATGAGGCCAGAGGGTGGCGACACCTGTTCGCGCAAAAGGGCAAGGGAGGCAACTCTTGGTGAGTACCAATTAGTGATTTTACATTGAAGGGAGCTTCAATTAAGGAGATACAAGTGTTCCACTATGTTCGCAAGAAGAAGAAGACAAGCAAAAGAGCATGAGTCAGGATAAGTATAAAATATCAATTTTACTCTAAAAATTACAAAAATTACATTATGAAGTTCCACGCACAGGAACGAACCATGGACTTGGTCAGAAGAAGACGCCATCATCGCAAGATGGTTGCCGAAGACCCCAAAGCTAGTTGTTTCTTTAGCCTAAAGCCTGTGGTAAGAATCTGTCATCATATTGGACATACGTACAGTAGTGTTATGAGACACCAGCAATGTGTACTCATCCCCAAAAGTTAAGGACCACCCCAATATTCAGTATTTAAGTATTATATGGATCATAATATGAACTATTAAATACTTTAATATTGAAAGTTGGGGTGGTCCTTAACTTTTGTTGTTGAGTATATATACAGATTGGCAGGACATACACCAGCATTTTGAAATCTACTGCACTGCAAAACGCTAGCAGTGAATATTTATCATGGCAGTACATATACCAGTATTATAAGATCTTGTGCTGTACTAGCTATATATATATAGGCAGTACATATACCAGTATTATAAGATCTTGTGCTGTACTAGCTATATATATAGGCAGTACATATACCAGTATTATAAGATCTTGTGCTGTACTAGCTATATATATAGGCAGTACATATACCAGTATTATAAGATCTTGTGCGGTACTAGCTATATATATAGGCAGTACATATACCAGTATTATAAGATCTTGTGCTGTACTATCTATATATATAGGCGGTACATATACCAGTATTATAAGGTCTTGTGTTTCCTCATTGGCCAACACTTCTCAGACAACCAAAGTCAGACAGGTTCCATCGCAACTGGATCAGCTCCACCTCCACTTATGGAAACTATCCAGTGACACTTAGCAGCAGCAGGATTTCCTCAGCTGTTACACTGTCAGTCAGAGCCTCAACATCTGCTTTAGATGATTATAAATGGGGCTGATTCCAGCAGTGGAGAGTCAGATCAGAAACAGACAATGTCTTTATAACAGTACTGATATTTGCAAATTTTTACATTTCAAAAAAAAATCTACCTCTTGTGTATGGAACCATAGAAGTTTATTGCTCAGCATTAATGTCTATTTTACTAAACAAAGAATACACATTGGAAAAGATCCAGTTCTTGCCAGTATGTTACAGTCCTCTGAACTGGAGGATATCCCAAAGAAAGAAAAAACTACAAAATGGGACTAATCATTGTATTATCATTGTATTATCATTGTATTATCATTGTATTATCAGGATTATTACATCATCCATCTGAACCTATAGAAAAGGCATTCTTATTTTGCATGGAAGACTACCTTCCTTGTTGCACGGCATCACAAGTTTCAGAATTTGCATGCCTTTGGATAAATGATTGGCTGCTTTCTTAAAATATTCATCCAGTCAAGATTAAAACCTTACTGGAGTTCCTTACCAAGTATCAAAAGTGGCATGCTAAGCTTCATGACAGATCATGTCAGATTGCCATGGACGTCATCAAACACAGCATTTACCTGAGGGATGTGACCCAAGACAATCATGGCCTGCATTATTGTTGTTCCTGGTCTGCCTCAGTTTGTCCTGACTGCCTAGCTTTGGGATGGAGAAAAGAGCAGGGAGCAATCAGAATTATTCCTACCTAACCTATATAGGGGGTACTCTGTTCCCACTGAGCCTATTTTGGATTTGGCAATCAAGTGTTAGAGGGACGTATTCATAAGAATTTTGGAACATTGTCAATAATGATGATAATTCTTAGAATACTACTTCTTACACTTGAGATAGAGCCCACCCATCCATCTCCCACAAATCCCAGTGTACCTTCCTTAAGGTACCTGAGGAAATATTGTAAGGTTCACACGCTTAAATTAACTCCTTCAGATAGCACTTGGTCTTCTAAAAAATTATTCAAGCTAAACCTATGGATCAGGAACAAATGTTTGGTGTGGTATTCCAATGAATCAGGTGCATGGTTCACACAGTGTGGGGTGGGGTCACTGGCTCACAGTCAAGGAGATAAATGGCTAACACAGTCACGGAGATAAATGGCTAACACAGTCAAGGAGATACATGGCTAACACAGTCAAGGAGATAAATGGCTAACACCAGTCAAGGAGATAAATGGCTAACACAGTCAAGGAGATAAATGGCTAACACAGTCAAGGAGATAAATGGCTAACACAGTCAAGGAGATAAATGGCTAACACAGTCAAGGAGATAAATGGCTAGCAAAGTCAAGGAGATAAATGGCTAACACAGTCACGGAGATAAATGGCTTAGATGAATGGTTCACACAGTGAATTAGATGAATGGTTCACACAGTGAATTAGATGAATGGTTCACACAGTGGACACATATGAATGTGTTTATGATATATAGTACACAGGACACATTGCCGTTGTGTTTCAGAGAAAAAAGTCAGTGCTTAAAAGAAGCCAGAGTTTGAAAGAAACACTGACCCCGAAGGTGATGAAGATAGGGGTTAGAGGAGTATAGTTCAGTATCTAGTTGTAGTTGTGCTGTTGGTTTATGTGGCAATAGCAACCTGTAGATACTTTCTTGGTGTCTGCAGTTCCTCCTTACAGTCACATGAGTTCTGGTTGGTTGGTTACAGACCAGAAGGGCTGTTTATTGGTGTGGTATGTGTCCTTTTTGGGGTCTCCAGACAATAAGGCAAGGGTTTTAACAGTTTGCTTTTTGAGATATTACCCTATGAATGACCATCAAAATCAGTAAGTAATTGAGCCTTTGATGTTCCATCATTGGTCTCAACACCTCTACTTTCTGTCAAGTATCTGTAGAAAGTTCTGCGATGTGTGTACTGTAAATTATTCTACTGTAATGGGTTGGTTACAGTACTAGGCAGGTGCCAGCAGCAACGTCTCATTACATTTCCCAATTTGTGTGTAGTTTTTCTACTTTTGATGTACTTATCCCAGTACTTACTGATAAATATCAGTGAACATAGAACACATTCAGTTTGAAGATGGACACCAGCCAACCAGTCAGTGATGATTAAGCTAATGTGACGTTACTGCAAGACGTTGAGCTTAAGTCTGAGAGTATTCCAGGTGGCAGCGTTCATTACATCAGTATCAATAGTACCCATAGTTAGTGTTCTCGTTTTGTCTTCATCTTGGCACGGGATTTGGGTTTCTGTTAATGACTAGGGTCTATATCTGATATAATTTGCAACACTTCTTTATTGATCATGGAAAGTACCTGACTACTGGAGAAATCACTCAAATCTGGATTACATTAGCAGAAGTAACAAGTTCAAGTGATTTCAACAACTAAAGCGATGTTATGGTTGATACACAGTTTCTCTCACATTTGGCATCATGACCTGCACCAAATGCCAGTTCAGATGGCCAGGGAATTCCTGGCTCAAAATCAGCTGCAAAAACTATAGCATAACTTCAGCATAATGGTTTAATGGCCAGGAAAGTTTTTTGTCTGCTTTTTTTTTTTGTTCATTTCTTAATGTCTCTTTGAACTTTGACATCCTCGAGGAAGTAAAGTCCTTACTTACTTAAAAGAGAATACTGGAAAATTGCAATAAGTGACTGGGTGAAAGATGAAGTCACCAGTAACATGTACCCCAATTTGTAATGCAAAAGTATTTTTATCTGTATTTCAATCGCAAAAACAGATTCTGTTATCTGAGCTTCAGCCATTATGCATATTCCACTGGAACTCACGTGACCTTGTGATGTCATATGTGACTAAAGTCGGCCATACTGCCCAAGTGCTACAATAATACAAATCGTAATCAGAAATAATGTCAGGCACATCTTTCACTGCTTCAGAATCCATGGTCACTGTCAAGTTGTGAGGTAAAATCAAAGAGGAAGCCATCGGCAATAGGCACATATGACGTCATGTCACGTGATACCCATCTCTGCTCATTAACTGTCGGGTGTTTCCGTAATAGGTGGAAATACGAGTATGTTTTTTATGTGTTTATTGTGATTGTCATACAAACTTTTTGTTTAATTTTAATCCCGGAAGGTGACTTTTACAATGCCTTTACCCCCATGAAATAATTGTTTTTGCGTTAGTATTCTCCTTTAAGTTTAAGACCACACAAATAGGAGATTGCATGATCAGTGTGTCTCTAGTCTGAAGAAACATTAAGCTCTCAGTCATCATGAATACACAATGTCAGTTAGAAAGTGGTTCAATGTAATACCTTATATTTGGGATTAAACTTTTTCAGTTAAGTACCAATTCCAGTACTTTTGTTGAATCATCATGTTTGTAGAGAGGATGACAGATCATCAGTGTGTTTCATCATGTTTGTAGAGAGTATGACAGATCATCAGTGTGTTTCAAGGCCCAAATATTCCTTGTAACTAAAGTGACCTGAGATATTGCTGTATCATTTTTCAGCTCATTTCTTCTTTCAAGAGTCTTTACTTAGTTCTCTTTTATGTGAAACTATTTTTTTCTATACATTCTTTGTTTGTTACCTCCTTGTTTCTAATGTCACAGTTGAATGCTACTTAACTCATTTGATTGATTTCAACCTAGTTGAAGATTACACTGTTCTGAGATTGACCTCCAATATATGTGGCATTTAATTCATTAACTCTTCTGAATCAAGTCAAATCCTCTCAGTTTTTGTCAAGTTAAATGATTTGTATGTGTTATGTTAAGCAAGTTATCAAGAAATACATGTAAATATTATATGTAGTATCTACTTTAAGCAAACACAAACAGTTGGAGCAATTTTACACATCATACCATTGTTTTTTCTAGCTGTCTGTAAATACATTTCGTCTTTTATGCTATTTATTTGAACAATACTCAGTCTGTCATGTCAAGATGTTACATATTCAGTTTGTGAAACGACCCTCGACTTCATCAGTGCCTGAGCCTCCAGAACCCCCCCCCCCAGTGGTGAGACATACTTCAGGCTCTGTATCTCAACAAGCTCAGTAGATCGGTTAATGGATCTTTGTAGTTGGAGGTGGATGTCAAACATATAGTCATAGGAATCTTTTTTTATGATCTTGATGTCAGGGCATACATTTGATGTCAATCCATACACTTGATGTCAATGCATACACTTGATGTCAATGCATACACTTGATGTCAATGCATACTCATTTCTTCATCAAAATCATCTACGACTGTAGCCATAGCAATCTTTGTAGATTATTTTGAATTTCAAATTCTTACAACCAAAATATGTGCTCAGTACAACCAACACTGAAGTCACACCATTCTTTGTAGACATACCTGATAAGCAACCTGTGTGAATGTTCATGATGACATATGTCTTTAGTGAGGCAGTCTCTGATTGTAGACACAGCAACCTGTGTGGGTGTTCTTAAAGACATATGTCTTTAGTGAGGCAGTCTCTGATTGTAGACATAGCAACCTGTGTGGGTGTTCTTAAAGACATATGTCTTTAGTGAGGCAGTCTCTGATTGTAGACATAGCAACCTGTGTGGGTGTTCTTAAAGACATATGTCTTTAGTGAGGCAGTCTCTGATTGTAGACACAGCAACCTGTGTGGGTGTTCTTAAAGACATATGTCTTTAGTGAGGCAGTCTCTGATTGTAGACATAGCAACCTGTGTGGGTGTTCTTAAAGACATATGTCTTTAGTGAGGCAGTCTCTGATTGTAGACACAGCAACCTGTGTGGGTGTTCTTAAAGACGCCATAGCTCTATGAGAATGCTTTATTATGACTATTATTGACAGATGTTTGTAAGTTGTTGCCACCAATATTACTATAATGCCTTCAGAATGACAGTCTCTGCTACTGTCTCCGGAGGTATAGTTATATATATATATATGTGTGTGTGTGTGTGAGCCATGCAGGCTCATGGTTTTCACCCAAGTGGTAAATGTCAAAGAACTGCATCACTGTGGGCGTTTCTCGCCCACATTTTTCTGCTTCTTTGAGTGGCATTTTAGAAGTTGGGAAGTACAATATAGAACAAACTTTATGGATAACAACTTCTTTTTATTCGTGAGTGCAACGTTTCAATACAGATTCTTGTACTGTTGTCCTGCTTTTTTTATTCGTGAGTGCGACGTTTCGATACAGATTCTTGTACTGTCGTCCTGCTTTTTTTATTCATGAGTGCGACGTTTCAATGCAGATTCTTGTACTGTTGTCCTGCTTTTTTTATTCGTGAGTGCGACGTTTCGATACAGATTCTTGTACTGTCGTCCTGCTTTTTTTATTCGTGAGTGCGACGTTTGATACAGATTCTTGTACCGTTGTCCTGCTTGACAAAGTTGTTATCCACAAAGCTTGTTCTATATTGCACATTATTCTGAAACACAGATGAAAACTGTTGTCATGAGCAGCCTTGTTCCCCATCATCAACCCTGACTTTTTTAAGTCGAATATTATTCAGCATACTTCACCTCACAAATACACTTTACTGTTTTGAACTCTGCAGGAAATGTTCTGTTTCTTAAAATCATACACTATCATCTAAGACAAAATAGAAGTTATTTGGTGTATGTTTTGACATGTATTTATGGGATGATTAACAAGTAGCGTATTAGTGATCACTGATAATTGTTTTTATGTATCAAATCACCAATGAAAACTCTGAAAGGCACCGATAACCTTAGAATCAGTTGGGATGTTTTGGAAAATGCAAGATCACAAACACCAAGAGAGCTTTCCACCATATTGGATAAAGTGTGCAAAATCATGTTTCACAAGACACCTGGTACATCACATATATTTCACATTCAGCTGCAACAAATACCTCATACATTTTGTCACTGGCAGTATTTTTCAACTGCCATAGTAGTTGCACTTGAATTTACATTGTCATATAGGAAGTTTATTATTCCACATCTCTGTATAGCCATATTGTCAAAGGTAGAGAGAGTTCTACATAGATGCTATTCCTACACAAAGTACCCTTTTCACATCATATGAAAATGTGTGTCCAAAACAACAAAATTCTCTGCATCCCTGGGGTAAACCCAACTGACTGACTCATTAAGTTGTATGTTATCATCATGTTACTACAAGTGTTTAGTAGGTGATCATTGTACTGATTTCTTCGTAATATGGTCATACTAGTTTGCCATTGTCAACTGGTGTGTGATGAGGGGCGTGGGGTTAGCCTAGTGGTAAAAGCGTTGGCTCGTCACGCCGAAGACCCGGGTTCGATTCCCCACATGGGCACAATGTGTTAAGCCCATTTCTGGTGTCCCCTGCCGTGATATTGCTGGAATATTGCTAAAAGCGGCGTAAAACTAAACTCAGTCAGTCAGTGGTGTGTGATGATTGACATTGATTGACATATGTGCATCAGTGCTATCTGGCAGCAGAACTATCTGTGCTTCCTGCTCATTTGTCCTTATGCAAATAGGTTCATTTTGTAACAGTTCAGGGCCTAGATTTTCGAAGCTTTCTCAGAGCTAAGATAGTCGTAAGTTAATGTTAATGTATGGCACTTACGACCATCTTAACACTAAGAGAGCTTCTAAAATCTGGGTCCTGCTTCTTACAATGACCAGTGTACAGATGAGTAAGAACTTTATTTTAGGTTAAGCAGAAGTCAGCTTACGATTTTGTTTCGTCCATGTTTGTTCATTGCATTGAAAGTAAGTTAGAATTTTTGTGATAAATGTCAATTGGATTTGCTCATATCATGAACACTTGGTTTAAATGCTAAATTACCTATTTGGTCAGCATCAGTGATGTGAGAGGAAACTTGAAAATGACTAAAACTAGGGCTTGAGGTGAGAACATGCAGCTAATGATGCCATGAAGATCATTATATAACCCATACAAATTAGTACAGGCCTGACATTTGAGAACCAGTAATATGTGATATTTCCGCTAAACTTTGAGATTGAGAGAAAATTCAATCAATAGATCAATGAACATTATTTTGGAAATAATAAGTATTATTTTTGTTATGTATAATTTGCTACATCTTTCATTCATTTAAGTTGTCTTACTTGGAAGGGCAAAAACTGAATGAAAGAAGATATGAGTCAGTGTGCGAAATAGTTTCCATATTTTGCTAGCCAGTCGGGCTATCTATGCCTGAAACTTACTAGCCCACAGAATAATTCACTAGCCTGAAATTTGAATGTAGAAGCTAAACAAAAGATTACAAACATAGATGAGGATAAGATATTGTCAGCATGACACAGGTTTCATCATTAAGCTGCTAATATGATGAACATTTTTATCAGGCCATAATCCTGCATTTGAGAGAGTGATATAGTTACAAAATGACTCCATGAAAATTCGCTAGCCAGTCGGGCCAGAGACTGTGGAAATTTACTGGCCCGACTGGATTTTTACTAGCCATGGGCTAGCAGGCCAGTGGCTATTTCGCACACTCATGTCAGTATTGGGATTTGGTCTTAGTCATAACTTGGTCATAGTATGAGTTTAACAGACGTAATGGACCAGTTCCAGTACACTTTATCTGATAATAAGGTTTGTTTTGGTCATCTTGTCAAAACAAGGACTTTATATCACATAATCTGTGCTGTATGTTGTGGTGTTATGTGGTGTGAACAAGCTGAACGTTATTAGTGTGTGATTGTGTCTGTGTTGTGTTGCAGGAGGGGGATGACAAGCTGGATGCTTCCCTTACTGCTCCTAGGATGTTCCTGACCTTTGACAGTAAGTATGATTAGGTCATATACAAACTCATTTATAAGTAAATTGTATATATTTCCTTAAACACAATTACCAATACTTTAAGCTGGAAGGTTGTGTTATAGATATTCTGTTGACAATAATGATGATGTGTTTGATGGTTTATCATCGGACTGTGTCTGGGGCTGTTCTAGTTCATCAGGCATGTCCCCTTGGTGACGTTTATCATTGGACTGTGTCCTGCAGCTGGGGCTGTTCTAGTTCATCAGGCATGTCCCCTTGGTGACGTTTATCATTGGACTGTGTCCTGCAGCTGGGGCTGTTCTAGTTCATCAGGCATGTCCCCTTGGTGACGTTTATCATCGGACTGTGTCCTGCAGCTGGGGCTGTTCTAGTTCATCAGGCATGTCCCCTTGGTGACGTTTATCATCGGACTGTGTCCTGCAGCTGGGGCTGTTCTAGTTCATCAGGCATGTCCCCTTGGTGACGTTTATCATTGGACTGTGTCCTGCAGCTGGGGCTGTTCTAGTTCATCAGGCATGTCCCCTTGGTGACGCGTTTATCATCGGACTGTGTCCTGCAGCTTGGGCTGTTCTAGTTCATCAGGCATGTCCCCTTGGTGACGTTTATCATGGACTGTGTCCTGCAGCTTGGGCTGTTCTAGTTCATCAGGCATGTCCCCTTGGTGACGTTTATCATCGGACTGTGTCCTGCAGCTGGGGCTGTTCTAGTTCATCAGGCATGTCCCCTTGGTGACGTTTATCATCGGACTGTGTCCTGCAGCTGGGGCTGTTCTAGTTCATCAGGCATGTCCCCTTGGTGACGTTTATCATTGGACTGTGTCCTGCAGCTGGGGCTGTTCTAGTTCATCAGGCATGTCCCCTTGGTGACGTTTATCATTGGACTGTGTCCTGCAGCTGGGGCTGTTCTAGTTCATCAGGCATGTCCCCTTGATGACGTTTTGTACCAGATGTTATGTGTACCTGCCATGCATTTCCTCTTCTCCCAGAGTCCTTCAAGTACCAGCTGAGAGCATACATCTACCAGGCCCGGGACCTCCTAGCAGCAGATGACTCCGGACTCTCAGGTAATCTACATTCTCCCACACTGTCATGCTGTTGGTCAGAAACAAAACCACTGCCAGTCTGTATTAAGAGTGTGCAGCTTTGTCTAATATATTTATCTTGAAAATATGTATGATTTAATCTGACTGACCAAATGAAAAAGAAGGATTGAAACCTACAGCAAATCATCTTGTATGTATGGAGGTGTATCAAGAAATATCTTAAATCAACACTTTTGTATGTTGTAATTCAATTTGTAGCAGTTTTAGCATGTGGATCTTGTGTTAACCCAAACCATATGAAATACACAATGCCATTTTAGAAAGTGGTCAAATGTAACATATGTTATATTTTGGGATTATAGAAAGTGTAATCCCAAAATATAACATATGTTATAAACCACCATTGGTTTGATGAGAGCAAACATATGAAAGTAGTTAAACTTTTAAGTCCTTGACTGTCCACTGATGTAGAACATCTTGATCATTTCTTCAACACTTTATCCAAATGTGAAGATACTTAAATCAATGAATTTATGTAAATATGTTATGTATTTCTCTCTGTGTCAGTAGCTCTGCTGATGTAACACAAATTCCTGAAATGGCATTAAGTATTTTTCTATTCTATTCTAAATCACCTAACTGATATCAGTATTTTAATCCTTACAGTGTCTTCTGCGTACCTCTTCATGTCCAGGTTGCCATGACTACATAACGATATACTGAATGATCAGGCCGCTTTTCTACTTTTTTATCTGTGCTTACTCAGCTGGAAAGGGTTGGAACTCCCTTCCTTGTGTCTTACAACAGTGTCCACTGCTTAAAAAGGAATATTTATTTGAGCACATACTGGAAGCATGCAAAAATCATAGGATTTAATAGGCGCTTCATCGCATTAAAGAAGTGTGAAACGTTTGAATGATGTTGCAACACATGTTCCAAATGCAATCTGTCACTGGAGTATGTTGCTTGTGACTGTCAGTATTAATGATGATGTTGTTTGTGCAGATCCCTTTACACGGGTGTCCTTCCTGACACAGAGCATGGTGACGGAACGGCTACACAAGACACTGTGCCCCACCTGGGATCAGACACTCATCTTCGGGGAGATAGAAATATTTGGAAACCCCAAGGGGATTGAATCTCAACCTCCAGACATCATTCTGGAACTATTTGATCATGACACATTTGTAAGTATGAAACCTTATTTTCAGTTCAGATAATAGGTTTGATGAAATGACCTTTACTGTTGTGTCTCTCCAGAAACTCCAGAACAATTATTGAATAAAACAGTCCTTCTGCACTCATTACATTCTCAGCTCCAGGTACCTAGGCTCATCCTAGTCTCAGCTCCTGAAATTAAGAGACTTTAGTGTTCTTAAGTATTCAACGGCTCCCTCACAGAATGACTTTTTGTAACTTTATGCACAGGTATTTTTAAGAGGCTTATGAATTAGTTATGCAGATTGCTGATAAGCCAAATGAATACAACATGAACATTTCCCAATAATGTTTGATCCATTGTCAACCATGTTTCCCAATGTATCCTGGCTTTCTCAGCAGGAAGTTGTTAGAGCTCGACTTAATCTTGTTCTGTTGGCCATTACAGGGTAAGCCTGAATTCCTTGGGCGGTCCAAGGCACAGCCTATGGTGAAGCTTGACCCAGCTGATGCCCGCACGCCAGTTCTGCAGTGGTATGAAATAAACCGCATGGGACAGAAGGGAGGCGAACTACTTGCAGCATTTGAGCTGTTTCTGGTGAGTTGAAGTTAAATGATGCTGATGACATTACTCTCTCTGCCATGTTACAGGAATGGATTCTTTGTCAGGGTAATTTCTAATCCTCACCTTTCTAATCCTCAAACACCTTGCAAAGTTTGGAAATAAGATTTGTAAGTTCTATTTCTGTTGTGAAAATTCCTATTTGTGTCATGTTATGATGACAGTGCCTTTGAGATTCCATTAGAACTTAAGTGTTTGGCCTGCTTGTAACTAGCTGATAATCTCTTGCACAGCAACACCAGGGCCTCCTTTCACAAAGCATTAAGGTGATTGTAAGTCACTAAGGTAACCTTGGTGCAATGTTAAAGAATGGGAGTTTAGGTTAACCCTAGTAAAGGTTGCTTCATGAAAGGAGCCCCATGGCTGGAAGCAGGACCTGCATGGAGAAGTTAATGGAGGAGAGTCAGACATGGACTAGTGCTAGACAGTCCCAACACAATCTGGGATACGCTGGTAGGAACGGAACTGCTGGAACTGTGTCCAGCTGTGTGTTCTGATGTAAACATTCACGGGATATGTCTTGTAATACTGGCTGAATCGGATTTCTAACTTTCTAAAAGTGTTCAATTTTTCAGAGTGCAGTTATCTCTTTGAAAGTTTTAATTACTTAAAACTGTAATTTAAAGGAATGTGTTTGTTACTGTAGCTTGATCGTATTGTTTTGTTTTGTTTGTTAAGGTTAGCTGTGTAATGTTCCATGTAAGAAGTGTATGGAGCGATATTATTTGATTGTGAGATGTTGTAGGTTTTACCTATTATAGAATTGTAATTTTGATAGTGGCTTGACGGCTGTCACAGAGATGGCACAATGTCTACCACAGACAGAGTATGACTCAGGAAGCCTAGATTACATATGAAACCCTTTCAAACAAAACACTGGTAATTATTACTGCATGAGTACCAACATACAACATTTACTATGATTACTGATCGTGCACTTCATATAAACTGAACTCAACTTAGGTATCCAGTTTCAATGAACCAAAAGTAGGGTATAAGTAACCAAACTCCTTTTATGAATTACACCCGAATGGGTCTATTCGTCATCTGATGGCTGTCTTTCTTGTGATAATATAAACCCAAATTTACTCTGTTTGCTAATGTCAAGTATGATAGAGCGGAATGGAACTTTCCATGTGAAATGTTTCCTACAATGGGTGGTCATGTGGAAAGTTATTAAATCAGATATTTGATAATCATGGTAAACTTTAAGCTTCTGCCGCAGCGATCATGTATGCAAAACAAGTTGGACATATGACTACATTTATATTCTCATTAGGAATTGCAAGACAACTTAATCTGGTCAATATTCTTCAGATGACTGGGAAAGATTTGCCATTCCTACCACCTAAAAAGGGCAGCTTATACCTTGTACCAAATGGAATCCGTCCCGTCATGCAACGAACAGGCATTGAGGTAGGAACATTATGGAGACGTACATGTTTGTGGAGAGAACTGCTGTTTGCATAGACCTTCAGATGTGTATAGCATTCAGCCATTGCTGTTTGTATAGACCTTCAGATGTGTATAGCATTCAGCCATTGCTGTTTGCATAGACCTTCAGATGTGTATAGCATTCAGCCATTCCTGTTTGTAATTAACCCTTTGCTTTCTATATTGTTCAGTCAATTTGTCTATAAGGAACCCCAGCCTTCTATACCATTCAGCCATGGTCTGTTGATATACATACATTCACAGGTCTTGTGCTGGGGGGTTCGCAACATGAAAAAGTTCCAGATGTCCAATGTGTCGTCCCCAAGCATAGAGTTTGAGTGTGGCGGTCATCTTCTCAACTCTGTTACCATCAAGGATACCAAGAAAAACCCGAACTTCATTGAGCCACTCTTATTCTTCGATGTGGTAGGAACATTGTTTGAATTACTGCATATTTTATGTTGCCCTTCAGGCAACTTAACCATCCACATGTGAATGAAACTCTCAACAAACATCTCTAATCTGGTTGCAAAGTGATCTCAAAAGTAGACCCTGTATGATAATGAACCTCATTCTACAGGAATCTTGAGGCTACGTCTGTAAGTCTCAGTTAAAGCACTGGTGCTGTGACAGTGCTTTGTGAAACATAACAAGGATTAGATGCTATACTGCTACATGCTTCCATGAAACACCTTCTCTCCGATTAATTGAAAATGCTCATTACTGAAAATACTGGTACCATTTTAAGAAAAACATTTGTAAAAAGTTGATTATCTATCTGGTGCTGTCCTCCACGCTGTGTGTGTGTGTGTTTATAGATGCTGCCAAAAGAGGAGCTGTACATGCCGCCCATGAACATCCGTGTACGTGACCATCGACAGTTTGGTCGAAAACCAAATGTTGGTGTGTTTGTATTAAGAACCATGGAGGATTTCCGCTGTGACCCCATGCTGCCAGTTGCAGATGAGGAGGAAGAAGGTAGGGAAGGGCAAGGTCATTCAGACATTCTTAGTGAACTCATTTATGAGTGTCCATGGTCGCCATGTGAGTAGACTACAATATCTCATCATGTTGCAGCTTTTATTTGTACCAGGATGATGATCATCATTATAAGTTTACAAACAATGCGGAACAAGTTGATTTGTATTTGATAAATGTCAATATTGATGCCAGATTGATTGTTGTGTGAAGCAGTGTGTCACGGTTGTTTTGGATGTCGTTAAACAGGTAGCATTGTAGGGAACGGTCCAGCCGGAGAGCATGTGGTGGATATGCCCCAAGAGGAAAAGCTGCCAAAGGTAGGCTTACATCAAGAGTCTGATATTTATGTGGAAGCATTGCATAACATGTAAATGTCATGATAAAAATAACAATAATAATAAACATATCAACTGAAATATGTTGTAAGAGTAGTAGTGTTTCTGTGTATGTAGTGTTACCATATAGGCATGTTGTGTCACATAGTTAAACTAACACTTGCCAGATGTAGTATCATATACTAATCACATTTTGGTAGCCTGTTTTCTTGTACATAGCTATTAATGACAATACTCATTGTATATGTTGTCTGTCTCTACTCAGAAACCTTGGTTTAATAAACTGAAAAAGAAAGATAAAGAAGAAGAGCCTGAAACAACGGTAGTTTTGAGTGCCTTAAGCGCAAATATTTTGTTACCGTTCTTATCTAACTGTTTCTCATTCAATTTTTTACATTTTTTGAAATGTAGAGTAGACCTCTCCCCAATTTTTGCACTTCATTTTCAAGTGATTTTTTTTTCTTGTCCCCTATTTTTATATATATATATATCAACTTTAGAAGTCCTAAAGTGTCTTCAGTCACAGTCAGAAGCTGGTGTTTTTGGAATTTGTTATTGTTAATTTTTACTAACTTTTTAGGCACTGATATTTGTTCTTATGGTTCAGTAATGAAGTCAGCAGCATGCTATCTTATAGTGGATCCATTTTTGTACATATAAGTTCAGTTTTTTCACCAAATTGTAACCTCGCCTGAATTGGGTTTTGTATGTTAAGTAGCTGTTCATGCTGTCCTGCATGATTTGTTTCCATAATATCTTGGTGAACCAGAAAGCACTTTTCAACAATGTTTATTGTACTTTGTAATCAGTGATTCAGTCATTGCAATATGGCCACTCTTTACTATGTCAAGTATTAGTTTTGTTCTTTGATTAGCAACATAAGCTTTCTACAAAAGTATGATGCTGAAAAGCATTTGAATGTTTTCCTAATTACTTCAAAAGATTTCCTTAGTGTGTACCTATTTATCAAATGTCCATTGTCCCCAAGATGGGTGACATGTTAACATTTTGTGTATCTGGATCTCTTGTGATGCCAGTTGATTATGTTCCATACATGGGCATCAGTAACTCATTGTCAAGTTGTTAAAGACCTCCATCATTAGGGCTTGACCCACAGGCCAGCTTCTGGGTGACATTGTGCACCCCGTCATCCATCTCCATTGTCCATTGTATTTGAACACATTGCTGCCATGTTTTTTAGAAGCAGCCTCTTAGAGGAGTTATCAACAAAATTGGAACAAGAGTGGCGAAATTAGTGAAACGGGTAACAGTGACATTATGTAGTTTACCTCATCTGTTGTCTGTCTTCACTGGATGCCGTGCGTGACTGTTGCAGTTTCTCTCTGGCCTCGCTCTGTATTCTGCAGTCACTGTCTGCAACATTGTACATACATGTATTGGTTTGTGTCACTGAGGAAGCTTCCCATTTATCTTGTTATTATATGTTTATTCACCAACAATACTTAAGCAGAAGCATATCTAATAACCGTTGATTCGTTTTTTCTATTAACAAAGAACAGAACATAGGACATGAACCATTTTTACCATGGAAGTGACTATTCACAGTGCTTTAAATGTAGCCTCAGTAAGTTTAAACTGTAGTAAGTGTAGCTTAGTTGTATGGAAGGTAGTTTTGAAATTGGAGACTGTCTAGTAGAGTAGATGTAGTACTGGACCAGCATGGCATCAGTAAGGAACATGATTGCAGACTGTACCTTCTAAGCATCACTATAGAACATGACAATGCTGTAGCTTCTTGGCAACAGTGCAGTACATGATTGTAGACAGTAGCTTCTTAGCGTATATGGGCCCATTTCTGGTGTCTCTCGCCATGATATTATGGGTTTTGAATGTGATGTATAACTTGTTAGCATCAGTGGGGAACATGATGTATACTTTAACTTGGTAACATTGCTATCAATAGTGTTTTCACATAGACACTGCTTGTATACACTGGCATATGGTTTCCTATGGGTACAATAAAATGTCACCAAAAGGTTGACTTGTATAAAGATGACAAGATGGTATTAATCTCCATTTATGTCATGAAAGTTGAAGTGTGACATTTTACGTCCTGGTCTGGTAGTGTAGGTAAATTCCAATAAGACATTCCAATGAGATGGGTCAGGCCAGCTGACACAGGATGTAAAGGTCCCCAGTGTTAGTATGTGGTGTTTTGAATGTGAATAAGGATCATATGTGATTACCACTGTGTGATACAGACGTGCCTCAGGTTACAGGTCAAAGTAAGTGACTGCTCTATCAACCTAAATAAACAAACAGTGACCAGATGTCACCTTGAACTGTGTCATTCCTTCAAAATACCTGTGTTCATGTGATCTTGCAGAGGAATGATATAGAGCAGCTTTTGTCACTCAGAAGTTTGATTTTGGTTGAGTAAATGTTTTTAATGAAAATGTATGTTTCATGGTAAACATGCAACTTCATATTTGTGTGTGATAGGAACACTAATCTTCCTTAACATTGTTAACTTTCTAGTTTTATCCTACTCACCAAACAAATAAGGTAATGGCTAACTTGAAGTTCAAGTTGAGCATCCCAAGAAGATTGTTGGTAGAGTTGTGGAGACCTACCCTAACCCTACCCAAGTTTGCATGGTAACTTCAGAGACTGGTTTTACACATACCTTCACTTATACCTTCAAACCACCTGTAAAATATGGAAAATTGTATTTTTCTGTTGAAAGAGAACAGGATCCATGTTTGGAAAGAAGCTATCGTTTCCGCAATTGGAGTTGCCTGATTTTAGGAAAAGTAGAGCTGATATGGAGGTGTGTGGATGACCAATCACAGCTCATGTAACATACTACCAAGCTTGAATTTTGTTCGGTTTCAGTATTCACATTCTTAGAGCTTACACTCAGTTGGGTCATTGTAATGGCAGTGCTTTCAACATGCACCAATTATGAAGCACAATTATTTGTTTTGTAGCATGATTTTCATATGATTTCGAATATATTGTACTTAAATACATGCTATGAAGCTTGCACATACTTCAAACTGTAAAATGCAACAATGCCGGGCATATGGAATCTGTAAACAGCCAGGAGTTTCATTGTGTGGTGAGGTTTCTACATAGATGTGGCCCCTGCTGCCTAGCAACATGTTTTTTCCAGTATTTCACAACAAATCTCTATACCATCTTGACAAAATTGTGTAACAATAAGAACCATAGTATAGCACAGGTGATTGCTGGCAAGTTCTATTTGTAGTTTTGAATCTGTACTATTACAAGTGTGCTTGTATAAAAACTACCCTCCATCCCTTTGCAGTCGTCATTACATGTATTTCTATCACATTTTACAATGGACAAAAAGATATATTTTGAGATGACCAAAGCTGAAACTTGTGGTTGTCGGTTCACAGATACAGTACCAATGTTCATCAGCTTCCAGTGGTAAACATCTAATAGATTTATAGCTTTTCTTTGAAATCAGTCTAACTTACTTTCATATAATTAAAACAGTGCTGAAAACAGCGTTGAGCCAAATTCACTGACTGAGGTTTGTTTTTCCAGTGAAAACTATGTCCCAACTGTTCTGGAATAATGGATCTTTAATTATCATTGTCAGAAGTTTGCTTCATTCCCTTCTGATGTTGAAGATGTAGCATGCAGAGTGACACTCAAGTTGTGATATAAACCTTGTAGGACACCATACCAGTGTATGTCCCCATATGTCATAGGGGTTGTTACAGGAGCTGTTACAGCATACTAGTATGTAGCCCCATCTGTCTTCTGGGTTATAGCATTATGCCAGTGTATGTCCCCATATGTCATAGGGGTTGTTACAGCATACTAGTATGTATCCCCATCTGTCTTCTGGGTTATAGCATTATGCCAGTGTATGTCCCCATATGTCATAGGGGTTGTTACAGGGGTTGTTACAGCATACTAGTATGTAGCCCCATCTGTCTTCTGGGTTATAGCATTATGCCAGTGTATGTCCCCATATGGGGTTGTTACAGCATACTAGTATGTAGCCCCATCTGTCTTCTGGGTTATAGCATTATACCAGTGTATGTCCCCATATGTCATAGGGGTTGTTACAGGGGTTGTTACAGCATGCTAGTATGTAGCCCCATCTGTCTTCTGGGTTATAGCATTATACCAGTGTATGTCCCCATATGTCATAGGGGTTGTTACAGTTATACTACTAGTATGTAGCCCCATCTGTCTTCTGGGTTATAGCATTATACCAGTGTATGTCCCCATATGTCATAGGGGTTGTTACAGGAGCTGTTACAGCATACTAGTATGTAGCCCCATCTGTCTTCTGGGTTATAGCATTATGCCAGTGTATGTCCCCATATGTCATAGGGGTTGTTACAGCATACTAATATGTAGCCCCATCTGTCTTCTGGGTTATAGCATTATACCAGTGTATGTCCCCATATGTCATAGGGGTTGTTACAGCATACTAGTATGTAGCCCCATCTGTCTTCTGGGTTATAGCATTATACCAGTGTATGTCCCCATATGTCATAGGGGTTGTTACAGCATACTAGTATGTAGCCCCATCTGTCCTCTGGGTTATAGCATTATACCAGTGTATGTCCCCATATGTCATAGGGGTTGTTACAGCATACTAGTATGTAGCCCCATCCATCTTCTGGGTTATAGCATTATACCAGTGTATGTCCCCATATGTCATAAGGGTTGTTACAGCATACTAGTATGTAGCCCCATCTGTCTTCTGGGTTATAGCATTATACCAGTGTATGTCCCCATATGTCATAGGGGTTGTTACAGCATACTAGTATGTAGCCCCATCTGTCTTCTGGGTTATAGCATTATGCCAGTGTATGTCCCCATATGGGGTTGTAACAGCATACTAGTATGTAGCCCCATCTGTCTTCTGGGTTATAGCATTATACCAGTGTATGTCCCCATATGTCATGGGGTTGTTACAGCATACTAGTATGTAGCCCCATCTGTCTTCTGGGTTATAGCATTATGCCAGTGTATGTCCCCATATGGGGTTGTAACAGCATACTAGTATGTAGCCCCATCTGTCTTCTGGGTTATAGCATTATACCAGTGTATGTCCCCATATGTCATAGGGGTTGTTACAGCATACTAGTATGTAGCCCCATCTGTCTTCTGGGTTATAGCATTATACCAGTGTATGTCCCCATATGTCATAGGGGTTGTTACAGGGGTTGTAACAGCATACTAATATGTATCCCCATCTGTCTTCTGGGTTATAGCATTATACCAGTGTATGTCCCCATATGTCATAGGGGTTGTTACAGCATACTAGTATGTAGCCCCATGTCACTTCTGGGTTATAGCATTATGCCAGTGTATGTCCCCATATGGGGTTGTAACAGCATACTAGTATGTAGCCCCATCTGTCTTCTGGGTAATAGCATTATGCCAGTGTATGTCCCCACATGTCATAGGGGTTGTTCCAGCATACTAGTATGTAGCCCCATCTGTCTTCTAGGTTATAGCATTATGCCAGTGTATGTCCCCATATGGGGTTGTTACAGCATACTAGTATGTAGCCCCATCTGTCTTCTAGGTTATAGCATTATGCCAGTGTATGTCCCCATATGTCATAGGAGCTGTTCCAGCATACTAGTATGTAGCCCCATCTGTCTTCTGGGTTATAGCATTATACCAGTGTATGTCCCCATATGTCATAGGAGCTGTTCCAGCATACTAGTATGTAGCCCCATCTGTCTTCTAGGCTATAGCATTATACCAGTGTATGTCCCCATATGGGGTTGTTCCAGCATACTAATATGTATCCCCATCTGTCTTCTGGGTTATAGCATTATACCAGTGTATGTCCCCATATGTCATAGGAGCTGTTCCAGCATACTAGTATGTAGCCCCATCTGTCTTCTGGGTTATAGCATTATGCCAGTGTATGTCCCCATATGTCATAGGAGCTGTTCCAGCATACTAGTATGTAGCCCCATCTGTCTTCTGGGTTATAGCATTATGCCAGTGTATGTACCCATATGGGGTTGTTACAGCATACTGGGTGGTGGCTCGTCACGCCGAAGACCCGGGTTCAAATCCCCACATGGGTACAATGTGTGAAGCCCATTTCTGGTGTCCCACGCCGTGATATTGCTGGAATATTGCCAAAATGGCGTAAAACCAAACTCAGTCAGTGTTACAGCATACTAGTATGTAGCCCCATCTGTCTTCTGGGTTATAGCATTATACCAGTGTATGTCCCCATATGTCATAGGGGTTGTTACAGCATACTAGTATGTAGCCCCATCTGTCTTCTGGGTTATAGCATTATACCAGTGTATGTCCCCATATGTCATAGGGGTTGTTACAGCATACTAGTATGTAGCCCCATCTGTCTTCTGGGTTATAGCATTATACCAGTGTATGTCCCCATATGTCATAGGGGTTGTTACAGCATACTAGTATGTAGCCCCATCTGTCTTCTGGGTTATAGCATTATACCAGTGTATGTCCCCATATGTCATAGGGGTTGTTACAGCATACTAGTATGTAGCCCCATCTGTCTTCTGGGTTATAGCATTATACCAGTGTATGTCATATGGACTATAAGAACAAACCAGAGTATGGCAGACCGAATGCAACAACAAACACATCTGTATTCTTACAACTCCCAACAGTAGCAGTCTTTGGTTTGTGAGGTTATAGGGCGTGATATTTTATGCTGATTCCATCTAGTACAAAAGCTGGCTAACTACACACCTAACTGATTCAGGCACTGTCTGATGTTGCCCTCAGTGAGTAGTGTTGAGGGTTTATATCTGTGCCAGGTAGCTCCAGAAAACATAGGTATGTGGTCCAGGTGTTGAAGCATGTGCATGTGGACATCTATATGATCTCTAGCCTCTTTACTGTGTACAATATATGTCATTACCGTCTAGTGTTGTTCCACATACTTGTTGATAGTATGACATGTTGGTGGTGTTCGAAATAGCTACCTGTTCACCCACAGCCAGAGAGTGGAGCAGAGTCAGAGAATCATGAAATCTCCTCTGTCTGGGAATGTTCTGCCATCTTAGTTCAGAGGGTGTATGACAATATTTGTCAGCCAAATTTATATTTTAAACACTCCTAATGCCATTTGGGGACATTTATTTGACAGAACATCCAGGAAATAGTGTAGGATTCTTAACATTGTTGTGAGTCATTCAGGACACTGTACCTGCCACTCTGTTAGCTGTGGGCCAGTACTCGTGGAGGAGTCTCTCTCTGGAACAGTTTCAGTTGTTTCGAACACTGCTTCATGGTCGTTGTTGTGCTGTATGTCTCCAAGTATTTGGGAGTTTTATGTTTCAGTGTGTATAAATGTTTGAAACAGAAGACATTGTTCTAGTAACCAAACCTCCAGGTAATGATTTGCACTAGTTTGGTTTAACACAAGATGTCTTAAACAATGGATGTGGATTTCCATGGCTGCATCTGGAATGTACAACCTTGCCTTCCTGATGTTCAGTAACAACTGATGTTGAGAATAATGAAAAAGTCAAATATTATGATATTCAAATATCAAAGAATATTTACCTTTCCAAACCTTTTTACATTTTGTTGAAATGCACTGGTGCGTGTTTCTTATTTTTGCGTTCTGCTTGTGAAGGAGTGATGCCTTCAGTTGGTGGTGGCTAGAATTGTGGTGTCTGCTAATGGAAGGCAATCAAACAATTCCATTTCTCTTTCAGCAGTTTGCCACTGACATTTAACAGATTAAATGTTAACAGATAAGTCATATTAAAAGTCAGTTTAAGTTACAAAATGACAGGTGTGAAATGGTTGGCTGGAACCATAGTACAGTGTTTGATTCTGGACAGATGTATGTAGATGTCATATCTATGTAACATAGCTCTGGTATCTTAACAGCACACAGGTGATTACAGTTGGCATGTCTAGATGATATTTACATAAATCTTTTATAAGAACACGTTCAGCATTGGTGCCATCTGCTAGGGGAACTACAATATGATGTTACACATGTGTTGATAAGTAGTGTTGACTCTGCTGCAGGACCCAAACCTGCTGGATGAGGAGATTGACTGGTGGTCCAAATACTACGCCTCCACAGGAGAGACGACAAAGTGCAGGAAGTATTTGGAGCTGGGATACGATAATCTTCTGGTACATATGACATTACTCTCAGTAATGCAGATCATGCAGTTTGAAGTTTTCAAAGGAGTATGACCTTTTGTTTATCCTTTAAGTTCAAGCATTATGACTTATAGGTTTCTTTACTGCCTATATATATACTGAGACACTTTATGATGCAAGTCAGATGAAAACTGGATTATTTGAGGTGAAGAGAGGTAAACACATTATCTTTCTCAGGCCCCGCCTCATCATCGTAAAGTCAAATCGGTATGCACAAACATAACACATAAAAAGCTGCAATCCTTTTTTTCAAAAGCCATTGCCTGTAAACCAACATAACTATGTCGTAAACATTCCCTCTGGATTACGGTTGCCTTATTCCTATGGGTACCATAGATACATACAGAAATGAAAATGAAAATTTAAACTAAGTCATAGCTGTCCCTAGTGGTATGCTTAAAGAGAAAGAGTTATCTCCCTTGGTTTAAATTCCATTAATTGTTCATGCCACTGAACCGATAGTTTTATCTGAAACTCGTGTATTGTGACAAACTTTCGATGATGTACATTTACAATACAATACAATACAATACAGGGACCCAATAAAGGCCATATGTCCACAAACGAAAGATTTTGAGTTTATCAAAGAAAACAAGCCTCCTTGTATTTCGTGTTATTTCACACTCAGTCCTAAATTTGAACACAAACAGAAATAATGACTACGGGAACTTATATTTATTGTAGATCTTGAAATCTGAACTGGAGAAAACAGAGGATTTCAATGGCTTTGTTGACTTCTGCCACAGTTTTGATTTGTGTCGTGGAAAAAATGAGGAAGAGGAGGAGTCAAATGTGGTGGGGGAGTACAAGGTGAGATAATGGTTGTGTGTGACCAAAGTCTTCCAGGAACACTTGCTGTAGATGGTATGTTTATTGGGAGTACAAGGTGAGATAATGGTTGTGTATCACTAAAGTCTTCCAGAAATACTTGCTGTAGATGGTATATTGATTGGGAGTACAAGGTGAATACTTGTGTCACTAGATGGTATATTGATTGGGAGTACAAGGTGAGATAATGGTAGTGTGTCACTAAAGTCTTCCAGGAATACTTGCTGTAGATGGTATGTTGATTGGGAGTACAAGGTGAGATAATGGTAGTGTGTCACTAAAGTCTTCCAGGAATACTTGCTGTAGATGGTATGTTGATTGGGAGTACAAGGTGAGATAATGGTAGTGTGTCACTAAAGTCTTCCAGGAATACTTGCTGTAGATGGTATGTTGATTGGGAGTACAAGGTGAGATAATGGTAGTGTGTCACTAAAGTCTTCCAGGAATACTTGCTGTAGATGGTATGTTGATTGGGAGTACAAGGTGAGATAATGGTAGTGTGTCACTAAAGTCTTCCAGGAATACTTGCTGTAGATGGTATGATTGATTGGGAGATATGGTAAGTCACTAAAGTCTTGAGATAATGGTATGTGTGGGAGTCACTAAAGTCTTCCACTAAATACTTGCTGTAGATGGTATGTTGATTGGGAGTACAAGGTGAGATAATGGTTGTGTATCACTAAAGTCTTCCAGGAATACTTGCTGTAGATGGTATGTTGATTGGGAGTACAAGGTGAGATAATGGTAGTGTGTCACTAAAGTCTTCCAGGAATACTTGCTGTAGATGGTATGTTGATTGGGAGTACAAGGTGAGATAATGGTAGTGTGTCACTAAAGTCTTCCAGGAATACTTGCTGTAGATGGTATGTTGATTGGGAGTACAAGGTGAGATAATGGTTGTGTATCACTAAAGTCTTCCAGGAATACTTGCTGTAGATGGTATGTTGATTGGGAGTACAAGGTGAAATAATGGTTGTGTGTCACTAAAGTCTTACTTGCTGAAAGCGGTATTCTGAACCTCATGAATGACGATTATACCAGTGCCATTTGTTGTAGGGCTCCTTCCGAGTTTACCCTCTGCCACAAGATCCAAGTGAACCCCTGCCACTAAAGATTCTGAGCGATCTTCCCAACAGTGATCCAGCAGAAAGTATCATCCGGGTGTACATCATCAAAGCTATCGAGCTGCAGCCGAATGACCCCAGTGGTTTGGTCAGTCTACATTACACATGTATCTGTAACTTGTATAGAACACTTGTCATGTGTCGGGACACTTTAATAAGTATATTACTTATTATCTTTTGCGTTTTCACTCTTATGAAGATCCATTTTCAAGTTCTTAAACCTGTACAAACAAACCACACCATTTAATAAAGAAGTGTGTTTCTATGACATCTATGTGACCTTGTGATGGGTGATTGTTTCTTCAGGCTGACCCCTACTTGGAGGTGTTGCTCGGCAGCAAGAAGCTCAACACAAGGGATGACTACATTCCCAACACAACAAATCCTGTGTTTGGCAAGTAAGTACTCTGTCCATGTCTGAAGTCTGGTGACACAAACACATGCAAGTCAGTATTACCCTGGGTTGGATACAACTAATTTAGAGCGAAGTGGTGACCTATATTAGCTCTCAAGGACTGAAAATCCAGTTGAACTTACTGTGTTATACTTGCAAATGTTCAAGAAAGTTGTCAGTTTGCTACCATCTGTCTGTCAGTGCTGCATTGTCCACCTCTTCACATCTGGCATCACCTCAAAAGTGTCTGAATTGATGCAACTGCATAGCACCAATTAAATTACTACTTTAGGTATTGTGATAAAAAATAAATATGAAAGAGATATTTAAATTGTAGGAAGTCAGGAACAATCTTGCAAAAATCTGTATTTTGGTATTTATTCATGCAGTATGATGCAAGGTTATGTGCAACACATTTATATCCAAGAATATTCTCCTCAACAAACACAAGGCCCAGACCCAAAGACATATGTAGGACCATGAGACAGGAATGCAACAGGAATACTTTTTATTCAGACTGCATAAAAGTTCAACAGCCAATGGCCAGGAGACATGGCCAAAGCTTTGTAGTACTAGACTGAGCATTGTAATGTTAGTTATATAAATACTTAGTGTTCCTTATAACTGAAGAAACAACACACAAAAAACAGAAAGGTTAAAGAATTAGCAATATTTCCTTATCCTGACTCATGCTAATTATGCTTGTCTCCTTCCTCTTGCGAATGATAGTGGAGCACTTGAAATCCCTTGAAGTTCCCTTCTAAAAAAGCAGACGTAAAATCACTCACCCACGAGTAGCATCCCTTTCCTCCCTTTTGGCGCCCAAATGGTCACATGATCGGCCATATTTGTCACTCTCTCCTTCTTCGCCCTTGAGGACGGTTGTGAGAGCACCTGGGTCCCTATACGGCACATATTCTTTTATATTTTTGGACCTTACATCAAAATTATTGCTGTATACGCTTTTTAGGATTATATTCTACATTATGGTTTGGAATTTAATCTAAATTTTCCGTTGTTTGACATGTGTTTTCTTCATGTTTACATTTGATGAAAACTTGTATTCGTTGTAGGTACCAAGTGTCTGCAACTGACCCTCATTTATTATGTCCTAATTGCACTGTTTCATGTTCTTTCAGCTCTTGCTGTAAGTTTTGTGTAAATTTAACTTTGGTTGAATTTAATAATTACCTTTTTTCCATCCATAGACGTGCTAAGGACTGGGTACGAAGGTATTCACAAGTCATGTCTAAATCGAGTGATTGCACTGATAACCGTGTGTTAACCACTGCTGCAGATATTCATAATTCCAGTGAATTGCTGAACGTTTCTCGGGGGCAGGTCGATGTACCAGTGGTGAATGCCGGAGGCCATAAGAGATCATCGTCTGCTGAGCTGACCCCATCGCAGATGAAGAAGGCTAAATCATCATCTTCGCAGAAGAAGAAGGTTACTACCATGAAGACTTCAGCGAAGTCTAAGATCAGCTCTACACAGAAGACAAGGTCTTTCTCAGCCGAGATTGTTCCTCCGGAAGAAGCAGATGTTTATGATGATCCACTCATCCTCATACCTGAAGTCACCATCGTCCGTAAGAAGATCAAGCCTGCTTCTACAGCTACATCGGCATTGTTATCAGCACTGACAGAAGACCTATCAACGCAGACATCGGGTACCAGAGATAGCAGCAGCGTCAACTCTTCACAAGTGCAGCGAGCCTTAGATGACGTCTCTTCAGTATCAAATGCATCATCCATGCAGCAGTCTCTTCAGACAACGCAGAACTTCAACCCGGGAATGTTCATGCAACAGTTTACAGACCAGATGATGTCGATGATGGAACGTCACTTCGCTCAGGAGAAGGCTGCTACCACGATTACTAGCCTCTACAGTCTCCCCACCACATCCGGATGAAGAGGGAAGCCTGCACAAAGGCTGACGGACACGACGATCTTCCCCATCTGAAGTGAGGAGTCTGGACTCTACTACCAACGTAGACGCTCCAGAGATTGCTGCTAAGAAGTCTTCACGCAGGAAGGAATCGAGGCGTTCTCCCGAACCTTGCAGACGTCGCAGATATGCGTCTTCATGTCCATCGGACTGTGACGCCCATCAAGAGCCTGCGCAAAGGCACTCCTACATTTTGGAACCTAGCGAATCATCTCTAGACTCCAGGAAGAATACACGATCGCATCGGGATTGCATGCCTGCATGAAGCTCTTCATACAGATCATCCCATAGAGAGAAGGGATATTACGTCCATCAGCCTCCGTGGAGGCTTAGAGAGATATCTCAAGACTTCAGGAGGAATACACGGTCACACCCGGGACCGTTCACCTGCACGCAGCTCTACATACAGATCTACATACAGAGACTCACGTCATTATGGATCTTCAGATAGGGAAATGACTAACTTCACTGTCTGAAGTTAGAAGTCTAGAGAACTCTACTAACGTCAGTTCAGCATAGCAGACCCCTCCAATGACAGTTGCCCTGCACTAAGGAATATTAGCTATATAAGCTCTAGGATTAAGGCCCTCACGAACGGTTACGTTTGTGAAGATCTCTACCGTCAGAAGTATCAGCAGTTAAAACCCTGGAGGATTCAACGAACGCCAGTTTAGCGTTAGCAGTCCACGATGGAGCCTCCCCGCAGTTTCAGCGTCTCAGCATGAAGGATTCTAACACAGAAGTAGATCCAGTCGTTCTCCAGGATTCTACAGACTGCGCAGATACGGATCTTCCAACTTGGACCTTCATCAACCTGCGCGCAGGCACTCATGGGGAGGATTATAATCAGAGTCAGCATGTCCCACCGTTCAACAATAGCAGATTTCCCCTTCATCATACGGAGCCCTTCATGATACATCAGGGTTTGAGATTACAAGATCATCAGTGAATCCCGTAATAGATATTCAAGATGGAAGATAAGAAGATAACACAACTGGACACTACAACTAGATGTTGACTATGTTGGATCAACGTGTGGCTGAAGGAAGAGACGCACACCTGAAGTAGCGATGTCAGATAACAGCCGATGAAACACTGAAGATGAAATTTGATCACATGGGCTTACAAGATATCAAAGGGACAGTTAACAGCATTGTCCCAGTTCCTCAGCGAGACATCGGTTACGGTCAACTTTACAGAACATCTGTATAAGATGACGACTGCAGTAAAGATTATAAAGTTGAAGAATACAGTCACAACAGACATGGAACAGGGTGCTTACTTTGGTACTACACGGGCGAAGTTTTCGCGCGCTTCCACTCAGCCATCAAGACACGTGTTCACTCATGTAACTCCGGCACAAGCCGAACAGAGAGGTTACGGACAAAGCCGAGTGTTGACGAAGAAATCAACGATTGCACAAGATTCTACGAGGATCATTTTCCTGCAACCCCCGGTGACGTCACAGTCACGTGCCAGGAAGTCGTCTACAGTTGTAAACAACTCTTTCAACGTGGGAAAGACTCCATTTACAGTCCAGTTAGTAGGGTACAGTGTGGTTCGACTATCTTCATGGGTCATAGAGGATTTCCCCTGTTAGCAGATTTGATATTGGTTATCTGGGGACTTGCAGCGACAAGCGTGAGACGGTTTCTGCTTGCGGCAGCCAGTCGACTATAAATAGACTTCACATCGATGGCAGTCCCAGTACATCATAGATTTTTGCTGACCTAGAGACAACGTATTATGCATCATCGCTGCACAATGTTCGGATTCTGGTGACAACATCTTCATTACATATTACCGGAAGATTGATGAGACAAGCTTCAAGCCCTGATTCCAGAATCGATCATCTCTCCGCTTCCATGTCGGACATGGCAAGGGCTCCTAAATCCACGTACCTACAACGTAGGAAGTGATTGCAGTAGATGGCTAGTAATCTCCTAATTGCAGTTGGAACCAAAACAGGATCTTCAATTGCTGGGAATATGGCTCATCACACCACAGAATCACACGGTCGTCCCAGAGGATCGTTGGGTCAAGATACAACATATGATATCTCAAGCAATGCTCTCTCCGTTGACACTACGGGCTTGGCAAAGCATGCTTGGTCTACTCACCTCAGCTCAAGACATGACTCGCAGAGGGAGATTTCAGCTGCGCGCCCACTACAATATTTGTGAACGCCCATCTCAACATGAAACAGTGCAATTAGGACATAATAAATGAGGGTCAGTTGCAGACACTTGGTACCTACAATGAATACAAGTTTTCATCAAATGTAAACATGAAGAAAACACATGTCAATACTACTGGAGAGTCAGAAACCATAACTTTATGGTGGACTCAGAAGTCGAATGTTTGCAGAGGAACCTTTTTGTCAGAGCCAGCTTGCCACACTCATCTCTACATGGATACAACGCTACAAGGATGGGGTGCTCACCTCGACAACGAAGTGGCAGCAGCAAAGTGGTCGAGTCAGGATCAATTCTCCACATCATCCTGTTGGAGTTGAAAGCAGTGATCAACGCTTTACAACACTGTTCCAGCATACTAAAGGCTCACGGTCCACATGGACAACTCCACAGTAGCGTTCTACATCAACAAACAAGAATCAACAAGGTCAACAAGGTCAACAAGTCTGCTAAAATTCAGCTTTCTCCTGTTCAGCATCGACCTGAACATCTACATGAAGGCATGTCACATTCCAGGAGCAAACAATGTCATAGCAGAAGCCCTATCTCGTCTACTACAACCATCCCTGACGGAATGGATGTTACATCCAGAAGTGTTCCCGGTTCATCATACAGACAGTAGGATCTCCGCTGATAGACCTGTTTCCAACAAAGTTCAACAAACAACTAACAACATTCATCTCACCGATTCCGGATCCTCAGGCATGGGCAACAGATGCTTTAAGCATCTCATGGGAAGGACTAAAAGCTTACGCGTTTCCACCTCCAGCACTATTACCACAAGTAATACAGAAAATCAAGCAGACGACAACATTGCAACTGATTTGGGTCGCGCTCTATTGGCCAGCGAGGGTATGGTTTCCAATCCTCATACAAGAATGCGGAAGTCCAACCTTGAAATTACCAGAGTGGTCGAACCTGCTTGTCCATCCACACACCAAGCAAGCTCACGGGAATCTGGCATTGTTCCAGCTGCACGCGTGGAGCGCGTATCTAAGCTTGCCTGAAGACTAGAGGGTACTCCGCCAGAGCAGTGAAAGCAGTGACACTAGCTCTATGCAGATCAACTCGCAACATGTACGATGACAAGTGGCAGAGATTTGAACAGTATCGCTTTACAGCGGTAAAAGCAACCCATCCTCAAGTAGCGGAATATCTGTGTCATTTGCAAAAGACAAGACACTTAAAAAAAGTTCAACACTTTCAACATACCTGGCTGCTCTCAGCACAGTTATCATCATGAAGACGGGTGTCAAGCTGACCAAAGTACCAGAGATACTGGCACTACTACGCTCGTTCAAGTTGGAAGACCAACAAAAGAAATTCAAGGCTCCTACCTGGGATCTTAACGTAGTTTTACAACATCTCACCAGTGATGCTTACGAGCCTCTAGAATGGACATCCTTTGAACTACTGACACAGAAAACGCTGTTCCTGATCACCCTAGCAACAGCAGCACGGATGTCAGAAATACATGCTCTGGACTTTGAACGAACACGATTTAAAGCAAGACATCGTGACATCGTACATCTTGGACTGAGATGGGACTTTATTGCCAAGAACCAACTGCCTGGCCAGCCTGACAGACAGTTCCACATCCCAGCACTTTCTACAGTCCTTGGACCACAGGATACACAGGATTTATCCTTATGGCCTGTCAGAGCATTGAAGTCTACCTACAAAGGACGACGAAAATTCAAGCGCCTATTCATCCCCTTATCCACTGAGATGCCCATGGAAGTCTCACGGACAACAATATCGATCTGGATGAGAGCTGTTATACTAAGGGCCTATAAAGCAGCAGGACTTGAGCCTCCACGAGCCTCCAATCCACATGAAGTCAGAGCCCTGGCGTCAACACTTGCTCTGCATGGAAACTATAATGGAGGGCTGCTTTTGGAGATCGAACACGGTGTTTGCCAACCACTACCTCAGAGACATTGCCACCGACAACGTCTCAGGCATTCACCAGTTTGGGCCACTTGTTGTAGCACAACAACTAATGGTTCCACAAAGGCGCTGACTTGTTAAAACCAACCTCTGGAGAACAATGGCTATAAGTCCATGCACACGTCTAGGACAGACTAGCATGAGTAATAGACCCTGTACTTGTATAGGACATACTTGTACATGAAGAAGGGTCGCATCTCCACTTGATGCGCGCATCAAGAGATGGAGTTGCAATAGATAACTAATGGAATATTTGTATATCTAAAATCCACACGAAAATGTCAGGAGAAGTTTCGGAAAAATCTGACAAGTTGTGGTCCCTCCAGACTCATCAGAAAGAAGTTGAAAGAACAAAATCTTCAACAGTGCCGTCATAAGTTCCCAAAGGGGTAATACAGGACGTAAATCTACAACCAGTGAATCCAGAACGTGGCCTGACCCACCACCGTTTCCGACAGATTCTGCAAGCATAATTAGCATGAGTCAGGATAAGGAAAAATATGTAATTTTCTGACTAAAATTGATATTTTATACTTATTCTGACTCATGAGGTTAGCCCTCCCAACCTCCCCTCTTATGGCACTCTGGATTTCCCTGTAAATTCGGCTGTCGGGGTTACATACAGAGAGAGTGACAAATATGGCCGATCATGTGACCATTTTGGCGCCAAAGGGGAGGAATGGGACTCTACTCGTGGGTGAGTGATTTTACGTCCGCTTTTTTAGAAGGGAACTTAGGGATTTCAAGAGTTCCACTATCATTCGCAAGAGGAAGGAGACAAACATAATTAGCATGAGTCAGGATAAGTATAAAATATCAATTTTAGTCAGAAAATTACATTATGATAGCATAAACTGTTTGAAGTTTCTTTTATATATCGAATCACATCTCACCTATGCCTGTTTTGATGTATGCAATATGTAAACATTCTTTATCAGTGTTTTGATACATGGATGTTAGGTAAAATACCTTTGTTCTTGTGCCTTTGAATATTACACCGATGCCTGACTGACCTCCTACTTTAAACAGCCAGTTTATATTCAAACCCTTTTGACAGCCACACTCCACAGGCTTCTTGTTATAAGTGTCAACATAAACGAAGATTGGGTGATTACGAACTATCAAACCTCAACTACGTGTATTGTTGCTCATGCTATTAACCACTTGTTTTCCTGCCTTCATGTGATATGACTGGAACATTTCTGACCACTTTAATTAACTTGCTCAGTTTTACCAGCCATGTTTCTCTCTGAAGTAAGTCATACCTGATCTTACTGTTAACATTATGACATCTTGGTTTTTCAGAATGTTTGAGATTAATGCCTCCATTCCATTAGAAAAGGATCTCATCATACGTGTGAAGGATTATGATCTGATCTCATCAGATGATGTCATTGGAGAAACGTTGATTGACTTGGAAAACCGTTTTCTCTCAAAGCATAGAGCAACATGTGGCTTGGCAAAGTCATACTGCACGTAAGTGATTGTGTAGACATCCTTCAAAAGTCAAACTGATTTAACACCAAAGTATCAGTTTTCTGATCCTGAGTTACTGGCTACTAGTTATATTTGTCCAGTTCCGGTAGTTACATGTTCCAGAGACATTCCTGCAGCTGTGTCTGCCCATGATTGATGCAGATGAGTTGTTATTTCCCAGGGCGGGCATCAATGAATGGCGTGACTGTATGAAGCCCAAGGAACTGCTTGAGGAATACTGTCAGAAGCGTCACCTCTCAGGGCCGATGTTCTATGGCAACAATAGTGTCAAAGTGGGCAAGCGGGTATATAACCTATCTGAATTTGGTAAGAGGATGTTTACAGGTATTTAATCCTTCCAACTTATCTTATACTCTGTTTGATGGCATAACAGTATTCAATTTCTGTTTGTTTCAGTTCCATGTTATGGTTGGGCCCACATCATACTTGTTGTAGTTGATCTGTCATGGTGTTCAACACACTTTCACCTCTGTTTGACCATTGCACTTAAACCATTAAAATAAACTGGCCGAAATTCAATACTTGAACCTGAAACATGATCTCCTCAGAAACCACTGAACTAATATATACTAGGCACATAAAGACACTGTGCATACAAAAATTTAAAATCTAAATTTATCAAACCTGTGTTTAAGGATTTAAACTCAGAGATTAGTGACATGTATCCAACATGCATGCACGTGCCACGTTCCGTGACGTCAGTGGGTTCGTCCTTGAGACGTGCAATACGTTGTTGCACATGCATTCCGGGAAAGAGAAACAGAGCAAAGGAATGCCACACAATACTGTCACTTTGGAAAGCTCAACCCCTGCCCTTGCGATCGTTCAAAAAATTAAACGGCTATTGAAACACATAGCATACCAAGGCTCACGTCTGCACAACGTCATGAGGCCATTGGGATGGTCTGTGGGGGAATTTCTCAACGACAAGTGGCTGCACATTTCCACTGCCACCGGAACACCATTTCTGCACTGGTGAGATGCTACCAGAACACAAATGACGTCATCGATCGGCCACGTTCTGGACGTCCACGTGTAACAACGCCAAGACAGGACAGATGGATAAGGGTGACCCATCTTCGCCACAGGTTTCAGACTGCAGTGATGACTGCCCGAACCATCCCAGGACTTCGCCGTATCCTCCCCAACACAGTTCGACAACGTTTACGTCATCACGGGATCAGACCATGCCGCCGAATGTGGTGCAGAAATCAGGTCTGCAGACCCTTGTTTTGGTGGAGAAATGTTGTTTTTACAGATCAGTCCAGGTTTAACATTTCCCATAGTGATGGACGTTGACGTTCCTATAGACGCGTGGGAGAACGTTATGCACAGGCCTGTGTCTTGGAGAGGAATCGCTTTGGTGGTGGTTCGTGATGATTTGGGGTGGAATAACAGCACGCCAAAGAACTCCTTAGGTGATTGTTCAGGGCAACTTAACTGGTGTGGGCTACAGTGATCAGATTCTTCGACCTGTGGCAAATCCTTTTCTGCAACGTCATGGCCCTGGGTTAACATTCCAACAGGACAATGCCTGCCTCATACGGCAAGGGTTGCTATGGATTTCTTGCAACACCACAATGTTGACTTACTGCCTTGGCCTTCAAATTCACCTGATCTCTCCCCGATAGAGCATGTTTGGGACGAGATGGATCGACGTCTACGCCGTCTTGCTCATCCGCAAGATAACATCCTTGACCTTGCAACAGAACTTGAGAGAATCTGGCGTGACATCCCACAAGCCTTCCTTGCATGTTTGATAGGCTCTATGCATCGTCATTGCACTGCTGTTCTCAATGCCGATGGTGGACATACCTGTTATTGAGCTTGTGACAAGGTCGTTTGACCCCTGTCCCGACTTGTTATGGTCTCATGTTCCCTCCATTAAAGTTTATATGTACCTTTGACATTGTTATCGTACTTATCAACTGGGATAATATTTTGACAATGCACAGTTTCTTTATGTGGCTAGTATAGATGAAACTTCATGTTCTTGTTCCTACCAAGTATTCAATGAAGACCTAACAGATTAACAGCAGAAGTAATAAGAAGCAAGTGTTCTTAAGCTTCCATGAGAAGTATTTGAAGGAAAGCATTGAAGTCATTCCAGAGATTATACTAGAATAAGTGGAAATAGTAGATAATGATGTCAATAAGCTGGAATTGTATGCAACATTCTGAATTATGATGGTATGTGTAGGTAAGGAACTTTTCTGTTTGAAAATTGTCATGTATCAGACATGTTTTTTCCAAACTACAGGTACATGTTAGGTTCTTATTAGGCTAGCAGCAGGCATGTATGTGGATGTGAGGTTGTAAATTAAGCATGTTTCTAGTTCTAGAAGTATTCATCTTGATTATTGTATGGACACCATTATGTTTGCAGAACAGAACAAAAAACCCAACTCCCACTGGGGTCCCCCCGAGGAGCGCCTTGCCCTGGCTGTGCTCAACAGCATGCCGCTTGTCAAGGAACATGTGGAAACACGCCCGTTGTTCAACCCGCTACAGCCAGGGATAGAACAGGTGCATACAGTTGTCATTCTGTAATGTTACTTTCTGTATCCAATGATACTAAATGTTATTTTGCAGTGAGCAATGGCAGTACTGCTGTTACACTACCTACATCCTGTATTGTTCTTGTGTGGCACCTATGTCCACTTACTTTGACATCCCAACATCTTTTACCCTTGAAGATCCAGGTTAGAATTGATCTTCAGTAACCCATGCTTGTCATATGAGGCGACTAACGGGATTGGGTGGTCAGGCCCGCTGACTTGGATGACATGTCATTGTATCCCAGTTGCATATATCAATGCTCATGCTGTTGATCACTGGATTGTCTAGTCCAGATTCGATTATTTGCAGACTGCCGCCATATAGCTGGAGTGTTGCCGAGTGCAGTATAAAACTAAACTCACTCACTCACTCACCCAACATTTATGAAGCCATTTTACATAAACACTATATTTCTATATGACGATGTTTACTTCCAGGGCAAGCTGCAGATGTTTGTGGATATATTCCCCAAGTCGCTGGGGGAACCAGGGCCACCCTTTGACATCATTCCCAGAAAACCAAAAGGGTATGAAAACAGCAGTGTATTTGTGTCACTATACTGTTTGTCACATAGCTCTATAGCAGTGCTACAGCTGTATCTATATGTAAAGTAGCTGTATGTAGCAGTACTACAGCTGTATGTATGTCCTGTGTAGCTGTATATATGTCCTGTATAGCTGTATGTATGTCCTGTATAGCTGTATGTATGTCTGTATGTATGTCCTGTATAGCTGTATGTAGCAGTACTACAGCTGTATGTATGTCCTGTGTAGCTGTATATATGTCCTGTATAGCTGTATGTATGTCCTGTATAGCTGTATGTAGCAGTACTACAGCGGTATGTATGTCCTGTGTAGCTGTATATATGTCCTGTATAGCTGTATGTATGTCCTGTATAGCTGTATGTAGCAGTATTGCAGCTGTATGTATGTCCTGTATAGCTGTATGTATGTCCTGTATAGCTGTATGTATGTCCTGTATAGCTGTATGTAGCAGTATTGCAGCTGTATGTATGTCCTGTGTAGCTGTATATATGTCCTGTATAGCTGTATGTATGTCCTGTATAGCTGTATGTAGCAGTATTGCAGCTGTATGTATGTCCTGTATAGCTGTATGTATGTCCTGTATAGCTGTATGTATGTCCTGTATAGCTGTATGTAGCAGTATTGCAGCTGTATGTATGTCCTGTATAGCTGTATATATGTCCTGTATAGCTGTATGTATGTCCTGTATAGCTGAATGTAGCAGTATTGCAGCTGTATGTATGTCCTGTGTAGCTGTATGTATGTCCTGTATAGCTGTATGTATGTCCTGTATAGCTGTATGTATGTCCTGTATAGCTGTATGTATGTCCTGTGTAGCTGTATGTATGTCCTGTATAGCTGTATGTATGTCCTGTGTAGCTGTATGTATGTCCTGTGTAGCTGTATGTATGTCCTGTATAGCTGTATGTATGTCCTGTATAGCTGTATGTATGTCCTGTGTAGCTGTATGTATGTCCTGTATAGCTGTTTGTATGTCCTGTGTAGCTGTATGTATGTCCTGTATAGCTGTATGTATGTCCTGTATAGCTGTATGTATGTCCTGTATAGCTGTATGTGTATGTCCTGTATAGCTGTATGTATGTCCTGTATAGCTGTATGTATGTCCTGTGTAGCTGTATGTATGTCCTGTATAGCTGTATGTATGTCCTGTATAGCTGTATGTAGCAGTATTGCAGCTATATGTATGTCCTGTATAGCTGTATGTATGTCCTGTATAGCTGTATGTATGTCCTGTATAGCTGTATGTATTTCCTGTATAGCTGTATGTCCTGTATAGCTGTATGTATGTCCTGTGTAGCTGTATGTATGTCCCGTATAGCTGTATGTATGTCCTGTGTAGCTGTATGTATGTCCTGTATAGCTGTATGTATGTCCTGTATAGCTGTATGTATGTCCTGTATAGCTGTATGTATGTCCTGTATAGCTGTATGTATGTCCTGTGTAGCTGTATGTATGTCCTGTATAGCTGTATGTATGTCCTGTATAGCTGTATGTATGTCCTGTGTAGCTGTATGTATGTCCTGTATAGCTGTATGTATGTCCTGTATAGCTGTATGTATGTCCTGTATAGCTGTATGTAGCAGTATTGCAGCTGTATGTATGTCCTGTGTAGCTGTATATATGTCCTGTATAGCTGTATGTAGCAGTATTGCAGCGGTATGTGCTGTGCAGCTGTATGTATGTCCTGTATAGCTGTATGTAGCAGTACTACAGCTGTATGTATGTCCTGTATAGCTGTATGTATGTCCTGTATAGCTGTATGTATCTCATGTATAGCTGTTTGTAGCAGTACTGCAGCGGTATGTCCTGTGCAGCTGTATGTATGTCCTGTATAGCTGTATGTAGCAGTACTGCAGCTGTATGTCCTGTATAGCTGTATGTATCTCATGTATAGCTGTTTGTAGCAGTACTGCAGCGGTATGTCCTGTGCAGCTGTATGTATCTCCTGTATAGCTGTATGTAGCAGTTCTGCAGCTGTATGTACGTATGTATGTATGTCCTGTGTAAATGTATAGCAGCTTTGCAGTTACATGTATAGTTTGTTTAAATGTTCCAGGTGTGTATGGTATGTGTGTAGACAGGTAAATATGTAGACGGGTAAAGGTGTGTATAGAGGTCAATGCATGTGTATGCAAGTAAATGTGTGTATACAGGTATATGTGTGTTCCAGGTATGTATGGTATGTGTGTAGACAGGTAAATATGTAGACGGGTAAAGGTGTGTATAGAGGTCAATGCATGTGTATACAGGTATATGTGTGTGTATACAGGTATATGTGTGTGTACAGGTATATGTGTGTGTATACAGGTATATGTGTGTGTGTACAGGTGTATGTGTGTGTATACAGGTGTATGTGTGTATACAGGTATATGTGTGTGTATAAAGGTATATGTGTGTGTATACAGGTATATGTGTGTGTATACAGGTATATGTGTGTGTATACAGGTGTATGTGTGTGTACAGGTATATGTGTGTATACAGGTGTATGTGTGTATACAGGTGTATGTGTGTGTATACAGGTGTATGTGTATGTACAGGTATATGTGTGTATACAGGTATATATGTGTATACAGGTATATGTGTGTTCCAGGTATGTACTGAAGATCATCGTCTGGAACACTGTGGACGTTGTGCTGGAGGAAGAGTCCATCACGGGGGAGAAGATGAGTGATATCTATGTGGTTGGCTGGCTCCAGGGGATTGACGAGAAGCAGGAGACTGATGTCCATTACAGGTAAGACTGACATCACTGATGACCCGTCTCAAAGGTTTCACCTTTATAGCGGTATTCACAGCCTTAATCTGTATTAGAGGGCAGTGGGGTAGCCTAATGGTCACAGCGTTTGCTCATCATGCCAAATACCCAGGGTTCAATTTCCCCACATGGTGAACACCATTTCTGGTGACCCCAGCTGTGATATTACTGGAATGTTGCTAAAAGCAGTGTAAAACTAAACTCACTTACTCACTAGAGAGGGTTGCTCACTCCTTAGTTCACTGAAGAACTCACATGTCTAACAGGGGATTTGATTCCCTTATTTTGTCTCCTCAGGTGTTTCTTGACTGTCAGTGACTAAGCTTAGGATTGATAAGTGAGGGTCACTTGATTGGACAGGAACAAAATGTTAAAGGCAGTGCTGTCTGAGCTATCCCTCCTTACATATGCTGAGTGTTTGCGGGGGCAATTTCAAAGATCATGCTAACTGTGACTGAAGGAACAAAAGGTTCTTGGATTCTGGGCCAGTTGAAATCGGGACAAAGCAGGGGTGCCTGGCTTTGAGTTCTGTCATTTGTCCTATGTCAAATGATATTGTATGAAATGATGCAACTCGGGTCTGCCCCTCCCTGGGAGTTTATGTTGACTACTGTGTTTTATGAAAGCAGCCCATTGATCAAGCCTGTGATCTGAATTTGTTGTCAGTGGTTTGTTTGAGGTCATGTCCACTGCAAGGTTGTAAGAACAAGAGAAAGTGAATCATGTGAGATAGGATAATTGTTAAACATGTACAATTTATAGGTAAACTGTTTGACATTGAGATGTATTTCTAGATCTTTGGATGGAACAGGCAACTTCAACTGGAGATTTGTATTCCCATTTGAGTACCTGCCGGCAGAGCAGACAATGGTGGTGCGGAAGAAGGTAAGTCTGTCAACAGGCTGCTGATGTCATGCACTTCACAGTACAGACATGTATAGACTTGAAGTACAGATGGTGTAAGGTAAATAGAGGTACAGATGGTGTAAGGTAAATGAAAGCACAGATGGTGTAAGGTAGATGGAAGTACAGATGGTGTAAGGTAGATGGAAGTACAGATGGTGTAAAGTAGATGGAAGTACAGATGGTGTAAAGTAAATGAAAGTGTAGATGGTGTAAGGTAGATGGAAGTACAGATGGTGTAAGGTAAGATGAAAGCACAGATGGTGTAAAGGTAAAGTACAGATGGTGTAAGGTACAGATGGTGTAAGGTAAATGAAAGTACAGATGGTGTAAGGTATGGTGTAAATAGAAAGTACAGATGGTGTAAAAGGTAGATGAAAGTACAGATGGTGTGTAAAGTAAATGAAGATGGTGTACAGATGAAAGTACAGATGGTGTAAAGGTAAATGAAAGTACAGATGGTGTAAGGTAGATGAAAGTACAGATGGTGTAGATGAAGGTAAATGAAAGTACAGATGGTGTAAGGTAAAAGAAATTACAGATGGTGTAAGGTAGATGAAAGTACAGATGGTGTAAAAGGTAGATGAAAGTACAGATGGTGTAAAGTAGATGAAAGTACAGATGGTGTAAAAGGTAGATGAAAGTACAGATGGTGTAAGTGTAAGGTAAATGAAAGTACAGATGGTGTAAAGGTAGATGGAAGTACAGATGGTGTAAGGTAGATGAAAGTACAGATGGTGTAAAGGTAGATGAAAGTACAGATGGTGTAAAAAGTAGATGAAAGTACAGATGGTGTAAGGTAGATGAAAGTACAGATGGTGTAAAGATGAAAGTACAGATGTGTAAGGTAGATGAAAGTACAGATGGTGTAAGGTAGATAGATGAAAGTAGATGGTGTAAAGGAAGTACAGATGGTGTAAAAGGTAGATGAAAGTACAGATGGTGTAAGGTAGATGAAAGTACAGATGGGTGTAAAGGTAGATGAAGTACAGATGGTGTAAAAGTAGATGGTGATGGTAGTAGTACAGATGGTGTAAGGTAGATGAAAGTACAGATGGTGTACAGTAGATGAAAAAGTACAGATGGTGTAAAGGTAGATGAAAGTACAGATGGTGTAAAGTAAATAGAAAGTACAGATGGTGTAAAGTAGATGGTGTAAAGATGAAATGATAGAAGTACAGATGGTGTAAGGTAGATGAAAGTACAGATGTGTAAAAGATGGTGTAAGGTAAATAGGTGAATAAAAGTACAGATGGTGTAAGGTAGATGGAAGTACAGATGGTGTAAGGTAGATGGAAGTACAGATGGTGTAAAGTAAGATGAAAGTACAGATGGTGTGGAAAGGTAGATGGAAGTATAGATGGTGTAAAGTAAATGAAAGTACAGATGGTGTAAAGGTAGATGAAAGTACAGATGGTGTAAAAGATAAGGAAAATGGAAGTACAGATGGTGTGGGAAAAGGTAGATGGAAGTACAGATGGTGTAAAGTAAATGAAAGTAGTACAGATGATGTTGTAAGGTAGATGGAAGTGCAGATGGTGTAAGGTAGATGGAAGTACAGATGGTACAGATGGTGTAAGGTAAATGAAAAGTAGTTACAGATGGTGTTAAGTGAAAAGAGTAATGAAAGTACAGATGGTGATAGATGAAAGTACAGATGGTGTAAGGTAGATGAAAGTACAGATGGTGTAAAAGGTAGATGAAAGTACAGATGGTGTAAGGTAGATGAAAATACAGATGGTGTAAGGAAAATAGAAGTACAGATGGTGTAAGGTAGATGAAAGTGCAGATGGTGTAAGGTAAATGAAAGTACAGATGGTGTAAGGAAAATAGAAGTACAGATGGTGTAAGGTAGATGAAAGTACAGATGGTGTAAGGTAGATGAAAGTACAGATGGTGTAAGGTAGATGAAAGTATAGATGGTGTAAGGTAGATGAAAGTACAGATGGTGTAAGGTAGATGGAAGTACCGATGGTGTAAGGTAGATGAAACTTCAGATGGTGTAAGGTAAATGAAAGTACAGATGGTGTAAGGTAGATGGAAGTACAGATGGTGTAAGGTAGATGAAAGTACAGATGGTGTAAGGTAGATGGAAAGTACAGATGGTGTAAAAGGTAGATGAAAGTACAGATGGTGTAAGGTAGATGAAAGTACAGATGGTGTAAGGTAGATGAAAGTACAGATGGTGTAAGGTAGATGAAAGTACAGATGGTGTAAGGTAGATGAAAGTACAGATGGTGTAAGGTAGATGAAAGTACAGATGGTGTAAGGTAAATGAAAGTACAGATGGTGTAAAAGGTAGATGGAAGTACAGATGGTGTAAGGTAAATGAAAGTACAGATGGGAAGGTAGATGAAAGTACAGATGGTGTAAGGTAAATAGAAGTACAGATGGTGTAAGGTAGATGGAAAGTACAGATGGTGTAGAGGTAAATAGAAGTACAGATGGTGTAAAAGGTAAATGAAAGTACAGATGGTGTAAGGTAAATAGAAGTACAGATGGTGTAAAGTACAGATGGTGTAAGGTAAATGGAAGTACAGATGGTGTAAAGGTAAATAGAAGTACAGATGGTGTAAGGTAAATAGAAAGTACAGATGTGTGTGTAAAGGTAAATGGTGAGGTAAATAGAAGTACAGATGGTGTGAGGTGTACAGATGGTGTGAGGTAAATAGAAGTACAGATGGTGTAAGGTAAGTAGAAGTACAGATGGTGTAAGGTAAATAGAAGTACAGATGGTGTAAGGTAAATGAAAGTACAGATGGTGTTAGGAAAATAGAAGTACAGATGGTGTAAGGTAGATGAAAGTACAGATGGTGTAAGGTAAATGAAAGTACAGATGGTGTAAGGTAGATGGAAGTACAGATGGTGTAAGGTAGATGGAAGTACAGATGGTGTAAGGTAGATGAAAGTACAGATGGTGTAAGGTAGATGAAAGTACAGATGGTGTAAGGTAGATGGAAGTACAGATGGTGTAAGGTAGATGAAAGTACAGATGGTGTAAGGTAGATGAAACTACAGATGGTGTAAGGTAAATGAAAGTACAGATGGTGTATGGTAGATTGAAGTACAGATGGTGTAAGATGAATAGAAGTACAGATGGTGTAAGGTAAATAGAAGTACAGATGGTGTGAGGTAAATAGAAGTACAGATGGTGTAAGGTAAATAGAAGTACAGATGGTGTAAGGTAAATAGAAGTACAGATGGTGTGAGGTAAATAGAAGTACAGATGGTGTAAGATGAATGGGAGTACAGATGGTGTAAAGTAGATGGAAGTGCAGATGTTGTAAGGTAGATTGAAGTACAGATGGTGTAAGGTAAATAAAGGTACGGATGGTGTAAGATGAATGGGAGTACAGATGGTGTAAAGTAGATGGAAGTGCAGATGGTGTAAGGTAAATAAAGGTACGGATGGTGTAAGGTAAATAGAAGTACAGATGGTGTAAGATGAATGGGCGGATGGTGCTAAGGAGATCTTATTCACTACTATACTGGGTCTTTAATACAGGAACACTTCTGGAGTCTGGATGAGACTGAGCTTCATCTATCCCCAATGCTCTCCTGTCAGATATGGGACAATGACAAGTTCTCAGCTGATGACTTCCTTGGTAAGAGTTTTTCCCCCATAACTATAACCCTTTTGTTATGGGTGACTTGTCCTTAGATTGGTCAGCACTTTTGTCACTAGTGTGTATACTTTGACAGCAATTGATTTAAATCTGAAAACATACTGATGTAAAATATAATTAATTTACTCACTGTTTGCTTCAGTATATCTAACAACTATTTGTATCAACCACAGGAACTTTGGATGTCAATCTGAACTCCATCCCTCGGCCAGCAAAGAAGGCCTCGTCTTGTTCCCTGAAAACCATCCCTGATATGAACAACACTAATGCAGTAAAGATGGTGTCACTATTTGAGTGTCGGAGACTGCGGGGCTTTTGGCCATGTTACAGTGACGAATCCGGAGAGCGATTGCTTACGGTATGTCCTGTCCACCACAGGATTATATGTATCATTAATTATCTACAATTTGTCAAATATAATAATTTTCTTTGGGCTAACTGATTATATACACTGAAAGGTGCTGATCATATACACTGAAAGGTGCTGATCATATGCACTGAAAGGTGCTGATCATATGCACTGAAAGGTGCTGATCATACACACTGGAAGGTGCTGATCATATCCACTGAAAGGTGCTGATCATATGCACTGAAAGGTGCTGATCATATACACTGAAAGGTGCTGATCATACACACTGGAAGGTGCTGATCATATACACTGAAAGGTGCTGATCATATACACTGAAAGGCAGTGATCATATACACTGAAAGGCAGTGATCATATACACTGAAAGTTGCTGATCATATACACTGAAAGTTGCTGATCATATACACTGAAAGTTGCTGATCATATACACTGAAAGGTGCTGATCATATATGCTGAAAGGTGCTGATCATATACGCTGAAAGGTACTGATCATATACACTGGAAGGTGCTGATCATATACACTGAAAGGTGCTGACCATATACACTGAAAGGTGCTGATCATATACACTGAAAGGCAGTGATCATATACACTGAAAGGTGCTGATCATATACACTGGAAGGTGCTGATCATATACACTGAAAGGTGCTGATCATATACACTGAAAGGTGCTGATCATATACACTGAAGGGCAGTGATCATATACACTGAAAGGCAGTGATCATATACACTGAAAGGTGCTGATCATATACACTGAAAGGTGCTGATCATATACACTGAAAGGCAAAAGATTTTGTTCAGTGAATGTTTTTACTTTCAAACCTTTATGTGAACTTTCTGGATTTTAACCTTGGAAAAATTCATTAAAAATCTCAAAGATGTGTAACCCTCCAAATATTGCTGGTTTTGAACAGTTTTAACCTGGAGAAATTAATGTATGGTGTCATACCATGGCCATTCAGAACCGTATTTTGAAGTACCAGGTTCATGAAAATACCATTTGTGTTTATTTTGCTATGATATTATGAGAAGTGAGGCCGTCAGAAGGTGTGTCACTGGACACCTGGTACCCTGCAGCATAACACCTGCAGCATAACACTGAACCAATAGCAGGACATATGTCTGCAGGCAAGGCTGATGGAGGTGGTTGTGTTGTGTGGTGGAGTAGTGGCAACATTGTTGACTCAAATGTGAGGATTGGAATTTGAATGCAGTCAGATGAGATTATGTAAAGAGACTTTTCTCCATTTTTGCAACAGAATAGCCCTTGAGTGATATTCCAGCACAATAACACCAGATCACATGTTGCTAAAGTTTTGCAGCAGTATCTGACAAAGTTAGATGTCATCAGTCAAACAGGTCTGGGAAAAAAAAAATTGTTATGTCTTCCTCATCAACCAATAAAGTTGCCAGATCTCCAGCTTATTCTTCCACAGATATGGAATGCCATTACCATGGCCTTTATTCACTGTTAAGTGGCCTCAGTGAAATGGAGGTAGCAGGCCTGTGACAGCAACACACTGATCTATTGTGTCTCCAGCAAATGTTCCATGTCTTTTTGGTCACCATTAGGTCACTATTGTCTTTAAGTATACTGTAGATATACATGGTGTCAAGATTCAACTATAGTGTCTCTTCTTTACATGCAATTATGCAGTAAACATCTTTTGTTGGGGAGGTGAATGTACAACACTTCCACATGTTTTTGGACTGTGATGGGATATGCTGGTTTGCTGACAATGGAACATGTGTTTTGTTACAGGGAAAAATTGAAATGGAGCTAGAGTTGTTGACAGCTGAGGAGGCTGTCGAGAAGGAATCCGGCCTGGGTCAGGAGGAGCCCAACATGCACCCACATCTTGACCCTCCCAAGTGAGATTCTCAATTAACCATAGTCACTATGGGAACAGATTGAACATCCCTAGAACATATAACCCACATCATGAAATAATCATCGTAGGTGATATGACTGCCATGAATAGTATACTGTGGAAATTTTTTCTTAGGAAGTAGTATATTATGGAAACACATTTTGATGACCAATTTTGATTGCCAATTTTGTGAGTTGGGTAAGAACCGGCAAATTACTAGTTCTGTGTTAGGGAACAGTGGTTATACAGATGTGTATCTTGCAGGCGGCCAGAAACTTCCTTCATGTGGTTCACAAGTCCATTCAAGACTCTGAAGTACATCATCTGGCGCAACTACAAGTGGTACATCATCAGCTCCTTCGTCATCCTCATCCTCATCCTCCTTGTTGTGCTCTTCGTCTACTCCTTCCCAGTACGTACTTCTCCAGTGTTTTCTCACACATTTAGTATTAGTCCGTCATGTAACATGGCAGACTGCCATTCACCTTCTCTGCCAGGTGACATGTGCCAAACTGTTATTGCAGTGATGGTCACAGTAAGCAGCTAAGTGGGTAACAAGAATGTCAAAGTTGCCAGATGGATACTGAACAACCTTCTCAGACAGTTAACTACACCTTGTGTCCCTGCAGGGGTGGCAGTAAACTTACTACCTTTAATGTCATTTTGTCAGAGGAAAGTTCACTTTGTGAACTGAACCCACTGTTCGTTTGTCAGAGTGAGTGAGTTTAGTTTTACACCACACTCAGCAATATTCCAGCTATATGGCGGCAGTCTGTAAATAAGCGAGTCTTGACCAGACAATCCATTGATCAACAGCATGAGCATCGATCTGCGCAATTGGGAACCGATGACATGTGTCAACCAAGTCAGCAAGCCTGACCACCCGATCCCGTTAGTCGCCTCTTACGACAAGCATGGGTTGCTGAAGGTTCATTCTATCCCAGACCTTCACGGGTTTGTTTGTCAGAACTTTTACCTGTGCTGAATGTCTTCTGAAAGTAGACATATTAATCTGTGATCTGTCAACGCTTTAGACTGTAAACTATGCTCATGTCCACTTGGTGGAGAGGCATTGACCAGCACCGTACCCATTTACAGGGAATGGTCATCTTCCAGTAGACAGATTGACATGCAGTATCCTAGCAGTAACTGAATATACTAGTTCAGGAGAAGTAGTGGTTGCTGCTATAGTACTCATATACTGTGTTTCAGGGGGAGATTTCAAGGAAGATTGTTGGCAACTAGACAGATGATAGATGCTGTGCTGCCTCACCTGCCACCGATGTGTGTATATTGTTGGATGCAGGCTTCACAAGACCTTGTACAGTCTGTCAGTCACTGGTGTACAGTGGCAGACCATCTTGTTACATACCTACTCTTGCATGTACAGTGTAGGGCTTCATTCCATCATACTGTGTGGTGACAGGGGTCCTTTCAACAATATATTTTTGCATACATATAGATAGGTAAAGTTATTCCCAATGAACACGTTTCTGTATAACTAAATGTTGTATGGCTGTGAGACATTTTCGACCAGTGATAGTTCTAGTCTTTTTGACAGCTTGCTGAAAATGATTTCAGGTCTCAGGGTACTGTGATGTGTGTTTGTACACTCGCAGCTGTAGGATGTGTGTAACATGGATACTGATGTACAGTGATGGCTGTAACATGGGTACTGATGTACAGTGATGGCTGTAACATGGGTACTGATGTATGGTGATGGCTGTAACATGGGTACTGATGTACAGTGATGGCTGTAACATGGGTACTGATGTACAGTGATGGCTGTAACATGGGTACTGATGTACAGTGATGGCTGTAACATGGGTACTGATGTACACTTATGGCTGTAACATGGGTACTGATGTACACTTATGGCTGTAGGATGGGGCAAGTGTTTACACACAGTCATATTGGTCCTGACAGTTGCAGTGTATGTGACAGTTTCTGCAGCATGCTCCAGTAAAACTTAGTCTGCAGCATTATTCAATACCAGAGGGTACTGTTTGTACATTTACCATGTTAACAACAACCAATTGGAGCAAAGCAAATTGGCAATCAAATCTATAAGTGATAAATAACTATTGATGACATAACCCAGGGTTTACTGATGTTATGAGATATTTTGTTCAGTGGAATGTGATATATTGCAAGTGTATCATTGTGATGGTATTTATGGTAGGTGTCTGTAATGCTGTGTCACCATCAGTGCCAATTCTGTTTCTGCATAGCTGGTGAATCTCAGTATATATTTAAATGTATTCTTCTGCAATATGAGTGAGATTTGTATCCTTGTTACTCACTGTGTCTCCTGAGTGGCCTACTTGGAGTGCACTACACCCAGTCTCTGCCCCCCTTCACATGTAGTTGTGGGCACTGTTATATATGCTAGTATAGTTTGGGGTAATAGGAAAGCGCCAACAAGATTTGACATTGATTTTGACTGATACCTTCTATGAGTGTTGAATTGTTTACATTGCTAATACCACTGTATGAAACACAATGTGTCACAATGTATAGATATATTTACTTGGTTCATATACCTTCAGTAGTAGTGCAGATTGCCTGACATCAACACATGTCTGTTAAGACTGCAATATATTGGTTGTCTATGTTCCTCAGCTCAGTGTGGTGGTTGACATCATTTAGTGTAAGGGTCTTGTCCCACAACAATTGCTTTGTTGTAATCTGCAGCTGAAGAATGTACACTTTGTTTCTGACTTATCCCGCTTTCAGTTCTAACCAGACTGCTTTAAAACATTGAACAACTTCTTCAGTTAGTAATGTGAACATTAGGGGTGTTCACTGTGACTGCGTGCTCATGTCGTGGAGTGTTCACTGTGACGGCGTGCTCATGTCGTGGAGTGTTCACTGTGACCACGTGTTCATGTCGTGGAGTGTTCACTGTGACCACGTGTTCATGTGGTGGGGTGTTCACCGTGACCGCGTGTTCATGTGGTGGGGTGTTCACCATGACCACGTGTTCATGTGGTGGGGTGTTCACTGTGACGGCGTGCTCATGTCGTGGAGTGTTCACTGTGATAACCGTGCTCATGTCGTGGAGTGTTCACTGTGACCACGTGCTCATGTCGTGGAGTGTTCACTGTGATGGCGTGCTCATGTCGTGGAGTGTTCACTGTGACCACGTGTTCATGTGGTGGGGTGTTCACCATGACCGCGTGTTCATGTGGTGGGGTGTTCACCATGACCACGTGTTCATGTGGTGGGGTGTTCACTGTGACCGCGTGTTCACGTGGTGGGGTGTTCACCGTGACCACGTGTTCATGTGGTGGGGTGTTCACCGTGACTGCATGTTCATGTGGTGGGGTGTTCACTGTGACGGCATGTTCATGTGGTGGGGTGTTCACCATGACCACGTGTTCATGTGGTGGGGTGTTCACCATGACCACGTGTTCATGTGGTGGGGTGTTCACTGTGATGGTGTGCTCATGTCGTGGAGTGTTCACCGTGACCCACGTGTTCATGTGGTGGGGTGTTCACCGTGACTGCATGTTCATGTGGTGGGGTGTTCACTGTGACGGCATGTTCATGTGGTGGGGTGTTCACCATGACCGCGTGTTCATGTGGTGGGGTGTTCACGGTGACCGCGTGTTCATGTGGTGGGGTGTTCACCATGACGGCGTGTTCATGTGGTGGGGTGTTCACTGTGACGGCGTGTTCATGTGGTGGGGTGTTCACTGTGATGACATGTTCATCATGGTGGGGTGTTCACTGTGACGGCATGTTCATGTGGTGGGGTGTTCACCGTGACGGCATGTTCATGTGGTGGGGTGTTCACCATGACCACGTGTTCATGTGGTGGGGTGTTCACTGTGACCGCGTGTTCATGTGGTGGGGTGTTCACTGTGACGGCGTGTTCATGTGGTGGGGTGTTCACTGTGACCGCGTGTTCATGTGGTGGGGTGTTCACTGTGACCACGTGTTCATGTGGTGGGGTGTTCACTGTGACGGCGTGCTCATGTCGTGGAGTGTTCACTGTGAAGGGCTGCTGGTTGCTCCTGTATTATTCCATCAGTCTGGGTTAACCATGTTGGGCGAATCAACATACCAAACTCCCAGGTTCAATTTCATGCTTTGGTACAATGTCTGCAGTGCATTTTGTGTTTCTTCCCCGTTATTTGATGCTTGGAATATTGATGAAAATGATGTAGAGCCCAACTCACTCATTCAACCCTTAATGAGCTTGCAACAAACATGACAGGATGTTTTTGTCAGCTGAGAATATTAGCTTCAGCCGCTACAAGCATATGTAGCACTCACAAGAAGTAGAAGACAACCCAATTCTCATGTTCACCCAGTGCTGGTCATGAATTGATAATTGACACTGAAATTTGGAACCATCATCATCATATTTGAATTTGAATTTGTGATGTTGCATTTGTTGATTGATGCTTTACGTATCAAAAAATGGTAATTCAAAACATGAAATTGTCTTTTGTCTGTGAAAAAAATTTATTAATAGATGCATAATGTCAGTGATGTTAGTTAAGATTGTTTAACAAACTTTTCCAGATTGGTAAACATTTACCAAATTTTGTGCAATATCCTGTAAGTCTGACCATGTCTTTCTCAGAACAAAACTAATGGTAGTCGTTTTGTCTAATAAATGAAGCAAATGATGAGGTTAAACATGAACAAAGATTGTAACATGTGTTCCAGTTTGCACTATTGCCTGGAAGTACTGACTGGCTCTGGATTAGCTATCATTGAACTTTTCCCATAGCAGAATGCAACGTCTCTACCACATCCCTGGTTCCAGACAGGCCTGGGTTTGGAGGATATTGCCTTCACCCAGCACTGCATTGGAAGACATGTGATGATTACTTATTTCATGGGCTGTTTACTGAAGCCCTGGTGTATATATCTGCCTGGATTCATCTGTATCTTCACTGTCTGCAAATGCCTTAAACATAGTATGTTGGAAATCTTCTCTGCCTGCAACTGCCTCCCGTATTGCAAGTTGGGCATCATCTCTGTTTGCAACTGCCTTCCACATGGCAAGTTGGCCATCTCACTGTCTTCACCTACCGTCTTCTCTGTCTGCAATTGTCTTCCACCTTTTCTCTTTTTAACTCCTTGTATCATGCATGACAAGTCACAGTTACTGTCATTATCTACAACTGCCCAACATTTGCAATGGATGCTTTGAGAACACTAAAGATAATCACCCATGAAAACTGATAACTATCTTCATTTTACAGCATTCATATCATATGTTGGGGATGGGTTTTATTTTTTCTTTCATTTTGTACTGCATATTTAGTTGAATCATATGATCAATAATACCTTTACTTATTCCAATTTTTATTTTAAAAACGCCCTTGTTTTGTGCCATGCATGATGTCTGTATGCCAGAGACTGACCATATGTTTCTTCATGAGATATATTCCTGAGAATTATTTTGAGATCAAATGAATGTTTTCCAAACTTTTGACCATAAAGCTTTATTAAGAGACAAACCCAAGGCCCGATGATGGCTGCCTTCCTTCTAGCTACTGTGGCTGGCTGTACCTGCTGATGACTAACAATACTGGTCAGGATGATGTATTACTGAATGCCACAGCTTACCAGACAGCAATGGTTGTTTCATCCTTCTTGGATGGTATTTATACTCACCTCTAATTTTGTCACCTTTTTTGTTTTCTATGTCAACATATTTATCTACTGTGTTAATGTATACATCTTGCTCTTTATAATATCTACTCATTAAAGACTTGTAAAAACAGCAGTGGTTCTGTTATACATGGAAGGATAAAAATATTGCAGATGTCACTAAGGGAAATGTGTGACTTTATGGACAACAACTTCTTGTTTATTGTATAGAGTGACGTTTTGGTGTAGATTTTTACAGCATTATTACTCTAGAATGCTGATGAAACAACAGTCATCAAGAGAAACAACTTCTTCCAGCATGGTTCTAAACGTTACAATTCTGACTAATACAAAACCAGACAGCACTTTGCAAGAAATTCAGCTGTCTTTACTTTTGTAGAAATATCTTAATTTTCAACAGGACTCATCTTCAGTGTCACCTGTCATCAAGTAGTTGTGCAAGTAACGGTATCTTTCCTCCCAAACCTCTAGTGTTCGCCTGTGAAATGATCTTGAAGTCAACTTTGTGATACTTCATGGAATGTACCTGAATACTGCATTGCTTTGCATCAAAAGACCGCTTTGACAAAGCAACATGGCCAAACCCCATTTGTGTATAGGTTTGAACCCCAGCTTTTATAGAAATTTAATTTCTGCACTGAAAGAAAACTTGGGTCAGTGGAATCGCAGTGCCTTGTGTGTTAAACAGTCTTACAGGTCCACCTGACCTCAACACAAGCTTCCCTATTTCATACCTTAAACCATGGACTTCAGCTGGGATATAGGGACAGTGGAACATTTCTTCAACTAGTCTCAAGGTCACGCAGCTCGTATTAATAGTCAATCAATAAATGAGGATAATATTGAACAAACTAATACTTTATTTCATGAGTGCGATGTTTCGATACTGATTTTTGGACCATTGTCAAACAGAAATTCATTGCACTCACGAAATAAAGAAGTTGTTATCCATAAAGTTTGTTCAATATTGTATGTCCCAACTTCTAAATGTCACCTTCTCCTGATAGTTCGACTGCCCCTATTTTGAGTAACAACCAATCAGAAGGGTGGTCAAGGCTGTCATCGTGCCTCAGTAGTGTCGGTTCTTGCTACATTACAGTCACTTTATCTAGACTTAATTGCTTACAAGCCACCTCATTATAGCCTGTAAAGCGCATTAAAGGAGACTCACTCACATTAAGTTTAGACAACAACCTTTATTGTAGGTGTCAGCACCATCATATATGCAAAGAATAATGTCTTCACATTCATCTTTGATAATAATGTGAAAATTGTCTGACCACAGCAACTTGTTCAGTCACTCAAATCTTGATGTCTCCACAAATGACAGGGCCCCACATCCAGAGGGCAATCCAAAGGTACATGTCTCTCCATTTGAAAAAAGTGAGTAAAGCACTTAGATCTAACATCCTAGATGAATGTATTTGACAAGCAATCTGTATTTGGTATTCATGAAAATATTGTTGAAAACATGTCATAAGATGAACTGGCTGATCCTTGTATGTTGAAGTACAATCTAAATTTAAGATGGATTTGTACATACAAGTGTCAGTATTCAACAACTCTCTCAGTTGGTGAAACATGTTTATAACATGAATAACAATCCTAGATTACTTGCTTTCATCTAGCCCTGGCATGTCATATTGTGATTACAAAATAACATTCACATTCAGATATAAGAGTGACTGAGGTGGGTTTAACACTGACGTTATTAGCGCAAGTAAACAGGTTTTGAAGTCTTAAGATACCAGACATGGATATTTTACATGAGCTTCTTTGACTTTATGGATTATCCTAGACAAAATGTACATTCTTTGTCTTAACTTGTTCAAGTGTTTGCAAGTTGTTTCCTCCCTCTCTGCCATCTCAAGAAGTCCCCAGAAATCGTGACATAATGGCAAGAATGAAAATAATGATAATTAATTAACCTCGAGATATATCCCTTCAAATGTAACATAAATTTAAACAAAGCCTAATGCAAGCAGCTGCCTTAGAAGCATGTTGTACTTTAAAGTTTCCATATGAATGACATCTTTTCTCCTGGGTGAAAATACATGTCATATGCCGAGAGGCTATATATCATACAGTTGTATTCTTCTCATTCATAAAAAACTTCCACTGCCATTGGTGAGGTGAAATTGGGTTTTTACGTTGTGCTTGAGAATATTTCGCTCATATGACGACGTGCATGTACTAGCCCAGACTTAAGCTGGTTTTATAGTGCTAGCCCACTGAGATACCATGCCGCAGTGAAGCATGAAAACCCCACTCAGACACATTATACTGACTCTGAGCTGACTAGTCCTTGTTGTACCCATTAATGCCGAGCGCCAGGCAGGGACCAACAAGTACCATATTTTAACGCCTTTTGGTATGGCGCGGTTGGGGGTCAAACCTGCGACCTTCCGCTCTCCAGGCGGACGCTCTAACCACTACACCACAGAGGCGGTCCACTGCCATTGGAGGTATACTGGTTCCACTTTCTATTTGGAAATATAAGTCACTGTAACGCAAAAATCACAAAGTCCAATGCCTTTAACCTAAATCAGAGAGTATTAAGATCATTTGATTTAATGACTCTCAACTTTAATTTCAGATAATCACTTGCTGGATTGGGTTGAAAACATGGGGGCCAGCTCCTAAATTCATGATATAAAAACACAAGGGGTTGGTTCATTACACAAAGAAGCAAAACACCTCATGAATGATCACAACTTCAATGATCCATCCTAAGGGTGATAGGAACCAAGGTTTATCCTCAATAACAGTGGATGTTCTTGAGTTATTATGAACATGATTTATACGAAGGTCTATTCAACCTTTAAGATCAGTGACAAGTATTCCAGATGGCTAACCAAAATATAATCCAAATACAATATCCTCAAGTAAAACTCCAACAAACGCTACTTGTATGCAGTAGGTCCACGTGAACTACCACTGATACAATCTGAATGCCAGCACCTGCCATGTAGAAGTATATGACATAGCTACTACATGCAAACATCTGCAGTCATTCAGTGAACATGGCAGCCATACATTACTAATAACTTTCACTTCATGCAAAGGAGGAACCTTTCCTTAATGATTTATCAAGTTACATGGGACTAAAGTAATGTCTTCTCGATTTAGGCAGTAAATGAACTTCAACTTTTATGACCTTGATGCAACTTATTTTCCAGTTATAGTAATGATTCTATATGATTCTGTGATATCCCCGAGATGTCCAAATTTTACATGGGCTGCTTCATTATATACTCCTCCACATTGTAGCTGGTCACATCTCCCTGACAAACAGTGATGACTGACCTCCACATTGTAGCTGGTCACATCTCCCTGACAAACAGTGATAACTGACCTCCACATTGTAGCTGGTCACATCTCCCTGACAAACAGTGATGACTGACCTCCACATTGTAGCTGGTCACATCTCCCTGACAAACAGTGATGGCTGACCTCCACAGAAGTCACTGAGTTCACTGAGAATCAGGATAATACAAGTATGAACCATATGAATGATTAGTTTCTCCTCTGTCAAAAACAATGTGTAACATGTGAACAGCAGATGATATCAGTAAATGCAGCAAGCCAGTCCATCACAATGTGATATTTCACTGACAGATGGGTAATCAAGTCAAATGAGTAAACAAGGAAATTTCTTATGTAGTCTCACATTTTGACATTTCTCATCCCTAATTTACTTATAGTTAACACATTGAGATGGATTTACATTTGTAACTTTGAATCCTCAAGAATCAGGGAAGCCAAAAACTTTGACCAAACCAGAGTCTCGATCACGTTCATGTTTATCGTCACATGCAAATGCCAGTAGATGTCGTTTTGGGTGCCAGGCAACTGTAAATGTTGGCGTTTCACATGGGATTTCTGCAAGTTTCTCAGCTGAAAAATGGAAACATGTTACTTTTAAAGTCACAATACTTCAATCAAATGTACAGTATCATCAAGGTCAATTTAACAGTTATGTGTCTAATCTGAAAAAGTTAGTTTTGTCCTGACATAATCAATAGTTTGAATTTTGAAGGAAACTGGAGCAGCCCATGTAACACTATTCCTGACATGTCAGTGTCACCTCACCTGTTTCCACATATGCTATGTCAATCACCAAATCTTCTGAGGCTGAAGCCAGCATTTTCCCATCACAGCTGAAGCTTAGTGTCCTCACTGGCCAGTCCAGTCTAAAATGTACACAGGTTTCTTGTTAAGTTTTCACATATTTTTTCCAAAATGCAAGGGCCATAGGCATTTAGCATGACTGAAAACTGCTTAACACCCCAGGCAATATCTGGAGAAATATATCTCCCTTAGAAAACACCCGGGGTCGATAACATATGCTATAGTCTGTTTGCAGTGAAAACGTACCGATGAATTTCACTTTAAACAAAAAAGTAAATCACATAAAGTGAAATTAAGATTGCGAATCCTCATGATTTTACCTTGCCAATTGAACTTTTAAATCTCAGAATTTTATTCAACTTATGATAAAAGTTGTTTAACAAACGATCATAGTTTCAAATCGCTATTATTGGTTTGTATTACAAAGGGGTACACGCAGTAGTTGGAAAAGTGAAACAAATGCACGTGCGGTCCGTGATGAGCGTTAACTTAGACTACCGTAGAAACCAACCCTTCTTTTTCTCAGGGTTTCATTTAATGTGCATACCCCCTTTTATTCTAAGTTGAATTAAAATTCTGAGATTTTAAAGTTCAGTTGGCAAGGTAAAGTTATGAGGATTCGTAATCCTAATTTCACATTATTTGATTTACTTTTTGGTTTAAAGTGAAATTCATCGGTACGTTTTCACTGCAAACAGACTATACATGGTATTACTAGTGTTCCCCTAAGGAACATGTGAATTAAGCTCACTTGACTTCTGCATGGTTTAAATGCCAACTTCCAAATCATTTACAAAACAATCTCATGTCTCCTCCACAAAGGGAGAGAACTCCGCCCATGATAAAATCTGGAAAATACACATGAGTAATTGTAAAATCAAGCACAGCTAAAAAATGACAGGGAGTGAGCTGGAAAGGGCGGTGCTCAGCGCCCTCCTGATTGTGCCTGAGGAAAACACTAATTACCAGTCCATAGCGTAACAAGGTCTTACCTGTAGAACGTTCGCACACACACAAACTCTGCTGCATCCCACAGACTGACAAGAGCATCTGCACTCCCAGTGGCAAAGTAAGTACCAGTTGGATCAAACTCAATACAAATACAGTTTGCAGGATGTGCATTCAAGACATGCTGTAGCTTCAGGTCTGGGTAACTGAAACCAGAAAGTGATTCAAACATACAAGCTGAGAATTTAGTACATGTATTTGTATATGATATCTTGATGTGACAGTTGGTAATTTCCTTAATTATTTGGCATCAAAAAGAGAGAAAAGTTTTCTACACCCCTAACACTACAGTCACTAGACGCATCCTCGATCCTCCAGTAAAATTGATATTGCCTAGGACAGGACATTTGTCATGTGTCATATCATAGGGTTGTAATAACAGTTGGATATTAGTTAGTTATGATGGTAACAAACTGGAATTACTTCCCTTGGAAGTGCCATATCCTTATCAGCATGACCAGCTGTTCTGTGACAATGTCTTCCAAACAAAGAGAAAATGTATTGCATTCACTCGTTGTTGTATTAAATCTTAACAGCACTTTCTTAAGTTCACTACTTGAGTTCTCAGTCAGTGAAGCTTTTCTCTCTGATTTTCTGAAGTCAGTATGTATCTTGTTTCAGCATGTTCAGTGACTGTTGAATGACGCTGTACAGTATATTAGACGATGTCCTGTGGCTGGACTACGGTACAGACATCCAGTTACCTGAGGATGTGTATGCTGCCTTGACCACTTGTCAAGAAGAAGAGATCACCATCGTTGTTCCAAGATATTTCATTTACTTCAAATTTGAATTGTTCGTCAGCTCTTGATCTGTGAGTTTTTGCATCAATGAATGTGACCAGATCTTCCTTGTTGCCTACAGCAATAGTGCTTCCGTCGGGAGACCAACATATGTTGATGTTCTCACCTGAAACAGCAGGCGGAGAGTACCTGTCATTTACATTTCCTTCATTGCATAGAATTAGTAATAAAATGTGTCAAAATTTAAAACAATTCAAAACTTGGAACGTATGTGTTGAGTCCTACAACTAACAAATCAAAGTTTCAAGGTCAAACAAACATCAAAATTTAAACCATTGTGCAAAACAGAAAGTATATATATAGCCTAACTACTGCAAAAGTAAAGATATTGCCCAGAAAATGAAATGCATATCCTGAGTACTACGAACTATACAAACCATTACATTTTGACCTGTAGAGACTCTGGCTTAGATCATTGTGTACAGTATTGATCACTGGATCGTCTGATCCACTCATTCATTTACAGGCTGCTGGCCTGTAGTTGGACTGTAACTGTGCACAGTGTCAAACAACAAACAAACTGGACCAGTAGTATATACAATGGGGGTTTTGGATCACTTTCAACAAAAGCCTCTGCAAAGCCTTATTTCCCAAATAAGGCTTTGGTCGGACCCTTAGCTCTTGCTGCTATTACCCCTACTATGAAAAAGTTTGGGACGCTAGCGGGATACGAACTCCACATGTATACCCCACAACCGCGCCGCTTAACCGACTGAGCTACCGGGGACTTGGCTGAAGTATGTTGGTTTAACGGGTCTATCCTGGGATTGCATCATCCAATACTGGGCTGCGTCTAACGTGCCGCTATGACACTATTGTGCCGCTATGCCATGTTTACCTCGATGAAACAGTTTAATGTGAATCGCCTATGATCTCTTTGGTGTTTGTAATAAAGGCTTGCTGGGCTTTTTTCACCCCTTGTTCTATGTACTTTTTTTTCTCATCCTCACTGATAGCAGACTTACGAGACTTGGATCGAATCTCTTGTTTCATTTTGTTATATTTTGTGAGTTCAGAGAGGATTGAACTAAACTCCTCCTCTGAGATCTTACTGTCAGTGAGTGCAGTGGAAATACGCCACTTACTGTGTTCAGCTTTGCTTCAGCCAGAACCCTGATCTCGCCGTGTTTCAATGCCTTACGATGCAGTCTCAATGGATGCAAACTTAAGCACCAACCCTAACACCCCTGCCACCCCAGCTGTTATTTCAATGCCTAGCACTACGGGGTAGCCACGACGGTAGCTAACAACCCAACACCTGTCCGCCCCCTAGCCCCATGCTGGTTGCCATAAGGGCAGTATCAGCCCCGCTTCCACTATATTGAAAGCTCTATGGTACTTTTACATAGTGCTTTTACGCGTGTCGCGGTCTTGTTCTAGTTGGCGTTTCACATCACATAACTGTCTCAAACGGAACCCGTCTACGGTTTCCAGGGTCTTCGCTACTTCCTCTACGACTGGGTACAGCCCCATCCTGTGTGCCTATAATATATCTTATGAGATATTTTTTAATTGGGCTTCAGTTAACAGTCGATCAACGTACTTGAGGCTTATAAGGAATAAATCCTCATGTAGGAGAATAGGTGAGAATTTAATAGGTAACGCTGCATCCACAATAGCCCCATAGGAGGGGCTTATTGAGGGGGTTATAGAACCCGTTGAGGGGTCCGGTTGTATGATGATACGGTAACGTTTACCATGGTTCTGGGGATTCCAGTATACTATCACCCCGGGTAAAAGTTGTTGTTTCATATTATTACTATTAACTTATTACTATTTCTATGATGAGTGTGGAGCCTGGCACCATAGCCGGAATCCCTATGTGCCCGTAGCAGTCATACCTTAACTCGCCCCCGTGGAATGACTGTAACATATTGGGTAAAACCGGCCTTAGTATCATCCTTGTATTAGGCCCCGGAATGAAACACCCAGGCAAGATACCGCTATTCTTAATTTCAGAGATATGACTTTGTTCCTTTAATGAGATATAAGGTGAGGCGAGGGTTAAGTTGACTACCCATTTGGGCTCTTTAAAATCTGATAACGACACCCGCCTATACACGTTGTCTTTCAAATGCAGGATGTATAAGGTGTCTTCCTCACCAGGCTGATCGAATCCCTCCGTGTCCCCTAGGTCATTAGGCGTAGTGTTGGGACGATGACTGGTCATTGCTATAATACTACTACGATATAGTTTCCAACTGGTTTTCTGATAATAGTTCAGGGTGAACTTCACCCCATGAAGTGTATGTTGTCAGGTAGGAAGATCTTGGTTAGTGATATCGCGGTTTTCCACGCATCACGGTGACACCCTGCAGACTGGTGTTGGAGCCGACACCCACCCAAGACGCAAACTGTGCAAACGCGGATACTGGTGTCGCTTTCACCCACCCGAAGTTTGACCCCTTCATGCATCTCGACCTCATCATTCCCGATGGTTCCCCTAGGTAGACTTTGATGATCAGTGTTGAGTTCGCCGGTAGACTCTCCAGTATCCTGACCACGCCTTCAAATTCAGACACCAACTGCAATGTCACGCTTTGTATTCCCGGTTTACTCGATAGCATGTGGGCTGCCATACTGGCGACTGGGTTGATGGCTACGCTTACGCCTCTGAGTCGGACGAAGCCACGAGCAGGGTTCCGTTGTTAACGACTTTGTTTAGGTGGTTGTCTTTGTTATCCGTGAACACGAGGGGAGCCGAGCCTAATATTGAGAAACCAGTCGCCTTTATCTGGTAACAACACCCACTTGTCATCTTCGTGAAGACGAAGCGATATGGCTTGTTTCGGGCGACGGTAGTGCTCTCAACATCGCCTAAGTCTAACAGTTTGCCCCTAACGATGGGTATATTATCCATTTATCATCCCCCGTGGTGACTAGGGTGTACCGAAAGTGTTGACTGTCGCCTTGTGGTATCTACTATATCACCTAGGGCTCCACCGAGGGGACTTCAACGCTTGTAAATGTTGTTTTTCAGTTGCAAGGCATGCATAATTTACCATCTACTCCGGGAGCGCCAAACCGCTGCGGTGTCCCTCGAGGTCGAGATCCCCACATTGACGATTTTTTCACCCCGGCCCTTGAGCGCTGGTCATTTTATGTGAAGCGCTAAGCTGAGGTATCCTATATTCACGGATTATGATTTATATCTAACACCGATATTATCAGCTCAGGTATGTTGCCCTGAGTCAACCTCTTATACTGTCAGCGGTGAAAACGACTCAGTTCTACCGCCGCTGTATTTCTACGCTTTAACCGCACTGCTCTCAGTATAGTGGAAGGGTGACCCCTTGAATGTTGTACGCTGTGCTCACCTGACCGAGATGAATGTACAGCTCGGCACGGTACTAGGTCGGGTAACTTCATGCCTGTGACGGTTGTTGTTGGTTTTATCTCGCCAGGCTTACATACCTAGTGTCCTCGCCAATGGTCTAACCGAAGTCTCAAGGAGTTTCTTCCGTTGTTGATTAACACCACTGTACCGCTTTGAGTCGCTCATCTTGAGTTCGGCTCCCAGGGGTTTGAAGACCTCGCCGCTAGAAAGCACACGCTGTAGTAGCCGCCAGTTATCTGGCTGCGAGCTCCACTGACTAACAGCTTATTGTTGCTGGTGTTGATGTTAGTCCATTGCGGTAGGTAGGTAATATCGCAGAGAGTGCGACTTCGAAGTTGACCCGACGATTATCGATCGCTAAGGCCAGCTGAACGGCCTCACCGCCGCTATTCCTGGAAGTGTTATGTACATGTTAGAGTATATATGCTCATTATATAATAGTTTTAAAATGTACTCCCCTGGAGTGTTTTACCCTAAACTGGACGAGATTTTCACCCATGAAGATCGTGGTCGCTGATGGGATGTATTTCAACGCCCAGCTTTTAGATGTGTTCAGCCTTTATAAATTTTCGTGACTAACGCTTAAGGTAGTTCATGCTTGGTTCAACAAACCGATGCAGTTCTGGCAGAATCAACTCAACTTCGCCGTGGTGGGCGCTACAACGGGTGTGGTGTGACATTAACCGACACTCGGGCGTGGACCGCTGAGTCAGTCTGTGTTCACGCTCCACGGTACTACCAGGTCAGGCGCGATCCTTAAAGAAATCAGCCCCGTCCCACAGGACAACGATGGAACGCAGTAAACAACAAGTACGATAGGGCGGCCTACTTAACGATTTGCAACTAATTCAACTAAACACGAAGACGGATTGACGCTTGCCGGACCGAACCACGGGTTGGGTATCCCCATCGCTCACAACATGCACCTCGTGGATGCCAGCGAAGTTGAAAGAATGGGGATACAAGTCGATCATCACCCTCACAAATCTAACGAGTGGGATGACCGCTACATGGCTTTCGACAACAGTAAGGATTACCGAAGTCTGGAGGTTCGAGCAGGGGCAGCGGATGACTGGAAAAAGTTCATGCTGGACACGCCGAAAAAGGATTCACTCGCGCCGGGTAATCAGGTTAAACGACTCGATTCGAACGCATCGTGGGGCTGTTGGTGCGCAGACGAAAACGCTCCAACATCCTCTCGTAAGGGGACTGCTTACGACGCCAGAAACAGTTCGTTGTTAACGTTGAGGATGCTATCAATGCTCCAGTTGATCTACCGAAAGTGCCATCAAACGCTACCAAGACGTGTTGGAATACGCCAGGTCGAAAAGTCGACTACGGTTCGACGGGGTTGTACATGGCTCCGGTTTATATGCAACTGAGAGTAAAAAAGTGGTGGGCTACAACAAGGAAATAGTCATAGCCACGGCCGGGCCAAAAGTTACGCCGTCAACCCCGATGTTAACTTCCCCACGCCCCACCACCCACTAATCGATGAAATGGGTATAGTCACCCCACCCCCGAGCCTAGGGTTCAACATACACCCCTGTGGGGTCACCCCCACAATAACACAGCAGCACATCGACCGTGAAAACAGCCCTGGTGGTTGGTGGGTAGCTTTGGGACTTATTTGGTTAAAAATTTCTTAGCCGCTTACGCATACACCAAACCCACCATGGCTACAATGGCTGCCCATAGGTTTTGACTGAGCCACGTGGCAGTTTTAGCCAGAGCTTCCAGCAGCCACGCAGACGATGCTACCCAGGATGCCGGCAGGCCTTACCAGCCAGTTTAGCCAGGGCCTCCCCGAAGTTTTTATCCAGGCTTTGAAGCCCCCACCACTTGGTTTACCAGCAGCATGGGGTACCCCGCCGCCGCAGGCTTAATGACACTAACACCAGGGTTGATATGATGAAGCCCAATGCAGTCAGAATGCTGGTGATGGTGATGCCTTTGCTCGGAAGAGGATCCGAATCCTGTTAGCTAGCGTGGTGTCCTCATTTAGGACTCGATCGATGGTTTCCCGTGACTCTACTGATCTGTGATCGGAGGGCTTCCCCGTTAGAGGAAGCGGATTCCAACCGAAGTCCGCCTCTCGCCTTCCAAGTTTTTATTCTCTCCTCGATACGACGCTTCATATCACCATCCGCCGGTGAGTTTTATTTTTCGCGAAAGCCATGTGCTCATCGATTTCGCTAAGTTTCCCCATGTTGTTCACGAAGTTCTCCGCGCATATGTTTCGTTGTTGCCTAGGCCTCGCAGTTCCCTCAGGGGAAATTCGAGACCCGCAAGGGTTTGTCATGGTACGTGGTCAATATTTTCTCGATACTGTCCGACGCTTCCTTAGCACGCTAGTATATCACCTTCATCGCCTTTGGGTCTGGCTGCTTGCAGATCTTTGACGACCTTCGGGAAGCTTTGGCCGCTACCGTAATCTATGAAGCCTAGTTCATCACGGATCAGCTGACCCCACCAGGGCTTACTGGTGAGTGTTGACAAAGCATACGGCTTCCGCCTTTTTTTATGATATCGACTCGGGTGAGCCTTCAATCGCGAGCGTGCCCTTCTTATCGACGGTAAACTTGGCATAGTCCCTTCCCAACGGCTTGATGTTGTCTCTATTTTCAACCGCGTCAGTAATAATCGCCGACAGCAGGCTGTACAAGTTCAGTACTTAAGGGGTAGTGAATGTGGTGTCATCCTCGAATGCCTGGGCACTATCATCCAACATATCATCCATAGGTATGTACTCTGCCATTATTTAGTATTAAAACTTATATATTTCATTTATATAACAATGTACGGTAGAAAACTAGATCCTTTCAGAAGGTCGAGAGAGCCCTAGGCGCCAGAGCCGCGGCGCCAGTCGGTGACCATCACCAACAATCCCAGCAAGATAGACCAGAACCAAACGCTGCTGGTTAGATTTCCAAACCTTGGCGAGAATGACCTCATTGTACCAGGCACGGTTCGACTGGCGCTCAACCTCACGCTGACCTCCACCAACGACAAACGTGAGCTAGTGTGGAACGAGGTCGAGCCATCATCAAGAAAACCACCATCAAGATCAGCGGTAACGAGGTGCTGAGCATCGACGACAGCTTAACGGTTTCACTGCTACAGGGATCTCTTTGAAAAGCTTAGGGACAACGGTCAATGACGGTACCAGGGTATCAGCAAATCGACCGGGTTAAGCGCATTGGGTATGGCTTCACGCGAAGACCAGCTAGACAAGATCACGGACGGTGAAAAGGCCATCGCCAAGCCGCACGGAACCGGTTCTGCGTGCGCTCGACTTCGAAGTTGCTCACGGGCACGCCGCTTTACCAGGCCGCCGCTGGGTGATAGGCTTGAATACGAAGCTAACGCTTAACGACTACAGCAAAGTAGTGCGCGCCGAACGGTGATGAGGCCAGTTTACCATAGACAACATCTCTCTGGAGTTCGACATGGTCACTAGCCCAGAGCTGGCCAGGCAGGTTCGAAGCCAGTACTCTGGGAAGATGGCTATCCTGTAACGATCGCGATACTGAGGCATAGATCAGTCGCGGCGAGATAAGAGCATTACACTGTGTGGAATATCAACCTGAACGCGTCGGGCGCGATCGATGAAAGGTATCCTGGTCGCCCCAGTGGAGGATTACGAGCCGCCCGAGGGACAGCGGCGAAGTTTTTCAACCCCGAGATTGAAAAGGTGGAAGTGACCATAGAGGGCGTGCCCAACCAGTTGTTCAGTCATGGTATGAGGGCATACCAGCAGTGGGATGAGATAAAAAGCTACCGCCATCAAACAACACCCATACATAACCAAAGACCTGGACCTATCCTCCGCGGCAGATCAGTGAATACCTGACCACCAAGCACGCAGCTGTGGTTGGACATGCGATCCACGGATGACGATAAACTGCACGGTAGCGTCGCCCGATAGACAACGGCAGCGCAGGGGATAACAATCCAGATTACCAAGAAGGCTCAACCCGCTGGCAAGTTGAAATTATATCTGTACGCTATTATGGACGCCAAGAACTTAATATAGACAATGGGAGATTCGCAAGCCATCTACTGATTTGCCTACTGATTTGCCCCACGACCCACACCGCGCCATAGTGTGCGGGCAGACTGGCTGTGGGAAGACCGCTTTGCGGTTGGATATGTTGGAGGGTTACTACAGGGATGTGTTCGACAACATCGCTATCATGTGCCCTACTCTGAGCATGAATAAAACGCATACACGGAAAGACCCTGGTGATGACGGACCCGACGCACACAAAGTCTAATTCGGGAACACGCCTGCAGGACTGGTTGAAAGCTTACCATATGAAATTTAAAGGGGAGTCGACGCCGTTCATACTGATGACTGCAGATGCTTAATCGCTAAGATAACAAAAAAGAGAGACATGCTATCGCATCTGGCCTTCTCCGCCGACGCACGCAAATCACAGCCGCCTGGGTACTAACGCAGAAGTTCAACTCGTGTTGAAAGACCTCAGGGAGCAGACGCGATGGGTGGCCTTATTTCACTGCAAGGACAGGGATTCGCTCGAGGAGTGTTTGAGAGAGAACCATGTGATGAGCAAACATGATAGGGAACGGTGAAGAAACAGCTCGCTGAAACTAAACACGCTAAGCTCGTGCTCAAGACCCACCAACCCGTGGCCTATAGGGTGTTTTAGCTTAGCAATGCTTAGCAATGCTTAGTAAATGCTTAGCAAAGCTTAGTAAA